TTATTAAAACCTAAAGATATTAAAGGAAAACTAAAATAAGAAGTTAAATAATTGCTTAAGTTATAAATAATAAGGCGTAATAAAACGCTATAATATTAAGTTGCTTAAAAAGGTTATAACCCTAATAATATTTAATACTTAATAAAAAATTTTAAAAATTTATTAATTAAAATATAAAAGTTTTATAAAAAATAACCTAATATATTAAGACCGCCTAAATAGTTAAATAAATAGATAAAAGCTATAGCAATTAATAAATTTACTATTAATTACTCTAATAACAATGTTATTATATAAAATAGCAGCGTAATTAAAACTAAATGCTATAAATAATTCCTTAACCTATTCTACACCTATATTTCAATTTTAATAAAGGGAAGTATAACAAATATATTAAATATATATTATATTAAAATATTATATATATTATAAAAGGATACTATAAAAATATATAAAATATATATTAATAAGGTTATATAACCCATAATAGCCATTAGCACGTATATATCTTTATATATATTTATATTCTAGTTTTATCTTTCCTTTCTTTCTTCTTTAACTTAAAATCTTTATCTATAGTATTAATACAGCTATACTTTAAACCCCTAATCGTAATATAAAATACTATATAGGAATCCAAGCCCTTAAAAAGGTAACTTCTCCTATATTAATATAACTAAACAAACAAAAAATAAGCTTCCTAAACTAACCTAAAAGAAGGCCAATTTAAAGCCCAAAATAAATTATAAGCCTATCATCCCTATAACCCTATTATATAATAAATAGGAATATTAAATTAAAGTACTTTTAAATATAAATGACACTATTCCTATAATATCCCTTTTAAAGGTTAAATAATAAAAGCTACCTCTTATTAAAAGAGTATATCCTAAACCTATATTAACCTTTAATATAATATATATATAAAAGGCAGGACGGTATTATATAAAATAAATTATTCTCCAATATTAAGAAGATTACTTTATAAAGCTTAGCTTTAAATTAAACACCCTTAATAGGGATTATAATATTATTTTACCTTAATAATAAATAAAAAAGCATTAGCTTATTTATTTCTTTAAAAATATAGGGAAGATTATATTTACCTTTAAATATTATTATAAAAATTATATTAGCTAAACTATCCTTAAACTAGGGACCGTTAAGGTAATAATAACTATATTTTAAGCAATAATTAAAGTAATAATAAAATAAATCCTTAAAGAATTTAAGGAATTCCTTTTTATTATAATTAAAATAGCAATATAACGGTTATTTAATTATTAACCTTAGGATTATATAATTAATCTTATAAATAGGAAAGCTTTACTTTAAAAACCCCTTTATATTATAAGTAATTATAAGTTAAATATACTTAAACCTTAATTAAATAAAATGCTTAAAATTAATTATATTTATAAATTTATTATATTATATAAGGCACCCCTTATATTTATAGAAAAAGAGGATTTAAATAACCTATTATACCTTATTATAAATTATTAAAGCTTTAATACTATTATAATATTAATAAGGTATTTTATTCCCCTTATTGTAAAACTTTAAGTTAAATTTTAAAAGGTTAAATAGTTTACTAAAATTGACTTAAAGTTTAGATTTTACTTAATTAAAATTAAAGAAGGTTATAAATAAAAAATAGTATTCTATTATAAATATAAACTTTTTAAATATATAATAATACTTATAAAACTTATTAATACTTTTATAATATTTTAATTTATAATAAATTATATTTTTTAAGATTTTATTAATATAAAGCTATTTATATACCTTAATAATTTCCTAATTTACGTAAAAATAAAAAAGGAATATAATAAAATAGTTAAAGAAATATTATAACGCTTTAATAAGTATGATTTAATAGTAGTACTTTAGAAATATAAGTAGTATATATATAAAGTTGAAATTTTTAAATATATTATTAATATTAATAGTATTTTAATAGTTTAAAATAAGATTAATTATATTATTAAATAGGAAGTATTAATTATTTTATATAAATTATAATAATTTATTAGGTTTATAAACTTTTATTAAAAATTTATTAAAAAGTTCTTATTAATTATAAAGCTATTAATAAACGTAAATAAAATAAATTAACGGTAATAAAAGTAAACGGAAGTTATAAATAAAACTTTCCTTAAATTTAAATACTGGTTTATTATAGCCCCTATATTTATCCATTTTAACCCCTTTAAAGTAGCTTATATTAAAACTAATACCTTTAACTTCGCCTTTAGAACTATATTATTATAAAAGGATAATAATGGTAAACTTTACCCTATTGCCTTTTATTTCCGGAAGTTAATATTAATAAAAATAAACTATAAAATATATAATAAAGAACTACTTATAATAATAAATGGATTTAATTAATAATACTAATACTTAAAAGGTATATAATATTAAATTAAAATCTACTTTAACTATTAAAACCTATTATACTTTATAATAATTAAAGTGCTAAATAAATAATAAGCTTATTAAGTATAATAATTATTAATATATTGGTTTATAATAAATTATTAACCTGGTAAATTAAACGAAAAGGTTAATATTATATTAAAATTAGCTTAATATTGCTTTAAAAAAGAGGGAAATAAAGATTAACCCGTTAAATTAATTTTATAAAATAAACATTTTTTATATTTTAAAGAATTAATGTTTAACTTAATAACGTTTATATTATTAACCTCTAAATAACTTTATAACCTTTTTATATTTAAGTAATTATTAAAGTTTATTAAGCTTATTAAAGAAGTAATAAGGAATAATTTAAAATATTACTTATAAAAGAATAAGCCTTTTAAAAATATAAAACTTATAAATAACCTATTATATAAAAAGGGATACCTATAAATATTTATAACTATATAATAAAAAATAATAAAAATAGAATATAATATATAAATAGTTAAATATATAGGAATGGATAAAATGTTAAAACTTATTATAAAAAACTTTTAATAGCCCAATATTAAGGCAACCATAAAGGACTTTATATAAGGCTACTATACTTATTAATAAAATAAGGCCCTATAATATACCCTTTATAAACTACTTTAACTTATAAAGTTATACTATACTTTATAATAATTGGTTATAATAAACTTTATTATTAACCTACCTTTATTTAATAAATATAACTCTATTTAAATAATGGTAAACCTCTTTATAAAGATGGAATACTTTATACCCCTAAAGGTTAAGGAAAAAAAACTAAAGATTTTATTAAAATTTTCATTAAGCATTATTAAAAATTATATAATATACCCTTTAATATAATTTTTAATAAAAACTTTAAGTTTATAAGCTATTTATAAAAGAATTTCCTAAAGCTTATTAATATTAAACCTTATATAAATATAGCCTTCTACTCTTAAATTAATAAATAGATAAAATAACTTAACTAAATTTTTAAATCTACCTCTAAACGTTTATTAATTATAAAATGTCCAATTAGGAAAACTTTCTATTAATTATTAAATTTATATATAATAATACTATATTAGCCTTAACATATATATCCCCCTTTTATATAAACTATAGCTACTATTTAACTATATATAACCCTTCTATAGCATAACCCTATAACCTATTTAATAAGCTATATACCTATTAAATAACGTAGATATATAAGGAAGCTAAGGAACAATTGGAAAAGGCTTAATAATATATAAAGGAATAAATAAATAAAAGGTAAAGAACCCTACCCTAATATATTAAAGATTAATTAATAATATTAAATATAAAAAATATTAAAATAAAAAGATCTATTAAAAAGTTAAACAAAAAGATACTTAACCCCTTTAAGATTTATAAAATAATCTTACCTACTACTATTAAACTTTTATTACCTAAGGGTTGGAAAATTTATAATTTATTTTATATTTTATTTATTAAGCTTTACTATATTAATAATTAGGCATTACTTAACCTTAACTAAATCCTATAAGAAATGCCTTTAATAAAATCCGAAAACTATTAAATAAAAGAATTTAAAAACTTTTTAAAAACCTAAAGAAATATAAAGTACCTAATTATATAAAAAGGTTAGCTAATTAAAAAGTATTAAATTTAAAAGCTATATAAATATATAAACAGCATTAATATAAAAGCTTTTATTAAACAATTCTATTAATAGAACTTAGGTAAATTAATGGACCCTTAAACTATTATAACCTTAAACTTATAATCCACTTAAGGAGTTAAGTTATACTTAAAGTTAAATATTAAAAAGGAGGGAGATAGTATTATATAGCTAAAATTCTAAAACTAAAAATAACTAATGCTACCCCTAAAGGAAAAGTAAAGCTATAAGTAATTAAATAAGAATAATCCGTTAGCTACAAAAAGACTAATAGTTAAGGCATAAATGCTTAATAGATAAAAGGGAGTCACAAATTGTATAAGGCCTGAATAAGTATAAATAGCTAAAGAATCTTCCGTTCCAGAATAGGAAAAAGAGAAAGATTAAGGCCCTAAAGACCCCTAGTAGATTATTAATAAATATGACTAAGTTCCAAGCCCTCTATAAGAGCCCTTGTCACAATAGCCGTACTCCTGAATCCGCTGTCATACTAACGAAATGACTTTCAGGGCCGCCTGGAGGTCGAACAGCCGACTCAATAGACTTAACGGCACAGCCTTGACATCGACTATGACTGCAATGTCTGCAAGAAGACTCTGAGAGGCCTGTGTGCTTAAAACAAGCACAGCATTTCCATTGTTTGCCAGAATCAGTAGGTGCCGGGGCTGATGAGTTAGGGGTATGAGTCTGGTCCATTGTGAAACTGAGATGGGTGAATGCTGGCTTTTGGTGCGATTAGCCGTTTTCAAAGGTATTATCAATTGGTGTGTTACCTGCCCTATTCGCAATTATGTGGGTAGATGACAATGGATTAAAGAATATCATCGAAAAAATTTTTGCGGACTTAATAATAAAATTTTTCACAATCACAGTTGTTGAACAAAGAGGATAATTACAAACAAACGCAATGCTCAAGAATACCAAGCTAGAGCTGTTCAACAGACACCACTTACAGCCTTTGATAAGACTAGAGACTGTGGGCTAGATCTACCACTAGCCTTTGGTGTCTTGAGCACCTCTTATTCAAGCAGAGGTGCTGCAAAGCGCAATTTCGTATTTTCGAAGACATAATTCTTAAGTATAGTTGTAACGATGAATATAGCTATACCCATTATTCCTGCTTACTTTCAGCCTCAAATCTCTGAACCCACTCACTCACTTCTTTATCCGTTTCTTGTATCTCGTTCATCCCGCAAACCTGAAAGATTTGTGCTGGCGTGATTCCCTGAGAGTCATCTTCTACCAAACCTCCTTTGAGCGCTCGAAGAGCGCTAGTAATACCAAGGTAAGCTGGCAATAAGCATACAGCTGGGTACAGCATAATCCCGAGGCCATACTGTTCCGCTTCTTTCGGTGTGATCTTATAAGCTTGTGGTGAACCTTGTACCATATTATGAAGAGTAGCCACTTTAGAACCACGAAATGCATTGCAGTAAGCCTCGAGTTGGTCTTTCGTGGATATTGCCTCAAGAAAGACTGCGTCAGCTCCTACTTCAACCGCCGCCTTGAGCCGGCGAAGCGCTTCATCGAGGTCGTGAGTGGCCAGCGAGTCGGTACGAGCAATAATCACTATATCGCTTCCTCTCCTCTTGCGTGCGTCCACGGCCGCCTTGATTCGTGTCAAATATTCGCTCAAGCTGACACACTCCTTCCCCTTCAAGTGACCGCATTTCTTGGTAACAACTTGATCCTCTAAATGAAAACCGGCCACTCCAGCTGTGATGTAACGCTCCACAGTTCGAAAGACGTTGGTTGCTGTACCATACCCAGTACTGCGTGAGATTAACAGTTAGCTACCTAAATTATCGTATATGACTATTTTTTCAGCAAAGTTTGGGTAAATGGAGGGGCAACGGCCCCTCAAAAGGCTAAAAAAGGGGGGAAGTTACTCCGCATCTGCGATTAGGGGTATCTTCGGGTCGATATTGGCAATCATGCCGGCTGTATCGACCATCTCGGTTTGCGTGGCGAGACCGAGGTCTGCCATCCCAATCCGAGACATGGACACGCCGGCGCCTGTCATATAGAGACATTCAAACCCTGCAGCGAGGGCCATACGAGCTGAAAAGCCATCGTATACCCCGGGACAGACTAGTGTTTTGCCGGTAGCAAGAAGCTGGCGAAGTCGGCTGCCTGGAGAGAGACTTTGCTCTTGAAGAGACATACTTTCAATACGGCGATTAACGCGCTAACCGAGAAGTGCGATTCCACGTTGAGTATGTTGAATATGATGGGGGCGACGAAGAAAAGGAATGATGGACTCGGGTCTACATAACATACCTCATAACAGCGTAGTCAAGCCGAACACGGACCGACACTACCACGTCGATCGGCAACCCGTCAACCGGCAAACCCTCAACTGAACTACGTAAGATACTATTCTACCTAACGTACCATCTGCGTAATCGCGAAAGGCGTGCGTTGTTATTTTAGAATCGTTCACTGTTGTAGAGTGACTGCATTATCCAGACTAATATCTCATTTTGCTCCAAGCCCAAACAATTGTCTACGACCTGCCTAACACTCATCAACATCACCACCAACTCGGTTACCACGGGCCGTGAAAACGTCATAATTAGCTACAATATAGGTTTTACTCCAAGCCGATCTGCAGCCTTTACTGATCACGCTCATTATTCTTCGGATACTATTGATGCTTTGAAGCTCCACTATGTGGTTGCCAGAGCGCACCGTAAGCGCTTCGGTTCCGACCAGTATCCGGCAACCCTATTACAGCCGACACCTCTCATTCTTTATGAATCAAAGCGTGGAATGAAGAAATGAGGTAAGATTTTGGTAGCCCATGCAGAATATAAAGCTGAAAGAAGTTGGAGATATTTACCCCTCCTGGCTACCCAGGCGGAGAGCTATTACTGTCTACATTACCTCAGCTCTTCTCTTATACCACAGATAAATCAACATCATTAGCAGTCAAAGACATACCCATCTAATATCTGAAAGTCAAGAAAATCATCATGGACCATAATGACATCGCAGTCCGAATCCCTCGCCAGGCCACCAGCCTAACAATTGCCGAACGGGATTGTCTGTCCACATTAAGGGCTGCCAAATCTATCAAATTCAACTTTGAAGCCTCGGATGGAGGAGAACCTAATAAATCAGATACCAATCTCGTTGGTTTCCTCAAACTTATTGAGTCCTGCATAGATCCACACGACGAGCTTCGGGAGCTCTGTGCTGCTGTTCGCAGCGCGATCCAGTCTTGTTTGCTCCCCAGTGATTTCGGTGGCATGGAATTAACAACATCGACGATTCTCTCCATGGAAATTGAAGCTCAGGTTCTGTTCCTTCTGTCCACGTACGTAGAGGCAGTCAAATCTGCTGAGCGGGCACACCATGCGCCCAAATCTCTCAAAGAAAGACCTCAGGGGCGAAGACCAATGACTATGTCAGAGAAGATCTTCGCAGCACACGATGTTTCACGGAAAGGCTGGGTTAGACCAGGCGAAGTAATCCAAGTCGATGTCGATTGGATTTTAGCTTCAGAGCTGTCTTGGGGTGTGAGTCGTGCTGTCATCTTCCTGTCGCTTCATATGCTAACATGTCAATCACTATTATGTACAGAGCATGCAAAGAATGTATGACTCGGTTGGACGACCAGGCATCTTTCGCAATGATCGGTTCTGGCTCGCGGGCGACCATCGTGTTGAGCCGGCTTTGTATGATCTCCCCGACGTCAAAAGGCTTATGGACGCAAGCCGGCTTGCCCACCATGAGTTTAAGATGACGGAATTCCAAGGATTCAATGTAATTCAGATCTTCCCTACTATATTGGCGAATTTCTAACTGGATGCCTTCGATGCAGTATACCATTATGCACACCGAGTTCGTTCGCGAGCGAGCTTTGCCTGGCCAACTTATTATTGGCGCTGACTCCCATTCCTGCTCTGCAGGGGCGGTGTCTTGCCTCTCGATAGGGATGGGCGTTGCCGATGTGGTAATGCCACTTATAACAGGCCAGACATGGTTTTCCGTGCCCGAGACGGTCTCTATCCGCTTCATCGGCCGTCCTCCCATGGGAATTGGTGGAAAGGATACAATTCTATATATCCTGAAAGAATTCAAACGAAACACAATCGCTGCGGATAGAGTTGTCGAGTTCAGTGGACCTGGGATCAAGTACCTCTCAGGCGACGCTCGATTCGCGATAGCGAACATGTGCACTGTAAGGACCCATTCTACTAGCAGTCACCGTGGTATTGCAAAAGGTGTATTGGAGTAACCTTTCCTATCGCACTGGCTATTCGTTAACGGCCTTTGAAATAGGAGTTTGGCGCCGTAACCGGGATCTTTGAGTCCGACGAGAGAACACTCGAGTATATCTCAAGAAGGCTTCGACGCAAGTACCGCTCCGGCGCCGCCTACTTCCGAGCCGACCCCGACGCTGAATACGCGGGACAACATGTCATCGATTTATCCCAGGTGACTTCATTCGTCGCTCTTCACCCTTCGCCAGACAACGTGGTTCCAGTAACTGAGCTACAAGATTATGAATTAGACGGCTGTTTCATTGGTGCTTGCACCACTGCTGAGGAGGATCGTAAGTAATAGTTAAACTACCCTTCATGATCATGAGTAATATCAAGAGCGATATTTCAACCTGCACAGCAACCTATGTTATAGCATCGACGGCCCTTGTCTGTCTCCTCAAGAACACTACTAATCGCAACGAATGAAGTAATCATCGGCGCATTGATACTGCAGGCGGGACTCAACGCAGGGCTCGAGCCAGTCAGTAAGGGCCGGCGAGTCGCCGTGCCGGGCTCACGTCCCATTCGCCGCAAATTAGAGGACCTTGGACTGCTCGATTTTTACCGTCGTGCTGGGTTTAGCATCGGCGTCCCCGGCTGCTCGATGTGTATTGGCCAAGGAACTGATCAAGCCCACTCAGGGGAGAGATGGCTTAGTTCTCAAAACCGCAACTTCAAGAACAGAATGGGGCCTGGTAAGCTGAACTTGATTTCCCCCTTGCTAATCTCGTAGTTTTTCTTGGGTCGAGCCTACCGCCGTAGAAACAGTGTGAAATATGCTTATACATTTCCCTTACATAGGCTCTATTGGGAACATCGCATCGGCGGCGACAGTGGCAGCGTCGTCATTCGCCATGAGAATTACAGATCCCCAACCGCTCCTCGACCAACTCAATCTAGATGAGTTGACTAAGTATCTAGCGTACAATACAATCAAAGACGATCCAGCTGTATTAGAGAAGTTCCACCTTGAAGATGAGCGGGAGCCGGGGACAGCCGCCGAAAAAGTGAGCGATATCTCATATTACGAACCCTATGGTACCGATACCGAGGAGAATAGATCTCCCTTAGAAACCGGTTTGATTTCACTGCCAGATACTACTCCGTCTCTGATGCAAGACCAATTCTCTATCAAACCCGACCTAAAAGGGGCTGAAATAATCAAAGGAAAGGTTATGAGATTGGGTGATTTCATTGATACTGATGCCGTAAGTAGACCTATACTCTCTTCATCACGAGCCGTCATTGGAGTATGAGGCTGAGCAATAAATCAGATCATTCCCACCAGCTTTCTGCATCTCTGCGAAACGGATGAAGAATGGGGATCGCACTGCATGGAATACTTCATGCCTGAATTTAGAGACCTCGTTCAAAACCAAGGCCACAACATCGTCGTTGCGGGGAAAGGTTTCGGAGTCGGGTCATCTCGCGACGTAGCAGTCAACGCTCTGAAAGGGTGCGGCGTCAAGTGTGTCATTGCCGAGTCATTCGCTTTCATCTATGCTAGGAACCAGCCAAATCTGGGCCTGCTGGGAATTCAGGTGCCACGGAAAAGTGATGGGCAAAGTCTATACGATATCGCACAGATGGGGTCGGAGATCGAGGTTGATATTACCACTTCTATCATCCGATGTGGAGGACTTGAGTTCCACTTCGAGCTCAGTGTGATGGAGAAACAGCTCATTCAAGTCGGGGGGATCAAGAAGGCGTTTGAACGTTTCGGAAAAGGCTTGTTCGACCAGCTGTGCCGAACGCATGACTCGGCACCGCAGAAGCAAGATGCATTACGCGGTAAAGGAACAGTCGTCGACATTGAAGCACTTCCCGTTTAGTTTTATGTAACATTTCCCCTGCATTATGCCGGTATAGGCTACCAATAAGAGTTCTAATTTTGTAAAAAAAAATTCCGAAATCCGCGATACCTGTACGAGAATCTAGCTTGGTGGTCGCGAGGTCATTGGCACCGTAAGGGGTTGGCTGGTAACGAGGGTCTAGATCACGATGTGTGGTAAGTTGAGATGCTGAGAAGCCAACCATGTTGTCTTAGATTGGCTAGCCACGATCCAAGAGACTTGCACTTAGTTGAACAACGCCGCTCCGGAAGCAGTATTGGAACTACACATTAGATTCTTGTAGAGTGACCAATAATCACAGTCCTAGTCATATACACCCAATTGTTGCCTGGACGCCATAATATATACTCTGAATTTTCGAAGCCTTCCCCTATATTGTTACTGTTGACCAGACATGGTCACAATTATGTTCGAGCACGTTGTTTGCTCAGCACACCCAATTCGACAAGATTTTTACTATCTCTTTCCCTCCCCTATCACCCTCAGGGTATAGATAGCATTTAGATTGCATGTATGTATATATGTATATACACATGGTTTTTCTTAATCGACGACTCGAGACGTCTTCTCGCGCAATGACCCTCCCCTGCGGCCTCTGAGATTGTCCATCACAACTTTCGCATCGACTTTGGATGGCTCGCCGTCGCGCGATGTGAGATAGAAGGTCAAGGCTAGTATTAGGACAAGGACGAGGATCCATCCAAAGACGAGTTGCGCAGATCGTCTCGGTCTTGCGCCATAAGGTGAGAATTTAGGCATTCGCGGCATCGTTGCGGGCGCGTGTTTCGAATGTTTAGGCGGTGAGGAGATGGATACTATTATTCATCAACGATGAGGGTTGAACCGGAAGATCTGGGTGACGAAGTGCGGTGTTCAAAGGCGTCAATGTCTCGGAATGTTTTGTTCTGTGTTGAGATGATCATTTCAAAAAGGAGCTCTTTTTGGCACTAAGGCACCTAAACTAAGTACAAGTAGATTGCTCCCCAGGTTTTAGCCTTTTCAGGGTCTTCCCTAGGTGATTATTACCGAGCTATGAGGCCTACTTACATTAGGTAATAACTGCAACCTTTTTGTGAAGACGATGTGCCCGTAGCCTTTCCAATTTCAACACCACTGGTGATAGTTTGGTACGTATCTACGAACAATTGAGACTATCATCATGTTGTTGTCAGCTGAGATCTGCACCACATCTTCAGAGGTGGCCGCGCCTCTCTAAAATACACACTGTGATCACAAGGGTGATATGACGTCAGCCTCACCTCACACGACGCGTTTAGTCGCGCCATGTCGCGACCATCGCTGGTACTGGTTAGATATTGATATTATCTTGAATTATATTCAAGGGCGCTCAGTACCATTGATTCGTCATGGGTGGAAAGTCGCGTCGTCTAAGGGTGTGAAACATTCGACACTGTACATTACGTATGGTAGCTATCAATAAATCCGCGCAGAGATAAAGTCTGCGTTGTCATCTTGTCTCGGTATAATAATCTCATACTGCATTCCAGCTCTTGAAACGTACCGGTAGCACTATTACTAAATAAATATGCCGCCCAAACGCAAGTCCACCGGCTCCAACAGCCAAACCAACAAAAAGACCAAGGCTGCAACGCCACCAGCCGAGCCCAAATATGAGCCACCTCGCAGCAACCGTTGGTCAGCCGTCTCTGCGTCCGCGAACGCAGAGAAGGACTACCGCATGTGTTGGAAAGACGAGGAGAAGGCATATTCGTACATGACACTCTGCTCGCCTTCTTATGCTGAGGAGGAGGACGAAGACGAAGAAAATGACAAAGGTGATGCCGACAATGGAGGCTCCGAGAACGCAGAGACCTCTGATGACGAGGCTGTCATTATAGAAGGAGAAGGAGAAGATGGCGAGGGCACAAAACAACCCCGATGCGGGATAAATTGCGTATGCTTCAAGCCGCTCACTGCAAACCCCGATCACCCCTGGGTCATCAGTGACGCAGGCTATAGCAAATTCATGAACCAATTCCTGCACAACTTCGTTCGGGTCCCCGACCTGTTTTCCATGTACATCTTCAACGACTGGGCGGCATATGGCTCGTTGGAGATCTTGGAGAATCTGTACCTCGACTTCGAGGAAGCTGAGAAAAAGCAGCGCGGCGGGTGGCGCGAGCAATGGGCCATCTGTGAAGGCACTGTCCATTGGCTCTTGCATCACACCGGCCAAGCTTTTTGCATGTGCGTAGGAGACGATTCCTCCCTCCTTTTCGTTCATATATACCTTGCTCCCTTTTCATTGATGGCTGACATATATGTAAAGGGCCGACGACGGCGAAAGAGTACAAGAGGCCTCGCGTCTCGTCGGCCGCATGTTTCTCGCCATGTTAGCGCAGCTAGACGAGGCAGGTCTCGTGGGCGATGCGACAGCCGTGAAGAGCTTGGGTTGCACCATGGCTATGTACATGCTCCTCGCCTCTAATATGCGGAGGCTGAATGTCCTAAAAGACGAGCCTCGCAAGAGATACACTAGTAAGCTCAAATTCCAACCGGATTACTTCGAGGACGGGGTCATGGCATACGTCAACAGGCGCGGTGTCACACTGCGAGGACCCGAAGAGATTGAAGAGTTGATGGCCGCGGCCAAGGGTGACATTGAATTGCCCAAGAAGGGCAATAAAGACCCCTGGGGTTGGAAGGTAGCGCTTAAGGCGTACACCAAAGACCGGGGGGTTCCACGCTATATTATCGTCGGAAGTAGACCCAAAATCGGTGGTGACCGTTACGACGTTACGACCATACCGTCTTCTGAGCGGAAGGCTGCCTCGTTTACTGGGAAAGATCCGTTTAGCAAGAAGGAGCTTGAGGCTCTCAAGGATGGGATGATCCTAAGCCCGGCATAAGATATTGGAGGAATATGATCAATGCCACATAGAATGGGTTTTGTCAAAGTATTGAGCGAAAATGTAGAATATAATGGTCGATGTAGAAAGATTTGGGTTTCTGGGGGTCATATGGTATCATGGATAATTTTAGCCAGCTGGCTGGCCGAAGTGTAAAGAAAAGGCGTATTTAGGAAGTTAAAGTGCGTACTCAAGGGAAGCAAGGGATAAACTAGCCGGAGAAAACTAGGTCCTCGAATGTAAATCTAATCGTGAAAATCTATATTCATTGCCAATACATTATTCCGTATCAACGTACAGCATCATTTTCACTCCATGGTTTATCACCCTCGTAATAAACAGCATACGCCCATTACAAAAACACAGAAAAGGGCATCATTCCGTACCGTTGTAAAGATCTGTGCGTACCGGAGCGCGTGGCGTGCATAGCCTCTCATTGGATCCGAGAGCATGCCAGTGATAGTCCACGTCCAGCCCGATGGAGTGAAACCAGCACTCCGTTCCATCATAAATCGGGATGTCAGCAGCACTGTCTCGACACTGGTAAAAACGTAGAAGAACCACGCCCGCGCCTGCTCAAGGTTTTGTGCGCCTAGTATACCAGTGCTTTGCAGGTTATCTGTGTCTCGTTCAACCTTGGATCCGGTAAATGTGGTGGAAAACGCCACATAGATGCCCAGCCCCAAGGCGAAAATGGCATGTAGGATGCGCCAGAGATTTGCACTCTTGTTCTGCTCGGTTTGCTGGCCTTGTTGCATCGGATTGGGTCTGCCCGCGCCGGCCAACAGCGATTCTAGTCCCATCCCTGCTAGCGGGTTGCTGCCGTCAGCTCCGCCGGGCATACCGCCTGCCATCATCTTTTGAAGCATTTCCATCATGGGATCTTGATCCGCGCCTGCCGCACCATCCATACCCTCCGTTCCAGGCATGGGCGAGGCGCGGCCAAAGAAGGGATTACCAGCTCGAGGTGACGAAGTACCAGAGCTTGCGGTTGATGGCCCATCGAAGCCAAGCATCATCTGGCGGAGCTGTGCTTCGGACATTTGGGAGGGGTCGCTTTGGGGCGGACGAGGCGTGGTTTGTGGCGAGTAGTAGTGTTGAGAGATATCGACCTCTTCGGGATCGGCATGAGTCTCAGAGGCAGCGGCGGCTGCAGCTGTGGCGGCAGGTCTTGCGGGCGTGGGTTCGGCACTTGCTGGTGATTGGGAGGGAGACTCTGCTGGCGATAATGATTAGGCCAGAATCACAGGGAAAGAAATCGAGACTGGTATATACGAACCCTTTGGAACACCACCACCCAAGCCTGTAATTCGGTCTAGCCTCGAAGCTCCGCCAGCCTTGATCTTGGCTTCCCGGCGTTGTTTGCGCAGGCGAACTTGCTCGGCCGCGCGAGCTGCGGCAGCGTCTTCAGACGACACACCCTCAGTCATTGTCACTCAGCTAACTAGCTAGGTGAGAGGAAGGTCGCAGCAGTCTGCGAAGCGTAGGTCGGGTGGTATTCAGGTTACAAAGGAAATAGTTGTTATTTGTTGGATTTTGTCGTTCGCTTACGGTATTAAAGATTACTTAGGAGCACTTGGGCAGGTCATTGGATCGGGGGATTCCAATGTCAGACAAATGTGAATGATGAAAGCCCACGTGGTGAGTTACAGCACACGTCAATGATGTGGGAGGGCTTGTACACGTACAGTAAGGCTTGTAAGGCGTTATCGATTAGGCACATACGGGGAGGCTCTAGGGGCGCTTAGTGCCGACAGCCCCGCAATGAAGAACACCTAGGGTCTTCACTAGCTGTGTTGGGAGCACTAAAGCTCTCCATAATTACAGGGGTTTTAACGGGAAACGTCACCGCGCCGCAGTTTTGCGCTGTATTTCTCCAAATTTTTGGATGCTCACCATCCATTTGGTCTTCAACCGGAACGCACTTCTTTTTTCCCCTTGTAGAAGGACGATGCACCGAGTCCGTACTTCAAGATGGCTCAATAATGCCCTCAATATCTCGGAGAAATCTACAAAACTAGAACTGCCCGTCTTTCTCTGCCCTTCTGTTCGACTGACGAGTCCTTATCTCCCAAGATCAAGTGCGCAAGTCTTGTCACCACTGCAACGTGCGCCGTCGACAACATCAAGGCGTTGCTTGCATATACAGGCTGACCCGTCCACAACAAGTTCTCCTATATCCAACCATCCAGCCGCTCTATCCATCCCGACCAGGTCACTCCCGAAACAATGCAGAGGATGTGGCGCCTTGTCACAAGCCTCTCACCCCAACCAGCCGGGCTACTTTGACTTGAGTCGCAATGCCGTCAAGAAATATATTGGCACTGATGGATCTTCTCATCGCTCGCAGCTCGAAGACAGAGTTTTCGAAGATGCGCTGAGGCAGCTAGACGCAAAGGAACTAGAAAAGCAGGGTGTTGATATACGATCGCTAGCTCTCAGCCTCCCTCCTACCGACGCAACGCCGCAGGCTCCGCCAAAGAAGCCATTATGTGATAGGTGTCACTACCTCCTACATAACCACACCGGAGAGTCTATCTACCATCCAAACATTGACTCCATTCGCGACACACTGCTTGAGTCGCCGTATAAATACAACCACGTCTACCATGTCCTCGATGCTGCGGATTTCCCAATGTCCTTGTTGCCCAAGATATCGCAATTTCTTGATACTATGCCATTGCGCTCAAAGAATCGGCGGTCAAGAGCTGGGCGGTTCTATCATGGCCAAAAGACGGAAATGAGCTTCATTGTTACTCGAATAGATCTACTAGCACCTACTAAGCCCCAGGTAGACACCCTCTTCGCATATTTACGAGAGGTGCTACGAGATGCTCTAGGACGTGCTGGAGACAATGTCCGGTTAGGTAACCTGAGAGCGGTTAGCGCAAAGAGGAGTTGGTGGACAAAAGAGTTGAAAGAAGACATTTGGAAAAGAGGCGGAGGAAGCTGGATGTTGGGTAAGGCCAACGTAGGAAAAAGTCAACTCTTCGAGGCTGTATTTCCCAAGGGAAGGATGGACTGGGACCCTTCGAAACACCAAATCACGGTCGATATGGAAGCGAAAGCTGAAGAGGAGGACAGTGAAGCCGACACACTGTCACAAAACGATGAACTAGCTCAAGATGACCTTTTGGATGAATACTCCCTGTTGCCCCCGGCGCCTAAGGAAATTCAATACCCCGAGATGCCTCTAGTTTCGGACCTCCCGGGTACTACAGCGTCGCCTATACGAGTCCCCTTTGGTAATGGTCGGGGCGAATTAATCGATTTGCCTGGCCTGGAGAGAACTGGCCTAGAGCAGCATGTTAGAAAAGAGCACCGCCTATCATTACTGATGCAATCTCGCATTGTCCCGGAACAGATGACACTGAAGCCGGGTCAATCATTGCTCCTCGGAGGATTCATTCGTATAACTCCTCGCGAACCTGCCCCCATCATGTTGACATACGCTTTTACACCTATCACACCCCATGTGTGCAGAACAGATAAAGCCATCAGTATACAAAACCAGGCAGGTGAGTTCAACGTTGAGAACATTGCTCTGCTTGAAACTGGAGACAATACCAAGCTTGCTGGCTCTTATGAGCTCAAGTGGGATGTGACCAAGCAGCGAACGGGACCTTTAACAAGGAAGAGTGCTGTTGGCCTAGATGTGGAACGTCTACCCTACCGTGTACTGTCAACCGACATTCTGATTGAGGGGGTCGGATGGGTGGAGATAGTTGCTCAAGTTCGCACAAAGGACTTATTTGCGCCCAAAGCCCGGTCAGATTCCGAACAACCAATTGTGAATACCGAGCCTAGCGATGAGTTGTCAGGTATGGAGCGGCTTGAATCTATAGCAGAGGACGCAGAAAAGCAGAAGCTGTCACGGCCCCCTCCCACGGACCAGGAGAAGGAGGGCGAGCCGAGCTGGCCCATCGTGGATGTCTACAGCCCAGAAGGGAAGTTCATTTCCTGCCGTAAACCAATGAACGGTTGGATGTTGAACAAGCCGCGAGTCATGGCTGCATCACGCAGGTCTAGACCTAAGAAGAGCATGAAAGGTGCAAAGAAACTCGAGAAGAAACTCCGGCGCGAGCGAGAAGCTTAAACTGATGTCGATGGAGTACCTGATTCTGATACAAAACCTACTCACCCACCAAGTAGAATCTGTACATGATCATGTATGTATAAACACTATAAAAAGTAAAAAAAAAAAAAAAGAACCCTGCATAAATCAGGTGGTAGTGTTACCTGTGTATGCTACTAGTACCTAGGAAGCCCGACTTATGAATGTCAAAAGGTTAAAGGTTGCAATTTACTTTCTGATTGCCTACGCCACCACGTGGACGCGGGAGCGAACCCAGTGCCTGGATACCTGGGCTGGAGTCGGCAATATCCGACTGGGATATGGGCTGATAAGGTTCGATAAAGCGAGGGCACTGCGAGGGGCAAGGGAATAATTTACGGGCATAATAAGCAGGATGGATTGCTGGAGCTTATTGCAGGAGAGCTATAATAAGGTGGACACGGACGACGCCGTGTCCGAAAATCATCAGCTTTGTCCCTCTGTACGGGTTCGTTCTGTGACACGATTATGTCATCCGGCTAGTGGTAGGGAGGTAGCAACGAAGTCTCCGGCCAGTGGCCAACGAGCGGCGACCCTATCAAAAAGACAACTGAAACAAACATTCCTCAATGCCCCTCATCACCACGACCGTTTACTTCCTTCTACCTTCAACCTTCAACCATCTACCCACCAGACCTTAGAGACACCGAATAACTCCCCGTAACGCCATCATCTACTACTGTTTTTCGGCACGCCCAAAAGCGCCCGACCTCTACAATTCCAGCTGTTGCAGCTGTTGCTGAACCAAGGCGAGACATTAGTGGGCCGGAACTAGTAGTAGACATCCTCTATCCCGGCCTCCCCCCACGCCGGGCCCGGTGCACGCGACACCCAGAACAACAGCAGCACAGTAATACAACAATACACCCGCATATCTGCGCGCGCGTGCGCAACCGCAGAGATCGCCATGTCCCGGAACTCACGGGGCCCGAACCAACGACAACAAGGGGGCAATGTCGGCTCGCAGACCCAGGTGTTACCCCACGCCGAGGCATCCTCAAGTTCAGCGACACAGCCAGCACCGGCAATCCTACGTTTAACAGGTGCCCATGCGCCTTCTACAAACCACGTCCAATGGGCCGACAATGTCGTCGATAACGAGGGGCTAGGACGCAAAAGCTCAAAAGGTTCGTGGCCATCCACACAAATCCTCGGTCTCGGCCCCTCGCTAAAATCCCGGCACCCTAGTATGCTGCATCTACCATGCCCCGAAAACCGTAGGCGAGTCTTCTGACGAGTCCTCGTCTGATTCCTCGTCCTCCTCGGGTGCGGACTCGGATTCGGATTCTGGCGACCCGTACGACGCGCGAGAGCGGGCGATTGCGCAGCGCCGGGCGAGGCAGCAGCGAGAGAGGCAGGACCGACACGCACCAGATGATGCGCATGGACACGATCACACTCATTCAGAACACAACGGCAGAGGCGCGCGAGATTGCAAACGAAAGCACGCTCGCCGGCCGAGCCCTAATGCATACGAGAAGCAACCACGGCCGAAGCGACAGGATGATGGAAGCGGTGGACCGTCTGGCTCCGGTCAGAGTTCGAATCGCGTTTTATGAAGCGTTGAATTCCCCATCGAAACCAATACCACTAGATTTGTTACGGTGACCGCAACTTGCACACCGCTATTTAGAAGAGCAGGCTTTAGAAAGAGTCTTATTTGGATAGCCTAGCTCTTCATCTCCCTACTACCTACCTACCTCCCTTTGCACACGGCGTTCCTGACAAAGACTAAGAAGAGCGACCAACGCTTGGCCGTTCTCACAATAGTGCATATACCGTTATTACTCGAGCGACAGCCAATTGAAGTACGCTAAAACCCCAGTCAAATGGACATTGTCTATTAAACCACTGAGACCGCTGGCTCCGTTACGAGGCATGCATAAATATTCTAAAGCGCTGTATATGATCAGCCATGACATAAAAAGGTGTGCGCCTACCTTGGCAGGGCGTGCCCTCAGCACCATTATGATCAACGAGTGCAACCCCCATCTTTGCAATCTAGCAATCAAGACTATCACTTCGTGGCACTGCACAGAGTTTCATTCCAGAAACATTGTTTCAAACCACGCGTTTGACAAGAACGGGGGACGTAAACCTAAGTCCAGACAATTGTCGAGCCCAGTTTTGTCTCGGGCAATCTAAGACATATCTCATTAGGTACCTAGATCTCGCTCTTGATCAGCCAGAAGTCTTTCTCACAACGGCCAACCGGTTTATGTGGGTGGTTGAGACTCGAAAGTTCATGTGTATGAGTAGTGAGACTACCATATCATGTAGTTAAAACCCTCCGCAGACCAAAGTTTTGTTTTCCACATTTGCCCCCCTTTAGTGAATATAGTAGTGCTTTAGAGATAGAACAGGGGCGCGAGGAGAGTGAAGATAGCGAAGGGAGAAGGTCTGTAGACAAGGTACGTGCGTAGTTGGGTTTATCGAGATCAACCCGGGATGAGCGAGACAGTACCTAGGATGTACGAAATACAAGCCAAGCAACATCTTACATTGTACTTTGTTACAATTTGATCTACCTAACACCAAAGCCGGTCTACAGGCCCATACCCACCCTCGCCACCCATCATTGAACAAATCCGTCCATGTGAGCAGATATTACCAATAGCAACCATCGACGCGAAGCAGGCTACCTACCTAGAATACCAAAACTCAAAAGACAAGGCTCTCTCCCAAAACTTGCGGGAATTTCCCATGAGGCATTTACAATCACACGTTAACTTCACCCACGCAGAGTACAAGGAAGAGTAAAAGTAAAAAATAGCGTATTAAGATTCTTGAAGAGTCAAAACATTAATCCGACGAATGCGCCCGTATGTTGCGCAAAAGCCACACGCTAAGTAATGCCGTTTCGATGTAATGCCATGCCATGCCATGCCATGCAAATGCAGATACCGTGATTGCACCCTTTTGAACCGTTGTGCCATTCCATGCCCTCACCGAGATGTACTACACACGTTTTTTTTTTCCGCTTCGACATATTCAAACTATCCGGCCTTGCCTTCATTTTCGCCTTCCCCTGCTGCCTCTGGTGAGCCAATGTTGGCTCGGCCTATGCGCTTGTCCTATAAGGTTGGACCTGGTAGCGCTAATAGCCTCTCATGGTCTCTCCTAAATTCAGGACGTAGCGATGATAGAGGCGCAATCTTGTTAATCACTTGTGCGAAACCCAGCTTTAACGGAAATTCATCTTTTGATCAGCTGTTTCGTAATCTTTCTCCAAACTTTCAAGTTTGATTATATAATACACATTCGGCGTTGGTGAAAGCACTTGTACGTAGGAAGTTCCGGCAACTTTGGGTTTCGTCTTATTCTCGCGCGCAGGCGGCCAAAAACGCCACAATCGGTTCCTGCCTCTTCCTTTCTCGTCCTTTTGTTATTGCATTTTATAATTTGACTCCACGTCATGAGTCTTGGTTGGGAGGGACAGGGAGAGAAAGGGTTGGTATGCCCATCATACTCGGAACTTGCTTCCGTAACACTCCTTTTTTGCGCTGCTCGGGGCGCGGCACGCCTTGTATGGCACGAGGTTCCTTCATCAAAGCAGGGTCTAACTTGGCTGGAATCCTCGTTATAACGGCTCGGTAGTCACCCGGGAATTTGGCATTTGGCATAGGTACAGAAGCAGTGCGCCAGAGGTGATCCGAGTTATCCGTGAGATAAGGTGACAGCTTATTCGTTTTGGACGGCATACTACTACCAACTCCGTGAGATGCACGAATTGTAGAAAGGCGAGACAATCCTGAGGTAAGGCCAGGTTTGCCACGGGCCTTCTTAGCTAGGATAATCTCATCAAACAGACGAATGTCTGAATTGGTCGGCGGTTGTGTCTCTCGTGAGTGAATGAATTCGTTAAAGGCTAAGAAGAAACCAATTAGCATCCATAAAAATGAAGAGTGAGAACAAGCTGCATACCTTGAGTATCCTTCATCATGGTCGCATAATCTTGCTGATCGTAAGGCAAGCTCCTGATGAATCCACTCATATCAAATGCATACAACTGGCCGTTATTCTTCTGTTCTTTGGATGGCCGACCTAAATGTTTTCTATATGTGTAGAGCAGGCTGGCGTGGCAGCGCACGAAAGCGGCCCGTATCTTGTCGGTATTAAATGCTGTTGGGCACACCAAGCTGACACAGCCGAGACAGCGACCATGTGAAATGGCACCGCACCCCGAACATTTGTAACATCCCTCTCCTTCAGAACGTTCGTCACATATGGTACAAGTGAAACTAACATCATTCGTACTCAAATTGAAGCAATGTCCCTCGACCCATACTGTTGTCTCAGTATTACGTACTGGTTGTACAAGCATATTTGGCATAATGGTAGATGCAGCAAGGGTGGACTGTGCATAGGTCGACGGAGCATAGCCACCAAATCCGCCATAAGACGACTGAGAATCAATGGAAATGGCCGAAATTGACAAGTTAGCCTGGTGTCCGTTTAGAAAGGGGGCGTGAGGCCGATGATATGGTGTTTGTCCAAATGAAGAGCTACGACGACCCCTTTCATCGAAGTGCCCGGATCTCTTCTCGCGTAATGTTGCGGAAAGGGCAAATCCTGAATCACTTTTCGATATTGGTGTCGAAGGCATGGGTGGGAAGTTGATAGAGACAGGGGAAACAGATGACGGCGGGCTAGTCTTGTTTGATCTACTAGTTGTCGGACGATCGGCAGCTCCTGGCTTTGCATTAGCAAAGGCATTGAAAACAGGAACCCTTAGCGTTTCTTTTGGCTCAGGATCACCAAATGAAGTCGAGCTCTGAGCAACCCATTTGGCAAAAGTACTCGGTTGGGCTTTTTCGTGGAACAGCGAGCCGTTCTCGGCGGAGAAGGCGTCATACGGGAAGGATTCAATGGCATATGGTGGAGGCCCGGTGGTGACACCGCATCGAATGGCGTGCGGGGCAGCAAGTTGTAATAATGAAAGCAGCTTGCGTCGAATTTGCTTGGGAAGACGGATTGGTTGTGATGTCGAATCAATAGTGTCTTTATCGAGGTCAACAAGGACATAGTCGTCGTCTGGAAGTTCTATGTTATCGTAACGTCGCTCAATGCCAACAATATAGGGGCATGGGGCATCTAGAGCTGATAATAACCTAGCAGGTAAAATTGGGATAAAGATGCTAGCCCAAGTCAGCGGGTATAGAAGACTGGCCAGGGCATGCGACGCCAAATGAAGCATGGAGGTGTGAGAAGAAAGCAAGATGATTCGAGATTCAGACATTGCGTACTCGAAAAGGGTAACGATATTTTCGAGTGATAAAGACCTGAAAAGTGCGTACAGGTCCGTATTACGGGAACCCGGAAGTTCATTAACTGCTTCAGTCCGAGCATAGAGCCGAAGTTCTCGGACACCAATTTCAACTTGCGTCTTGGAACTGAGAGGGCTGAACGCTTCGGTACACAAATTGACCACATAGCGCTCCAAAGGCTGCCATCGTCCAACTCTGGGGGAACTTGCAGGGACCCGCAGAACGCCGCCGTCAGTCATCGGCACAATAACAGCTCGAAGCCAGTCTTTCCAGAATCCTACTCTGGTAGCATCACGTCCAAGAATGCCAAACGCGCGAGGGGTCCACAGTCCGCTTTCCCCCGCGGTAAGCCCATCAATTTTCGACGCGGCCCCATGCCTAAGGGGCCGTAGCATTTCCGCCATCAGACTGATCTTTTCTTCAACAGCACTGATTTGCTCATCGAGTGACTCGCGAGCCGATGACCCGGAGGGTATGGTTGGAAGCTTGGCCAGCAGTTGTGACAAATGTGCACGCTCAGCGGCCAATCTTGCTCCCAAACTGCCAGCCAGTTCCCGCTCTTCCTCACTCATGTGACTTTGCCTCCAGCGCTCGCACCTCTTCTCAATTTCCTCAGCCACATCTGTCGTAAGCGCCATCCATACAATGATTGTTACGCCATAGATTTTAGAATTATCATCCGAGGTCATGGTAAATCCGTGCCATGTTGACCGCGGACGTTCATCTGAAGATACTATTTGAATGTCGTTGGGAAATGCGAACATGGGTACATAATCTGGAAATCTCCCTCTCCTACCAGGATCTTCTTTGGCATCGCGAGGCGGATACCTATCGAGTAGTTTGGGCTCGAAGCGACGTTTCAGAGGATGCATATCGGGGTCAAGGTTGAGGGGTTGGGGTGGTGGAATGACCGAGTTGTAGTTACTAAGTCGTCTCGCTGTCCGGACCGAAGCTAATTCGTATACGTCAGTACAGAACGCAGGCTGTTGTTTGCAGTCGTGGCCGAGGAGCATCGTGGGATGCCCTACTACACGATGCTTGGATGGGTCCATACCAGGTCTGGGAGTAGTCGGTTGTTTTCTTGAGCTGTTCATGTCTCTGAAGCTAATCTTGCGCCGTATGCTGCCGCGGATACTGCCCCTGATACTTTTTAGAGGGCTTAGTCTGCCATTAGCATTTTCATCTGCTTTAATTCGTTCAGCCCGTGGATTCACCATCGGTGGCCTAGTCTGCGTCTTCGCGCCCGCAGAGAAGCTGAGATCTTCTAAGAAATTCTCTCGCTCCGCAGCAAACTTAACGAGAGCTTTGTCGAAATCAAAATCTAAAAAGGGCCCATCCGAATTCTCAAACCCTCCAGGTGGAGGGTTAGGTCTAATAGTAGCACTACTGCGATTACTTCTAGTATTGCCATCAAGTTCTTCTAGGGTATGGATTGAGTTGGAGATGGAGGCCCTGGAAAGCCGGTTGCTCGAATTCTGGCGTGAATGGCGAGCGCTACGCCTGTGACCAAGAGGCGGCACTTGAGAATCGGACTGGTCATCAGGTTCGCCATCCTCGGCAATTGCGGTATCCAGTTGATTAGGAGTCGAAGGGACAAGGGGATCGTTATAAGACACAGACTCAATGCCTGCGATCCAAAAATAGTCCGCTAGCGGCGCCGAGGAGCTCTCCATGGCATTGCAGCCCCGTGGCAGTCTTTGACAGCTAGTTTCCTAGATAGGGGATAGAGTAAAGCGCAGACCGGGAAAGTTTAAGAAAGGTCGTTGAAAGAGAAATACTCCAGATGTACCCGCAGGTTGGTACCCCTTCACCTTCGCAAGCCGTAGGTGTGCATTACAAGGGACGGCCGTATAAGCTTTTGTATAACTGGTCAGATCGGCAATGTTGATTTGAATCGCGTTTTCCAATTTTGTGATTTGTCGAGATCGCCGAAGGTGTGTATACAATATACTGGCGCTAATGAGCGAGCCCAAATTTGCCAATCTTCCTGCTAAGACTTCTGCACAACTGACCAGAACTCGGTGTCCTCTCGCACACGGCAATATCAATAATTCGACACCTCGAGGTGAACCGTGTATTTGAGCTGAGGGAAAGTCGGTTTGGCCTAACTCGGATTTCGCAAGTTCAGTTGGAGGAATTGCTATGCACCGAGTTGACTATCCCAGGTGTAATTGATTGTCAGTATGCAGGCAGATATGCTTCGTTCTTGGGGCAAATGGCAACCGGGGACAAGGGTGGAATTTGTTTGGTGATTATGCTGTCTCTTTGCCCCTCTACCTTCCCACTAGATAAAAATGACTATGTGGATGGGCGAGCCGAAATGGTGTTAATGTATGACCATTGCCCTCAAATTCTACCGGCCGTTTTGTTTTCCAAGCCTAGTCTGGCTATTCTTCGATTGTATGAGTATATTCGTGTTTCAATGTTGCGAGACACCTGTATGCACGGCAGTACGGTCTGCTGCGACCTAGATACCTGTAAACATGCAGTGCGCCGGTCGCACCTGCAGGGCGTTCTGCGGCCGTTTTATTCGATCGGATGGGGGTACGGAACGAAGACGACAACACGCGATGATAGCACTTATCGCTGCCACCGCGGCGGCCGCTCGAGATGGGACGAGGTGGAACGGGGCACGGGGGTGAGTAGAGAGTGGGTTGTTGGGTCAAATTCAGACAATGAACAAATCTTGGACTAATAAACAGCCAATTCGCCTCCCGAGTCCGACTAAGTATTCCTCATCATTTGTTCTCGCAATCCGGGGAAGGAAATAGGGGGAAACAAGCAGAATGCCAGCAACACAGAAGAGAGGAAAAAACAACAAGACGGGTCTTCCAGACCAAGACCAATGCAAAGACGATGGGGGTAGAGATCGAGAGATACCTACTAAGAAGATAGTGTGGTGTACAGCAGTGAGGATTTTTGGAGGGACTGGGGGGGAGGGGTTCATGCATGCATAATAGGATCACACCCCTGGAATTAGAGCCAGTACTGTACCTAACTAACAGGCAGCTAGCGACCTAACAGGAAACAGGAAGCAGGCCCTACCCAGAAGCCCAAGTACCTACATACTTACAGTACTACCTATGTATACCTATGTAGGTGCCTTACCTACCTACCTACATAGGTACCTACAGACAGATCTATACTTACCTAAGTATGTAGGTAAGTCAAAAGGAAAGGAAGCGTTAAGTCTAACTGAAGCTTAAAACTAACAGTGGTAAGTTCATGTTGGTGGTGATATGCTAACTGTAAACCAGAACCATCGATACCGGTTTGGATATTCCTACCTGCCTGTACACGTGTAGGTATTAAACTTTTGTCAGGTACATCCCTACATTGTACATAAGTTAGGTACCTATCATACTTCTTAAGTACCTTAGTGAACTTCCAACTGCAGGATTTGTGAGAGGATGGGGAGAGGATAAAGAGAGGATTTCAGAAATGCCCTCACTGCCCCTCACTTAACAACTGTCCAAGCAGATGGCACACTCCCTCCAAGGAAATCTTTGCCTACCTGGGCATGTACAGCTCTAGTACAGAAATACTACTGTATGTACTAATGCCCGTACTCCTGCAGATCTTTGGCCCTAGACCAAGCTTCCAAGTACTTAGCTGCCAAGCTAACCTTTTGGATCCCTTCTCTCCCCGCCATCCACCCCTTTCAGGTGCTATATCAGGGCGCACATCGACATCGGGATATACCCTTTCGCGTGACGACTTACATATACTTGACAATTCCCTCTTTCAGTTTGAGACACATGCCTACACATCGTCCCTACTACCATGAGGCGCGGCTGAATGCCCGTTCGTCTATAGACATCTGGGCCCAAAGAGTAGACCGCCAACCATCCTTATGATGCACTACATAGTATACAGATCAAGTATCCCATCATGAGTAAAGCGGGGCTTCATCCACAAGCAATCGGGCTAGGTACATACATAGTACTGTACCGACTTGCTTCCAACATACGGTACCTATGTTCACCTCCACGGCTACGGTTCGTTGTATGAAACGCAAGGATGCAAACAAACACCACCCACACTCTCTCCACTTCATGGGCGGGTTCGCCAGGGCACTCATCATCCATGTCGAGACTACCTAACCTAGTGGACTACGTGTACGCAGCACAGCACGACGTAGTACGTAGTACAGTACACCACGATAGCATGCTAAGTATCCTACCTACCTAATTGTCTTCTGGTAAGTAGCCGACTGAAACGCCGGCCACTGTTCAATCGTCTCTAGCTACCAAGCCTCTGGTCTCAGATGATACCGACAGATTATCTGCCAGCATTCGAAAAAGGAGCAAGAGGACGGCGGACCAGGAGGGGACGGCTCCGTATCAGAATTGCGAAGCGTGCAATGCCCCAACGACAGCTGACTTCGTGATTGGCTTCACCTCACAGCTTTCCATACCGGTATGTTATCAGAGTCCGAAGTGGAGAGGTGCAGGCGCTTCTTCCACCACTTATCCATTCTCTCGGCTAGTGTGTGATTCCTTCTACCTAGTACTCTTAAGCCAGGGGCAACCCGCCCACCAACACCACTTAAGTAAGTGTGTGCCTGTGCTATTCATGGGTCGTCGATCCATCGTCCGTCTCCTGGTGGGCGACGTTGGTTCGTATTGGAGCCACCTTGGACGCCAATGTAGTATCGTGCAGGCTTGCACATCCAGCACGTCCCACAGTCGACGGGGGGCTTGTTGGCGCTGTTGGCGGTGAAGCGCACAAATGGGCTAAAATCTAGACAAAATCAAGACAAGCTGGTCAGCCCGCCCGGATCCCGGGTCGTGGATCGCCTCGCGAATACCGATTCGCAATGCGAGGGAATGCTCAATTGTGCAAAGCTTTCCGAACGCGACCGATTCTGTCTATGTACACCTGCATACAGACTGACAATACGCTGTACTACGAGTTTGTTACCACAGTTTTTGCAGTATCTTATATGCGCATATAGGTGATCCAGTACACACACCGCAATACTTGTGGGCACCCAGGTCACCGAAACAACACCTGCAGTCAAGGAACGCAAACTACTTACTATTTCACCCGAGGGTTGTTGCCAGCAGCCATTCCTGCTGCGGCTTGTTATCACGTTACTAAAGCCATATCTACCAATAACTCCCATAGGAAACAAGGGTGTGGCCAACAACTTGTCTTGGAGACTCTGGCCACGCAATCTGTATGGTCTATATCATGACATGGATATATGTACGATGTATGTAGGCATGCGATATCCCCCGTACCTGAACCGACCGTCGGCGGTTCTACCCAACGAAGACGGATTCGACAATACCCGCTATTCACACGGAACATACAGCTTTACTTCTGCAGATACCCAGCGAGAATCAGCAATATCAACTCTACAGGTGCCTTGCCCTGCTCGTTGCGCATTACCCAAGAAGGATCCCGAGGGACCTCAGTAAACTATGAAACACATCAACTTCCTCCAGCTAACAGCAAGCTACTAGATACTTGAGATTGTATCCAAGAGGGCATCTATATTTTTAGTTAGGTCGCTTATCACCCTCTCTACATGTGCGTCGCCGGGTTACCAAACCACATGAAGAGCGGCCCAGTAGTACGAAGATGCGGCTCGTTCACGCCTTGCTTTCATAGACAAATGTCACCAAAGCGGTAAATTCTTATCACTTATCAGTAAGCTGTAACAATAACCAACGCATGTCGCAAGCGTCAGTACTATATTATAAACATGATTGTACTCAAAGACGTTGACCATGCTACCTACCTGCTTTCGGGCCCCGCGTGGCTCGACGAGCCGGCCCCTCTCGGAGACGGAAGGGTTGCAGAATCCAACTACCTACTACAGGCCATCAAATTCTCACCAAAATCACCTCTGACTACTACAAATAACACTTCCCCATACTGCACACTCCCAACTTCCTGACTCATATACAGTATATGTGCACTTAGCTTGCCCTCATTAACTACATAGGTATATGGATTAAGCTACACAGTTGGGGTTGTAGATCCTGCCTAAATATACACCAATTGGGAGGCAGCGACCCCCTCTATCTATATAGATCGCCTAGATTTACAATTAGGTAACACACTACGACGTCATTTCATCAACGCAAATTGAGATGCAAACGGACATCTCAGAATAATGGTTAATACTCGTTGTCCATGTATTTAGTACCAAGGTCAGTCCAGGTGAAGGTTTAGGTTTCTAGTTTGCAAACAGACAAGTCACCAAGAACCCCCGCTGGGCCGCGTCTTCACAATCCTACCTTGCAGAATGACGATTTTGTACGATCAAGCGTATTCTGCGCAAAGGCATACACATTCCTTAGTAGGGTCAATACCACCCCTGGGGACATACAAAGACGATATATCCTCATGATCACCCCAAGCTAATTTCCGTTCTTCTGCTCTGCGCTGATGAATTGAGATCTGATGGGTCAGATGAGTTTCACCATGCATAGATGCTTGACATTCTTCGGCCAGCTATTGCTACATTTTGAGGCCAGAGGCCCCATATTACACTACTTCAATACTCCCAATTTGGAGCCTCGTTCCTGGATTCCGAACGAGACGCGTTCTACTTCAGCTCTCTCTCATCTAGACAGGGAAGCCCGGCCAAAACAAGAACCCAAGCTATGCAACGGAGCAATATTGCGGAATCAACGGCAACGGGAATATGAACGGCCCTTCATGCGTAAGAGCGCGTTCTCACCAATGACGATATAGGTAGCTCTGGGGACATGAAATTGCCCGGGCCCTATCATGAATCGTGCTATCCGTCCCGTTGGGCCGTTAGTAAAGCACACTGGGTCTAGACTCGAAACCATTACTTCCCTACCGCGTCTGAGTACCATACGGACACACCCAAATCACAAACAAAGCGCGTCCAATGGAAAGGAGAAAATTGCCCATTTCAAAAGTAGATGCATCACGGACTACATTTAGAGTGCTACGCTATGTATCCGCTCTATGTAAGTACCCAACTTGCACGCCCCCATGCCAAGCTAGTTCTTTTCCCGCCTTACCAAATAGCACCAGCCTTACTATAGCTAGTCGATGACGGCCCCTTGCGTCAAGCAGACCACGAGATCTATTTACTATGTATCGGATATTTTCAACCGTAAACATGCCATCTACGTCCGGAAAAATTCTTGCTAACCCTCCCATACCCTGCCCTTCCTTTGTTCCTCTGGGGTGAAACAGTGATATTTGCTATGCCCGTAGACCCGCCATCATAAGATAGGTACACTCTTCGAATCCTTCAAAAAATAGATCCAAGCCCCCTGTCCATCTGGGAATTCTCAGCCTCGTATTCAGACAAGCTAAAAATTTCTCACTGCTTTCTATCACAATGTGTAGGACGACTCTCGTATGCTAAGCTCGCATCAGGAAAGGGCTTATTTATTCAGGGGTAGCAGTAGCATATCCCATCCAAGCCTTAGATGCGTCTCATCGTTTGAGCAGGGTTAGGTACCTTGCAGCAAAGACGGAAAGTAATTGTCCAACTTTGGCTACTATAAAAGGGCAAAACGGACAAATTGCTGTCTCGTCTGTGTATCCTGCAGAGCTGACTTGCATTTAATGTACATTTGCCTAGAATACAACCCCAGGGTTACCTTAGGTAATTCATATATTATATTACACTACATTACAACGGCTGCACCGTCTGCCAAGCCCCAACGGTCCACCCGTAAAACGAAGAATCGTGTCACGTCAATACACTCCCCATTCTCCATATACCTACCTACCTGTCACGTCAAACGGTGCTCCCCGACCTCGGACGCCGGTATACGGAAGGCTATCTGCGCAAACCGCGTCCGTCCCGTTGCAAGCTGGACTCGATATCCGTCAAAGTGATCAATGCATAATTGGGAATAAGTAGCAGACTCGGTGGCTTACTTATTTCCTTCTGAACGGATATAGATGACGTAGGGTATATCTAGTATGTTATTGTATCACGCAGAAGGTAGGTAGGTATATTGAAACAGTAATTAATGCACCTGCTATTGCATCAACGTCAGTGCGGAAGAGAAAAAAAAAACATCTGAGATCTGTTTAAACCTAGACCTGTTTCATTCATTCATTCGACAACTCACCAACCACTCGATTACCCACGCAGTTGCTTCATTTCTGACCTACATGGGTGCGCGCAGTGGTGTATGCCTATATACAGTTTGAATTGTAACAATTTTCACCTTCGCCGCAGGGAACCGATTTTTTTTTTAAAAAAAAAAAAAAAAAGTCTTCTTTCTCCTCCTCCTTACATATGAAGCCCCGTTCCGTTACGGACCTTGTCCCTGCGGTATTCATCCGGGCCGGCGATGACCGGACCCTCTCAATATTTTTTTTCTCCCCCTTCCCAACAAAGCCCCCCCCCTTACGTCTAACTGCCGGGATCGAGATGCGGTTGTTTACTTGAGACTCTTTCCTGCATAAGCCAGGTACGTGTTATGATTTATTTCCCCTAGGGCTGATGCGCTTTGAACGTGCGGATGACCCGAGCAGCAGCGTTGCGCATGTGTACCCGGGATCCTAGGCGACATCACTTTATGGAGAGTTCTTGCCACAATTTGCATGGCTTCTTATTCTTTCCTTATTAGGATATATCATGTTCTCAGTTGTTGATCTCAAATGTGGGGTGAGAGTCGGTCACCTCCGACAGCGGGTGTCGGGATCGAAGTTGAGTATGTCCATGACTGAGATTTTGTTGATGCCTTACCCAGTAATTCTTCGGGTATTAATGGCATGTGATAATCAACCCCACCCACGCACAGAGGCAATGCGGATCTTGGAGAAGTCAGCCACTATTCTCATGATGCGAGTCGCTCCTAAGGTTTATGTATCGCATTATATAAGTCTATATATCGTGAATGTTTGCAAGAGCGTCAATTGCTGGAACAGACCAGGCTACTCATAATAGGAAGTATGACTCGTCAGATGGGTGCCATTTTGACCTCAAATCAGACGATCCACGTTTGCGAGATCGCCATTTACCTGAAATAGATTACGTCGAAGAGTCTAACGCAATATGTCTTTCTAAATGCTTCATCAGGATGCGCTGAAGCATTCCTTGGGCTAAGGTAATTAGAACAACTGTCGAACGTAACGAGAAGATTGAAAATGTATAGGATCGTCTTACTAAGGAACAGTTTGATGTACGAGGATATCAAGGCTGGAGCATTAGTTCGGATAAATTTTACTTACCTCGCCATTTACGGCCGAGTCTTGTTTGTGGTTGGTACTAGCGCCCAGAGATTCTATCGAGCAGCGACGCGTGTTCCAAGCTTGCCCGTAGACAGGAAGCCCTTGCTACCCATTTCATTTCGCCAGCCTATATCTAGAACACCGAAGATGATTCTCTTATCACGATCCTCCGTGACTGCATCCCGTTGTTCTTCCTCGACAACGAAACAGCACTGTTCGACCTCGCCAGGGTGCAGCACAGGCTTACCCCCGCCGCTGACCTCCCAGTTACAGTCCTGATACCGAAGTCCCGGCTCAAGTTGTAGCCGTACGCTCTGTAGCTGCATGAGATCCTCACTGCAATTCTCAAGCTGGGCCTCCATGACCCAACGTCGGCCAAGGCGCTCAGAGCCACTAGAAACCAGCGGAGGCGGGAGTGGCCCGACTTTCGTCCGCACTATCAATGACCCCTTGCAGATAAATTGATATAGCTTGCGGAATGTACGAACGCGTCCACTTGTCTCAGTTGCCTCGTAGTAGCTGACCGTGACTACCAACACATGATTTCCTTCCTCATGAAGATCGTAGTTAACAATCTTTTGTAGTGATTGGCCGGATTCCAGATCTGTACCACTGCCTTGTCTCTCGTTGTCGCCTTCTTTGTCCGTAGCTGACGAGTCCGTTGGCTGCAAGACTATTCTCTGTGGTGTAGTCACGCTGGGCGTTTTCATCTCTGCCTCGATGCGCACGTCGCGGATAAACTTCTTCTTGACCTGCTGTAGGGGGTTGCTGCCTGATGTTGTAGGTATGCCTGGCTCTATTTCGGTTGGATTCGGCGGTATGTCATGGTTGGCGCATAATGTACAACTAAAAGTCTCGCCAACGTATGCAGTTCCAAATGAAGGAGGTAGGTTCAGAATCGGCGTTAGGAGAAATGGCTCGGGGTTCGTGCTGCTGTTCGCGGCATAGGCGAGAGAGGCCGAGATGGGAGGGGCATCGCCGGACGGGCTAGACAGCGGCGTAGAGAGAGTTTGCTGTACGACAAGCGATGGCCGTGACAACCTGTTGGCAAAATGAATCAGAATTGATCTGCCTACTGCCTAGGTGCGGAGGATAGAGAAACCGGTTCGATTACCGTAAGACCTTAAGCGAGACGGAATGTGGCTCTTTGGGATCAACGGAAGGGTATCGCTGGTGACTCATGGCGCAAGGCTGGCGAGAATCTAAGCACTATTAAAAGATTCAACGTTGCCGTCTCGGATCGAAACACTTATGAACTATTGCATGGCCGCGAGACAATATGTGGTGCGATGTAGTAGTAATGAGCAGGAAGCAGAGGACATGTTTAGTCCCGGTGCTTCGGAGTTGCCACCACGCCTTGTCCGGCTCACTAGCCACCAAGCCAACTCCCATTCTTTCCTAACATTTAAATTGGGTTGAACGTAGTTTCAAATCAACGATTGCTCATTTCAATGTTACAATTGCACACAACTTCTATTCAACATTCATTCAGTATTTTCCTATTGTAAGTTTTGTTAAAAACACACCAGACCTTACTCCAGTTAAATAGATTGCCAAGGGACCTTTTATTTTGCCCATGGAGGAGAGGGAGCTCTCCACAAGCTTTTACTGCAATGTTACTTGCCTAACTCGAGTAGGTGGGTAGGGACCTAGTGATTAGACATGCAAATAAATAACTTTCCGAAATGCTCCAAGTCCTTTCTAACACATACCTATCATCTCTACAGAATGTTGTCTTTCTTAACATTTCTGTACTTACAGACTAACTATCTAGGCTTTTGCGTGTAGCAGTTGCACAGGCCGCCTAGGGGGACCTTTTGTAAGCATCGCACCTATAACTAAGTAACAGCAAAGGGCCCCAAGCATCAATATAAGGATACTCTTCTCAACTATGAATAAAATTTCCCAGCCATTGAGCATCATCCGGTCTTACATCTCTCGCGAGAAATTCCGCACAGAGCGGATCTCTGTCTAGCGAACAGAATTTGGTGCCTCGGGATCAACGACCGAAGCAGAACTAACCTAGAGACCGGGTGGAGGTGGAACCTAGCATCACAATTAGCGAAGTACATCAACCCAGGAGTGTAGTAAAAACATACAGCACCGTAAGAAGGAGGGCCTGGTGGAGGAGGTGGTGGCGGCGGAGCTGCTCCTCCTGGCGGAGGTGGTGGAGGAGCCTCTGTGGGAGGTGGAGGCGGAGGTGAAGCTGCTGCTCCAGGAGGTGCGGGTGATCCTTGCTGAGCTGCCTGAGCAGCTGCGTAGTATTGCGAATACCATTGCATGTAGCTAAATCGCTGGATATTAGCAAGGAAAAGACTTTAGGGACTAGGTAATAAGACATACTTTGCATAACCACCATATGCGGCATAGGGGTCCTGGCCACCACCATAGTATTGAGCAGCATACTGGGCAGCATAGTCGTTATTTGCCCCAGGGGAATTGCTCGCACCGCCAGACGTGGGCGAAGCCACGTTCCCAGCAGGAGCAGACGAGTTGCTGTAACCCCCGTGCCCACCATATGAACCAGAACGATTTCCGGATTTGTCATATCTATCACCGCCATATCGGTCACCATGGCGATCACCGTAGCCACCGCCACCTCCACCACCGTGGCCACCATAATGTTGTCTCGGAGGACGTGTCTTGAATTCTTCATACTGATCCTTGACGTTGCTGACAAGATCTTCGCATAGCTCCTTGGCCTTATCTACCATCTTAGGATCGGGGCCCCTATTTTGACATTAGATCCCCAAACACAGTAGAGTCTAATAGGAAACGAGAAACTCCACTTACGCTACATGAAGATACATGTCGTCGTCGCTCTCGCGATTTGTTGATGCCTCAAGATAGCCTGATCCACGCCCTTTAATCTGGACACGGCAACCTGTCTCTTGCTGGATATGCTTCACGTACGTACCTCCATGACCAACAATCTGCGCACGTAGGTTAAAGCCTTGAACAGGTTCGAGGCTGATAGGTATCTTGGCTTCGGGCCATTTACGCTGGACTCGGATCAGCATCTGGGTATGCTAAGGGATCAGACGATGCTTTGATAATGCAACTTACACGTCCAAATTCGTCCCGTTCGACCTGTTCTTGATCACGACGACGGAAACGCCGTTCATCAACGAGATTTGGCAATTCTTGCTTCATCATTTCTTCAATCTTCTTAACTGCTGCATCCAGGCCAGCTTTCGACGTGCTTGTAACGTGAAGGTATAGAGGCGGCGCCTGGTAACAAGTTAACTCTCTTCCTCGAAATAGTTATAGTCAAATGCTTACAGCTGAAGTGGCCATGCTTTTGTCGGGATAATAATTGCCGCGAGTTGTGACATCTTTCAAAGTCAACCATGGTGCTATCAATAAATCAACAGAAAATCTAGGAGGTTTCTCGTACCAGCTCCGGTTTCTTCCTTAATCTAGATCACGGTGGAGGTCAGCAGATGCCACAGAGGGGTGTCGTGTGCGAGCTAGTATGCTTCGATGTAAGCGACACTGTCCGAACACGACTAGGACTAAAACTGGAGGAAGGAAGGGCCCGGTCAACGGGCAAGCTTTCTGAAATGGATCAGTAGAAATTGACCAAGGGCATTATTTACCATCTTTTGCGTAGATCCTTTTGTCAGTAGGTATCGGTTCCTCAAATCGTTGACTTCGATATCCTTGATGTAGTCTCCATCGGAAACATAGACTTCACGGTTGAGACTCCCCGATTTCCCAGCATTTGCATCGTCCGCACCGGTCGAGTCAGAAGATTTGATGGGAGGAACGTCGACATGCTGAATACCCTTCCTTGCCTGCAGTTGTGCGTTGATCTTCGCGGCCGCCGCAGCTGTGTGTTTCTCGATTAGCCTTTTAAGTTTGAGGGTAAAGGACAGACGGATTGGACGAACCGGCAGCTGCAGCAGCATCTACAGGACTCTTCTTGGTCTCTGGCGTTGCGCTGTCAGTGCCTCTGTTGAGAGGACTGCGATCGCGCGCACCGTCTGATTTACGAGCGGCCGGGGAACGAGACCTTCGGTCAAACCTCGAACGACGAGGCTCAGGCTCCGTCTGGTCAAAACGCGATCGCTTCGCGGCCCGTCGTTCCGTGTCGCCCATACCTACGGTGACAATGCTAGGCTGGTCGGGTATAGGGCGTTGATGTCTGTATTAATACTATAGAGGAATCAGGTCTCTGAAGAAAGCTGGGGTGCATTTAGCTTGGGCTAATAGCAATAAAATGCTGGTCAATGTTGGAGACAATGCTGCGAAGATGAAGATGGCAGCCAGTGCGATTGATGTTCCCTTAGAAAAATGTATTCTTGGCATGAATGGGGCTTCCACAAATTAAGCTTAGCGGAAATTCCAAGCCCGACCTCAGGTGTGGAGCACCCCTCATTTTATACATTGTACGCGACTGAAAGATAACATGCAATAAAGCGTGCCTAATGGTCTACCTAGGTAAAACACCTGTGGACCTCGACCTCGAGCAGTTAAACATTTACGTCTAACCTATCCCGGTTAGCGAGCTTTCTAGCTACATGTAGGTACTTACTACAGTATGTACATCCTTGCTGACATTCAAATAGGCCTCCGATATTCGCAGCGGCCCCAGCCGAGCTTCATAGTGGGAGCTTGTTAGCCGCCAACTTTTTCTCCTTCTATCGTGAGTCAAGCCAACATTGAACATCACCAAACGGACCACAGTTCTCGAGAACCGCCAAATTCTGATCAGGGACCTTTTAGTCCCAATTGATGATCAGGAAGATGGCGTCTCGCGCCCTCATCCAGGCCAATTGCTTTCGAGCTGCAACGGCCGCTCTGCGCGCTGGTCCGCAAACCGCTCGATGGAGTTCTAGCACCAGCTCGACCTCGGCCATTGCCTACAAAGCCCTTCGCCGTCGTCAAGCTCCGCTTCCTACAAGTGATACGCCGTCGGCGTGGTCAGCACAGGCAGCCGTATCTAACATCCTCTACGAGATGCCCACCCCCTCCATGACCCCGCCAAAGCGGCATGTGCTCAACTGCCTCGTTCAAAACGAGCCCGGTGTGCTGTCTCGAGTCTCTGGTATTTTGGCCGCCCGTGGCTTTAACATCGACTCGTTGGTGGTCTGTAACACAGAGGTGGAGGACCTCTCTCGTATGACCATCGTTCTGACCGGCCAAGATGGCGTAGTCGAACAAGCCCGTCGTCAATTGGAGGATTTGGTCCCTGTGTGGGCCGTCTTGGATTACACAAACGCACCCCTCGTCCAGCGTGAGCTACTGCTTGCGAAGATCAACATTCTAGGCCCAGAGTACTTCGAAGAGCTCCTGGCTCACCACCGCGAGATGACGGCCGAAGTTGATGCCGAAACCAGCGAGAAGACCTTAGGGGAGATTTCACAGGACTTTCACCCCAGCAAAATGGTTGCCAGTCAAGCCCTACGACACAAGCACGAGCACTTGAAGTCGATTACATATTTCGCGCACCAATTTGGTGGCAAGGTTCTGGACATTAGTACCACCAGCTGTATTGTTGAAGTGTAAGTGTTGGCTAGTTTTCGTATTGTGTCTCCGAAAGCTAACGTAATGCCAGTTCCGCGAAACCCGTTCGAATTGATTCGTTTATGAAGCTGGTAGCGCCATTTGGTATCCTCGAATCTACACGTACTGGTCTCATGGCCTTGCCCCGCTCACCTTTGTTTGGACCGGATGAGGAGGCTGTCCAAAAGGAGGCAGATGAGGTTGTTGATGCTAGCCAGCTGCCTCCTGGTTAATGGATATTTGGCCAGGAATAATGGGTATGATGGCGTTTTTTCAAAGGCTTGATTAACTTCTTTCATTTACATATCACCGAAGAATTAGAGATCATGTGGTGCAAACTTGAGAAAAAAAAGACCTATGTATGTCAATCTTGGGTAGAGGTTGGAATTCACGAGCTCTCATTTCAACATTTTGATATCTGGCCGTAGCCATAGACTCCCCTATTGCGCTCCTTGCTGAATTCGACTAGTCCCGCCGCACCTTTTGTTTTGGTATCTGTAATCAACCGAAATACATACTCCAAGCCCAATAGCACAGTAATTAAGGGGCACATTCGTAGTTCTTTTAGACTTGATTACGACTGCATTGATGCTCCAAATTTTTTAAGTTTCTTTTTTTCAAACCAAATTGCCTTTGTTGGCGACAAATCCTTCCAGAGCCGCTATGTACATATTAGTAACAGAAATTAGAGCAAAATGAGGGACCAATACGTACCGATAGCTGCCCACAAGCGATTTTCTCCTTCCTGGAATACCAGTGATCGTGGACCATACATAACCTCGTCGCTTACTTCCTCAGGGTGACGAGGGAGGCAGTGCATGAACTTCCAATCGGCCTTAGCCCCGCCCCTTTTGGCTAGCTCATCCGTGACTCGAAACCCAGCAAAAGCCTTTAATCGGTTTTGCGTCTCTTCCTCCTGGCCCATAGACACCCAAGTGTCGGTCACAATGACGTTTGCATCCTTGACGGCCTCCTCAGGAACGAAATATTCACTAATCGTGCCTGGAGACTGGGCTGTCTTGGCTTGCTCCTTGATAAAGGCCATCATATTTTCAGGGATGCGGTAGTCCGGGGGGGTTGCCACAGATATATCTACACCGAGCTTAATGCACCCGATTGCTAAGTCGAAGAGAACGTTGTTGGCATCTCCAACCCAAGCTACTTTCAAGCGGTCAGGTACGACGCCGGAGGAATTCACACCCTGCTGAGAGAAAACTTCGTGAATGGTTAAAAAGTCGGCAATAGTCTGGAGAGGGTGGAAGTCGTTTGAAAGTGCGTTGATAACAGGGACACTGGAGTGTTCCGCTAAGCCCGCAACATCGCTGTGAGGACCAACGCGGGCTACCATGCAAGATGTCATTGACGAGATGATCTTGGATGTGTCATAGAGAGATTCGTTCACCTAAGCGGTTAGCCTTGGGTGATAGATATTAATTATTTTATTAACTTACGCCCAACTGAATGTCATCCTTCCCTAGAAACATGGGGTGACCTCCCATCAAGGCCACGGCTGCCTCAGTCGACACACGAGTACGAGTGCTTCGCTTGCTAAACATCATAGCGACAGTCTGACCAAGCAATTTGTTTTTGATTGCCTCGGGAATTTGACCGCCTTTGACGGCTTTTTTATGAGAGGCGGCATTGAGAACCAATTGGGAGAACTCAGATGGGCTTAGGTCGCCAATGGTCATAAGATGTCGAGGTTTGTAGACTTCGGTGGAATAGCTCCTTGCTGAAGTATGCTTAGCTGCATTTCGAGTGAGTCGGTGAATTGAAGAACGCATATTGAAGCGATTGTTTGTCAGAAAACCCGTGTCGATGGCGATAGATTATTAGCTGCAGAGCTCGGGTGAATGAGGGTCTAATGAGTGTTGTGGATGCTAAGCAAGTTAATCGGCGGATGGTGTAAACTGCATGAATAGATTTGAACAATATCAATTGGCTTTATACTGTATGAGAAGAATCCGATATGACTCTCATGACAGATATCTCTGGTAACTACAGAGTAAGTGACTCATGGGTTTCAAGCAAATATGTATTATTTCATCAGTCAGTGATAATTCACGATACACCAACATACTACTGCAGGTGGTGCTGCGAACATCGGCGAAGCAACTTATCGCCAACCGCCCACAGCTGCATATCGTCGGGCTTATTTGTGTGTACCTGGGGCTCCGCCTGGGCCTCGTCCCCGGGTCACGCTAGCTCAAATGCGGCAAGGTCTCGAGCTTGGCTATGACTCGAGCAGCCTGGCGAGGCCTGGTTGAGGTTTAAGTACCGATATGGTATCTCGTCGCGATATCAATTACTAGAAGATACTTATCAGTACTTCCTACTCTTGAAACTGGATGACGACGTGCATCTCTAATGATAGGTACACTTAGGTACAGTAAGTGGCCATTCCATGGAGCTGTTGCTAAGATCCCCCTTCCATTGATCAACACATTCTGATTCCCATCAAAGCCCAGATCCTATATCTAACTCAACCTCTTCCATACTATCATCGACATCTCATCATCAATTCGAACGTCTCTTTTAACTCTGAACTCTTAACACTACCTTGGTGCTGTCCCAAGGTTGGCGTGAGCTGTGCTACGTACGAACAGCAGCCCATAAGATTCTCCGTCCCAAATCATGGTCGCGCGACTATAACTTACTGGTCCTGCTGTTTGCATTACCTAGCATCCACCATGTCACACGACGAAGCCTCTCCTTTGCTGTCCTCGGCAAAGAAAGGCAAAAACACTGACCTCGGCCCCCAAGAGTCGGCTGAGTCGACGCCTTTACTCTCCAGCAGCTCTGCGACAGTGGGGTACGATGGCGACAGCGCCGAGCGAGAGGATGATAATGCCTCGATACGATCCCGCCAGAGCCACCCGTCCTCAACCCATAGTACCAAGAAGAAGCTACGAAGATGGCCTTCGTTCGTGGCTATGGGAATATTAGGTTGTTTTGTTATCGCAATCATTGTGCTTGCCTTCATCGTACCCGATGCGGTGCAAGAATACGCCCAGCAAGCTGCTGTTATCGAGCCCACGAGCTTGTCGATCGACTCTATTACCACCGACGGAGTTCGCGCCCGTATACAGGCGAATTTTCAGCTTGATGGCTCAAGGGTTAAAAACGACAATGTGCGCAGGATTGGCAAAGCTTCTACTTGGGTTGCTAATCAGCTTGGGAGCGACGCGGCCAAGATCGATGTCTATGTGCCTGATTATGACAATATCCTGCTTGGTTCTGCTACTATACCACCGCTAGTCGTCAGTCTCAGAGATGGAATTATGACGCAATTTGATTTCATTGCAGATATACACCCTGGGAATGTCGAGGGGTTGCGTACGATTGCAAATGATTGGCTGGATGGAAAACTCGACAACCTGCGTCTAAACGGCAAGACTGATCTAAGCCTTAAGTCAGGCTTTATTCCTCTCGGAACACACACAGTCTCCGAAACTCTGATTTTTGAAGGTCAATCACTCTATCGTTCCTTTTCCGCCCTTTATTTTGGAGAGAAGGTGTTCTTCTAGCCCTGAAACGAAGCATTTCGTGGCTATGTGTTTGTAATAAACATAGACTAATGTTCGAATAGCAAATAAAATTCCTGTCATCCCAAAATACAACATAACACGTTTCAACGTTGAAGATGGTCCCATAGAGGGTTCCATTCTTGTTGATATGTCTCTTTCAACATTCAATGAGTACCCGATTGAGCTTGACATTCCGGAGCTCGCATTTGAAATCATGGTTCCTGGGTGTGCAGACACGGACCCCTTTATTATTGTAGCGGAGGCTTCTACCGGAAAGCTCCATATAGAGCCAGTGTCAGAGGTATTTGCGAGTGTTTACGGGGTGATCCACGAGCTCCCAGATTCTTTAACACGCGTCTGTCCGGATTCCTCCTCGTCACCTTTGGATATGTTCTTGAAACAGTACATGCACGGAGAGCCCGCCACGTTATTCGTTCGTGGCAGTAGTCGCCCGGACGGTGACACTCCCAAATGGATTGCCGACATCTTAGCCAGCGTAACCGTCCCAGTTCCCTTCCCCGGAAGGACACTAGACGGCATGATCAGGGATTTCTCTTTAACTGATGTCCACTTTACTTTGCCTGACCCTTTCGCTGATCCAGATGATCCTGACGCGAGCCCCAAGGTTTCAGGAAATATCTTGGTTACTGCCAGCATTCCATCTGACATGAACCTTGCCATCAATGTCACCAATGTACGGGCTACTGCTGATGTTATATATAAATCCAAGAAAATGGGCGAGCTCAATCTGCGGAAGTGGCAACATGCTAACTCGACAAGGGTTGATGGCAAAGGGAAAGACGGGCCAAGTCTGAAGATCGAATCTCGCATAATCGAAGCCCCTCTCAACATAACTGATGCCGACGTTTTCTCCGATGTTGTGCAAGCGCTCCTATTTGGAAACAAGCCTATTTCGCTTGATATTCAAGCTCTTGTTGATGTTAAAGTGGACACCTCACTAGGAGAACTCATTTTAAAGGAGGTCCCTGCCGAGGGAAAAGTGCCAGTAAAACGTTCGTCCTCGCTGCTTTGATCCAGTTAGTCTCCTCTTGATGGGTCGTTTCCGAGATATTCAACCTCGGCAGGCCACTCTTTTTTGTCTGCCCCTCTAAACCCCGTTTACGTGTAGGCGTGCTGACTGGCCAACAGCCCTTCCCAAAGGAGCGATTGACGACGTCAACCCCAAGATCAGCTCATTGAAAGTGGTCGACAGTTCTGCAGATTCCCTTACTCTGCAAGCTTTGGTTAACGTGACCAATCCTTCTGTATATACAGCTTACATTCCATTTATCAATGTCCATCTAGTTGCCAACGGTACAGTATTAGGAGATGGCACAATTAGGAACGCCCATATTCAATCGGGTATGAACACCAATATAGTCGTCACTGCCACTTGGAGCCCAGCGAAAGACGGCCCACATAGCCGGGGAGTTGGGCGAGACCTAGTCTCTCAGTATCTCTCAGGGTTCAACACGAGCATCACTGTGAAACCACACCTGAATACCATACCAGGCCAACCCATTCTCTGCAAAGCACTTTCACATTTCAATGCGACATTTGCCGTTCCTCGGCTGAGGCTCCCCGGCGACTCACCCGGCGAAAGCTCTCATTTTATCAGAGATGCGACTTTCCACTTCTTATCGTCAACCGCTACGTTTACACTCGTATCTCCTTTAAAATATGATACAATATATCTAGACTTTGTTAACGCTACTGCCTTATACAACCATACTGAACCAATAGGCCGTATTCTTTACGACCTCCCATTCGCAGCTCCTCCTGGAATTTCACAGACTCCTCGGCTACCCGTTGTGTGGTCACTAGACTCAGTCGGGTACGATGCCGTCCGTAAGGCAGTCGGTGGTAAATTGCAACTAGATGCCCGCGCTACTGTTGATGCTCGGCTAGGCAATTGGAAGGAGTCATTTTGGTATCACGGGAAAGGCATTGGTGCCAGTGTACATCTGACATAAGTCATTCATCAACCAACATCTCTTAAAGGGCGGTGATATACATAAGAGCAAGGCGTTCGGGAGTTTCTCGGTTTCAATACATAAGGCTTTGGGCGTTCATACAGGGTATTGTACAGGAATTCGTCATCTTGGTAGATTGCCGGCATTGAGTAGCAGGCTGACATTACCGTATGCAAAGAATGCAGGAGGCCGCTCGGAAGAAGCTCTCGTCAGTTGCTGACAGGTCATGAGACTACATTGGCCTGCCCTGATTCTGAGCTGACACAGCATAGCCTTAATCATTACTTTTACCCAAGTGCATAGTTCTAGCTGAAGGCTATCACAATGCACAACTAGATTGATTCGGACGGCTCCGATCCAAAGGGTGTGCTCGAAAGCCACAGGTCTCGTAAGTGATTGGTGAAGATGTTGCTGATGACGTAATAACGCGAGATTGTCGATGGAGGCGTTTGTCGAGGCGTTCATGCTTCTGAGCTGGCTATCGTAGTTTGTACACTAGCATACTCCAGCCAAAAATAGACGCTTAAGCATCTAACTAGCAAACAAGGGCCTCTTTGCAGAGTTCTCCCCCGCAAATCCATTTACATTATAATACTGCTAGCTCGCTGCGTGCGCCATGAGCTGAGGGTAGGATTCTGGTGCTCGGCGAGCATGTAACGTTTCTGCCTTTGGTTGGGTCACGCTAAGATGGCTCGAGTCCTTCGTGGGGCAAAGATGATATAGGTAGACTGTAGTCTAGAGTGAGCGACGGCTTATTCCATGCTCAGCCTTACGAGAGTCTATTCTAGGACTCCAAGTTTGTCCTGTTGGTTACGGAGGTATGTTAATACGGGTCTTGGCGGCTGAGCACGTGTCCGCGCTTGTCTTACTACCCGGATTCAAAGGTGCGCCGGGTACGTGAGAGCTGGAAACCCGGAGCGGCGGGAGCCTTAGCTGTTTGCTTCACTTTGTCCTAAGCTTCTATTATAAGCCACTCTTATTCTTACGTGTATGGTACGCTTGATAAGGCATGAATTATAGGTGTTCGCACCATCGACATTTTGAGTGGTCAATACGGAGTAACTGTTCACCGTATTGTTCTGAGTGCTTACCAAATACGCAGAAAACACGCATACCGGCTTCATGGAGCGGTTTCGGTCTAACTCATACCATGTACGTCACCAATGAATCCCTTAATACACATGATACACCAGCAACCTTCGGGACAGTCCTAGAGTCTATGTAAAAAGCGGTCATTACTCAGCCAATGTCTTGCACATCTATATTGTCGGCGGCCGGCTGGACCTGCTGTGTTCTGTGCTCACCGAGATTTGGATCGTGTAAAGGTATCACTGCAGCTGAGTAGATTAAAGGCTAGCACGCACGTACTACGTACTCGATGACCAAGAATGGCGGTAGGCGGCTTGGGCGGCTTCGCGATATACGAGGTATTGGCGAAGGCGTGATAGAGAGAGAAGATTTCTGGGTCAGCTCATCGTCGCTTGACAACACGTTGTTACCTAATATCGAAGTAGTTCGACTATAGCGAGATCGAAAGACAGCTGGCCGTGGTGGCACAGCTCTACTATGTAGCTGTTGGCGCTATGCCGGTGAACATTCGGGGTAAGCACTCACCACCAAAACTTAGCCAATAGCAGAAATCTATTATTCACGGGCAATGTTTGCAGCTCAGGTCGGCAGTGCATCTCACAAGCTAACAACGTGATGACCAAGTCACGGCGAAATTAGATTTGATCTGTCTTACGTCTTAGGAGGTCACCAAAATGGAGGCAAAATGATGAGAGTCAGCATGAGTTCGAATGTGTATATAAAGGGGTGCCTCCTGGAGGTCTGGAGGTGATTCTTTTCCAGCATCACCACGGATAACAACAGAACAACAGCTTCACCCAACTCGAACACCACAGACAAACCAATTCCTATCTTCCAGATCATTATCACTCGATCACTTCTTTAACCTCTTCCACCTCCTTAGTCAAAATGAAGTTCACCACTGCTGCTCTCGCCCTTCTCCCCGCAACTCTCACCGTTGCTGCCCCGGCCGCTACCTCTGGCTACGCTGTCCCCAGTGTCCTTAAGATCCATGATATCAAGACCAACTTGAACAAGCCTAGCACTTTCACTAGCACAGTCCGCAATGGCAACCAAGAGACATCTACTCTTTACGACATCCCCATTCCCGCCGCGGCTGCTGGGCGCACCTGCGGGCTCGTGTTCACCGCAACGGCCGCGGATGATCTCCAGGGCACTCGTTCTATCGATTTCTTCAAGAATCTTTTCACGGATCTGAACTCGTTGACCTCGGGCAACCGCCGCGACCAGGGTATCTCTCGCAACAAGTTCAACCCTGCCACCGGCAACTACGACTTCGTGCGCAGCGACGTAACTCCCACCGTCGAAGCCTTCCCCTGCCCTGCCGGCAAGGTCCTCCACTGGGAGGCCGCCGCCGTCGGCGACTTCGACATCAACAACGTCCCACAGGACTTTGCTTACGATGGCGTCCACGTGCCTCACGGACTCAGCGTTCGCTGGTGGTAAATCTAGGACTTTCTCTCGTCCATCCAGCATCACGTCAGAGATTCTTCTTCTGGTATATATTTGCATCAGCTTTAGATTAATGGTTCGACATTGGGGATCTAGGAAATTGTTTTGGGAACTGGTGTAGCGGGACACTCCTTGAACTCAGCATCACTTCATCTATTCATTCCTTCTAGGCAGGACACGGTATGGCATAGAACATATAGGCTCAAAAATAAAAACTCTCCTTAATTTTCTCGAATCGTTTATTTGCCCTCCGTTTCTGTGAAGCTCTTTATGTCCCAACATGTTAACTGCAAGTAGTTCTGCGGCCTGGCTAGATTTAGTCCAATTTCTCTGAGAGCAGGTGATATTGCATTAAACCTAGCGGCTTTCTCACCTAAAGAATTAATGAGTCACATAGGGCATTAAGAAGGGGGGGGTATGTAAGAAATTGGCGGCTTATGGGAGCATAACGGAAAAGCGCATATGATGATATTATGAGATTACGTAGGGCTCGGGAAAACGGTAAATAGGTACTACAACGGTAGGTACTTGGACCGAAGAGCTACTATGCGCATTACCTACGCATCAGTCACGTATAGCACTGACTATTCCACGGGATACTATTATTGATGAGTTCGTTCCATTGTGGAACATATGATAAATCGGTACTGCATGTGTTAAGGAGGGTGCTAATCATAACTGCTTTTTAGTGCGGCTCCATGCTGAGCTGAGACTGGTGACTAGTTCTCAACATGTATTTTCGCCCTAAGCACGTATGTGTAAGGAGGCTCGGCGTCATGCTCACTGAGAATAGAACATCATTCGCCGAAGTTCTCCAAGATACGGCTACACAAGAACGTGTCGTCGCCCGGTCTTATTTCTACCAGATATGTTTACCGAAACAAGTAACACCAGTTCTTATTGGTTCCCGCCATTCTTGACGATCCAAGGCTGGGACTGGAGTGGAGAGGGGAATTTCTCAGGCTGCCTATTGGTTTACGGCCTCTTGGAAGCTTTCGGAAATGGAATTCAAATGCTGTGATACGTCCGGTCGATTACCAGCCACCCGGAAGTCGTCGAGGCTGAGTATGTGTCACTGTAAGACCAGGGCTAATCAAGGCCGAGACATCGAATGTTTCCTCATTATCTAGGCCGAAGTTTGGTTTCACGGATTATATACCCAATACTATCCTTACGATATCCTCGATGGTGAGTTCTCGGAATCTAAGCATACGGTGTGTACACTTGTTCCTGGGTCTTCGACGTCAGTTTGATACGAAGTGCAAAAATTCAGCATAACTGTTATTGGATACACTTGCAGTGTGATAAGTGTCATAATCAAGGCATCCTGATCATTTAGACGGAGAAGGACTGAGCGAAATCAAAGGCTTGATCAATATAAGACAACATGCGAGGATCAGTACAGAATTGGAAGTACTGAGCTACCATCGAAGACCCTGGGAGAGGTATAGTAGTATACGCAAGTGTTTGGTCTTTCGTTCGAACTAGAAGATTCATATACACCTTGTCGTTGCATTTGGGATCGCATGTTAGTTTGTTACGTTCTGGCTAGAAGCCAAGTCCATTGGCTAGTGTATATATATTGTGTTACCAGGTTACGGGCGAACATTGTTTAGTTGGGTATTGAAAAATATGTAATTGCCTAGATAGAACTGAACCCGGTGCACTTTTGCTCAGGATAAGTTATCACTAAAAGCCATTACAATGTCGTTGTACCGTGGCGTCGCGTGCTAATTAGCCAGTCAAAAAGCTACAGTGCATTTTGAGCGACCCCTATTTCATTGTGATCGTGTTGGTTCTACGCCTCCACTACAAAGTGCTTTGCCCTCATCAGTGTTAGCCTTACTCATAATATATTTATCATATAAGGTATTATTTTTCGCAGAATATCGTCTTGCATTATTTAACTTGTTGGAATAGCCAGGCGAATCAGCGTGCTTCGCGAGTGGCAATGACCCTAAACAACCTTCGGGTCATAATCTCCCGCCATGACGGAACTTAAATCAATGGTCACAGTACCTGTCTGCAGACGATTAGAGCCCAATGGGTTACATAAGACTCATATGGTAGTATCAAGCGTCGTAAAAATAAGTATGAACCTGTTTGTGTCCAATGCCGATCAGCCTGAGTTGGTGTTCACCACAGCTGGGATATCCCGAACCCACTCCCGAGTATTCTTGTCCGACTACTATTCACGAGTTCGTTAATGTAGACCATTGGGATTGAAAGCTTCGGCTGACTGGGAGAGATGCACCCCGGATTCTTTCCCACTGTCCGGTTGCGAGCCAGCAATTAACCCCAGACGGCTACATGTGATGCATATTAAGCTTGGCGCTCCCAATTTGAAGAAAGTGCCTAAACAAGATAGCAAGCATATATAATTCATACATCATTGGCCACTGCTGATGAGGGTCGTAGCATCTAATCAAGCTCATATACTCCTTGGTGAGACTAGCCCTCAAAACATCACGAGGCTTTTAGCCTAAAAGGTGTGATGATCCGTGGTGGTCAAATATTTTGATGGTATTGCAATACTTTGGGGTGGGTTTATAATAATGTACCGGTTTCCCTCTGATGCGAAAGGATAGCGGTTCATTCGTCAACAACCTGTTCATCATGCTACCATCATTCCTCCTCGCAGCTGTTGCCTTGCTCCCAGGAGCTTTGTCTCTTCCACAATTTGGGGATGTCCTTCATGGGGAAGACTCAAACGCAACTCTAGAGGCTAGACAGGGCTACTATTGGTCATTCTGGTCTGAAGGAAGTGGCAACTGGAACTGCAGGAACGGCAATGGGGGCTCTTACACAGCGACCTGGTCGGGCAACAACGGAGGGTTCGTCTGCGGCAAGGGATGGAGCCCAGGTGGTGCCCGGTTAGTTCGACGATAGGATAACTCAGTTATGCTTTGGGATCGATGCTGACGTGGTGGCACAGGACCGTGAAGTACAGTGGCACTTACGTTCCAAAGGGGCCCGGCTATCTCGCTATTTACGGCTGGACTACGAATCCTCTGATCGAGTATTATATCATGGATTCTCATGGAGACCTTGCACCTAACGAGCCATGGACCGCCAAGGGCAACTTTACGATAGCAGGAGAAGGAACTTACCAAGTGTACACCAGTACTCGAGTCAACAAACCATCGATCGTCGGCACAGCCACTTTCCAGCAATACTGGGTACGAGAAGTGCACTTTAGTATAGCGTTGCTGGGTTGATTCTAATTTTCATTCTAATATAGTCTGTCCGTAATGAGACCAGAGTGGGCGGAACAATCTCCACCCAACAACACTTCAACGCTTGGAGGTCATTCGGCATGAACATGGGCAACCACAACTACAGTAAGCCAGAACAGCCATTATCTTTTCTTTCGAGCAGTTTATTATTAGCATTATGGACTGACTTTTACCTATAGTGATCTTAGCAACGGAGGGCTACACCAACGGCGCGAACGGGCCCAGTGGGACAGCTTCACTCACCCTTAGTTAAGCTAAGGCTTGAAATAGCTTTGATGAACTGGACCTATGAGGACGGAAGATCAGCCTTTCAACTACAGTCGCTAGGATCTGAATGGCTTTCTCTTAATAGGTAGTGGATATCTAAGACTGAGCGTTGTCTATACGGTATTAGTACTAGACTCTCAAACCCAATGTCACACAGATGTCTACATAGTGAGCGTCTCGTAGGTGAGAACCTAACACTCGGCGTTTATCGCAGTTCATTTAGTATATACCGCATGTTGTAGAACGGTTGAAGACAGAAGGTCCTCGGTTGTATATCGGTTAACAGCGCGCACGCCCCAACTATCACGGCAACTACTGTGGTGTCCAGTGTAGCTTTTCTTTTGTTGTATTCCGTCAGCGCCGAACTTCGCCATTGAGCTCATCTGCTCATTTAGAGTGCAGACACCGCCAGTGTCTTCGCACTCTACTTTGTCGGTACGCGTGATAACCATCATCATAACACTTATGCCACTTGAGTATTCTCACAAATTTACTACTGATACGCAGTATTCGGCTTCTTTGATAACGGAACTTGAAGGAACCAAAGCTACCGGAGCCGCCATAACACCGTTTTGTTTAGTAGTACGTGATGAAGTGCCTATCGAGACCTATTGCAGCATGCACCATCTCTACTCGCAAGAAAGTCCTGTCAGATATTCGTTTCACGACCCGTCCATAATGCAGACATGCTCGAAAATATAGCATCAATGTCTACAGAATGCTGTTATCAAGCCTCAAGGGCCAAGAAACCATATAATCCGTACTGGAGTTATTTTAGAAGCAAAAGGTTGTGGATAGCCTGGGAATGAATCTCTATCTTCATACGACACTGGACTACGCGGCGGAATCAAGAGGATACTCTTGGCTGTTATAACCCGACCATGGCTCTGTCGGGAAGCTGCCAGCGTACTCACACGAGATCTGGGGCTGTTCTTCCATGAGGTAGTAGACAGACTGGGAGAATAGCCTAGACCTAGTGTACCTGCAGGTTACATCCTCTCCGTGGTATTGAGGAATGAAGGTACGATTGTCGATTGATAGGTGCTATTGTAAATGGAATGGTTGATTAAATCTTGAGAATTGGGGATGGGATGGTGGAGAGGCTAGCGAATCAAGTTATCGGCGAAGGCCAACTTGCTTACAGGTAAGTACCGATCGGTTTGTCTTTGAAGGAGGCGTCGTTGCGTTGTCGCCGCCCTCGGGATGTAGCCATACATGGTAGGTAGGTGTGTTGACAGCCTGCATAGAGGTCGTTGGAGATGCCCGGATACAATCCATACAAAGGGAAATCAATGATCCTCGGTATGATGGGCGGCAGAGCCTCATCACGGGAAAAGCCATACATGTATGTGCATGTATGTGTAGTGGCTGTCTCGCAATATAGAAGTCGGCACTTATGTGTAGGTGTTAGGTATTGCCTCATCAATGAATGACTCGAGGCGAACATTTCGACCAACTTTGAAGTTGAGGGGCCTTAGACATGTTCGCCCGGCTAAAGCAAGGCAAAAAGCTCCTGGTGCGGGCGAAGTGCCGCATACCTACCTAGGTAAGTACTACTACCCTGGAATACCACTTCAGATACCTCTTCAGGTACCTACCTACATGTAGCTAGGTAAGTACATAGGTACATAAGTAGGTAATCAGTCAGCACTGACTTCAGCAAGACGCTAAGCCCAAAGCCGCACGGCGATTTGGCCACTAATAAAGGCGATATTACAGATACCGAGAGATACCTATCTGAACCTATTACAGCGCCCTCGGCTTACAGCACGCTCTGCTATGCTGTAAGTCTGTAAGTCGCGTTTGTCGCTTTTCGTGAGTAGCCTGCTGATGTAAGGGGTTGGTAAGGCTCGGTACGTACCCGCCAAAGCTGCAGTCCAACGGGTGGTGGGGGCCGCTAGAGGTGGGGTGGTGGGGGCGATTACAGAGGCGCCGGCTGATTTGTCCTTGATCGCAAATCCGACATGTCAAACTTCAGCCGAGCGAAGCATCATCTCGTCGGGGTCAAATCAAATCAACAGTCACCTCGAGAATCTTCGCCGCCATTCGCGTTGCGAGTTACCTACTCATGCAGTCCTTACCATCGAATTACCATCGAACCGCTACATTCTACACTATGCATGGCTATTACACATGCGCCGCGCTAGGAACGGCCATGACGATCCACCGGCTTAGTGCACTTCGCGAATCCGGGTAGCTGGTTTTGACAATTACTTACCTACATACATTCATACATTCCTAAGCAAAGAAGACCATTATTCCTCTCCCGTCGTTCATAGCCTGGTTACCTGCATTGTCTTGTCCTGTCCTGTCCTGTCCTATCTGTAGATCTGCTATTGCATTGTTCCTGCAAGCCTGGCCACCATCCATCCATCGTCCATCCCCCCTTTGCATATAAACCTCCCGTCGCACCCATCCTCGTTTTCCCGATGCGCTTCCTTTCGCTCCTCATCTCCATTCTCGTTGCTGTCGTGTCAGTTGTCATCTACCGAGACCAAGTAATCGACTTAGCAACAGCTAGCATTGACAGAATCACGAAGCAATTGAACGCTCTGAAAGACATCGTCGCGTTGAACTTTGGTACTGGTGATATAGCGTCGTCTTCTACTACTACCACGGCCACACCCAGCTCTCCATACTACAACCCATCTGAACAACTCGTCGCAACAGAGATGTCTGTTCCACGTGCCATTCGCAAGGTTTTCCTTGCCGTCGAGCAATCCGAGGGCGCCGGCGCTCGTGTTCGTCGGTCTATCGGGACACCACAGCTGCGCAACTTCTCGCCCTTTTTGATGCTCGATCACTTCAGCATCAAGCCGGGTGCCGGCTTCCCTGACCACCCCCACCGCGGACAAGAGACGTAAGTTTTCAGTAACAAATTCGCAGTTTCGGATATAACACACAGTGTACTAACACTCGGCGAATAATAGCATCACCTACTTGCTAACTGGTGCTGTTGACCATGAAGACTTCGCTGGAAATGCCGGCACAATTGAGGCTGGCGATTTGCAATTCATGACAGCTGGACGAGGCATTATGCATGCTGAGATGCCGCGACAGAACCCTGACGGCAGCGCCAATGTGGGTTTGCAGTTGTGGGTCGATCTCCCCACTGATCTCAAGAAGTGCGAGCCGCGATACCGAGATCTGCGGGCCAAAGAAATCCCGCAGGTCGACATCAACGACAAGGTCCACGTCAAGGTCATTTCGGGACAGTCGGGAGGCGTCGACAGCGTCAAGGACCTCGCTTACACGCCAGTCTGGATTCTAGACATCGAGATCAAGCCCGGTGGAAAGCTCGCCCAGCCCGTGCCTGTGGGCTGGAATGCGTTCTCCTATCAGCTTGAGGGGTCCGCCATCTTCGGCTCTGGCGATGCCAAGCACACAGTCCAGCAGTACCACAACTGCGTATTTGAGGCTGAGGGAGACGTCGTGAATATCGAAGTGCCCGAAAACGCAACTGAGAACGCACGTTTCGTGCTTATCGCCGGACAGATCCTTGACCAAAAGGTTGTGCAGTACGGTCCATTCGTACTGAACACACCGGAGGAGGTGCGCCAAGCCCTGTTCGACTATCAGTTCCAGACGAACGGGTTTGAGCGAGCGAAAGACTGGGCGAGCGAGATCGGCAAATCGATGGTTCACTAGCCTCTCTCATCCCTATGGCCGTATCATCCTAAAAAGTCATTTTCATCCTTGGGGGAAAACCAGTCCCGTTTTCTTGTATATAGCGACCCTTTCTGCCTTTTCCCATTACCACCTCGTCTCATTCGGTTAGGCGTATGATATCATGTAGCATCGTTATTCTGGCGTACGGGGGATTATAGTTGATGAGAGAAACGACGTTTTGTGTCATGAGATAGAATAATTGGATTCAAAATTCCTTCCTGGAGGGGATTTTTTTTCTTTCTTTGACCATCTTGTTATAGCCAATAGGTCTCTGAGTTGAGACTTTTCTTTTGCATTTTCGGTTTCTTGCTTATGGCTATTACATCTTCCTGAGTTGAGATGTAATTGGGGTTTGGGTTTCGCCTCGTGGCCGCTTTGCGGGGAACGGCTCAGGTAATCTCATGGCCCATGCGAGTCGGTAAAGCTCGTCAGGAGGTAGCTCTCTGTCGGCCCAGAGATCGGCCTTCCTCGGCAGTATTCCTGTAACTTGCTGTAGTCGGGGACTTCTGAGAATGTCTCTTGTTCTCAGTGCCGGGAAGGCTCGTTTCTGGTTGCCCGGCACTGGTCTCTGAGAGTGAGATGGTGCGTGTGTGTCTGTCAACGATGTCCGGGCGATGCGCTCCCTCTTTGGCGGGTTGGACTTCTCTTGGGAGCTCATCTTGTGCAGCTGGGAATCATTTCGGGCACCGTAGCCACGACCACTTTGTCTCTTGACATCATGCGCCGATGATGCCCCGAAATGTGATGGTGATGGTGATGAGATGAGTGCCGTGGATTGTGAATGTTTTTGCGATGGAATATGACATCTGCTTGGTGATGAGACCTCTGCCGAAGGCCTGCGCTGTGGTTTCAGCTGTGCCATAATGACGATTTATCAATGTCGCAGTAGACGTGCACGTGCACAGTAAGAAAAAAAATAGATGTCTGATGGGAATTGATAGGTATGTATGTATGTATGTATGCATACGCAGACTAAATTCCGGGGATGTAGTACCAGTATCACACAAGAGGATGTAGGTGGAGGGGGAAAAGTAATGTCTCGCAGAAGAGGCAAGACTCGGCCCCGATCTTATATGAACCCTCCTCAATCAACTCTCGCCCTCACCCTCACCCTCACACATGAGGACGCCCATTGTCTCGCAAGCCTTGTGTGCTACCTCTCAGCCCAGGAAGAGCCCCGATTCGTCCCCAGGCGAAGAGGTCGCAACGGCGGCTCCTTTCCCAGTAGAGTCAGCGTCGCATAGGTAAGATCCTACCTATTTACAGCATGCCGGTACCCCGGCCCCCATATCTCACACATCTTCCTCCCCCTACAAAGTGGCGGCCAACTGGGGCGAACATGTTGCGCGTCGCCGCATTGCTTACAAGCAGGCTCTAGCAGCCTCGTAGTGAACTCGCATGCATGCGCCAGCGGGCGCTTCGGAAAGAGACGGGACTTAAGTAGGCCATTGGCTGCTGCGACATCTGACGGCCTGCGGATGATCACGGCGACCTCTAGGTACGTCAGCAGATGGCATGCATTAAAGATCCCTACTAGTAAGCCATCTACAAGAAGTAGGTATGTACATAGGTATCCTACGGCGTGTTGGTACAGTTGGGAGGAATAGTTGGTTTGTGCTTGCGTCATTGTTGTCTTGATCCTTTCGTGCTGCGTTACGCTGTCGAATTACCTGTCTGAGGCCTCGGATGAAAAGTCAAAGGCGGAAGTAGAGATACCAGGATTACGCGGGCGCTGGAAAGTTGTTGGATTGCATGTTTTCAGTGGTGAACAGGGCGGCGTAAGTGGATGCTTAGCTCCTGGGCTTCCTGTGATGCTGATTGGATATTCTCTCCTGTAGGCTACGGCTTATTATCATCGATCCCGTGCCCTGGTCTTGGGGCGCTTGTGACTGACTGCCTGAAATTCTGCCTCGTTGCTGTTAGCTTCAATGGTATGTTATGATAAGTAGCAAGATTCCTTCTTTCATGGGTGCAGGGTCTTATTATAGGCATTCAATGACGTTTTATGTGAGCCTCTGCGCATTGACCAACATCCTTCTTCTTCTTCTTCCTCACCTTCATCTCTTTCAACAGTCTCCCCACATTATGGCGCGTGTACCATCAGATCAAGACAGGTAAAGTGCATATCAAGAGACCATCATAAGTATAGATGTGTGTATGGCTTTAGTTAGATTCACTTGTGATATCTCGATGCTTCATTTGTATGCTGTTATGTTATAGGACAATGACTGACACTGTTCTGCTAGCTACACAGCACGATCCATTTTACATTGGTTTTATGAAAAGCTAATGGTTTCAAGCAGTAGATGGCACTGTAAGAGAATGGATTGGCCTTTTATCGTGCCATAATTCACAGCTCCAGAAAGAGCTAGTTGATAGAGAAGGTCACTGTCTTCTTGTTTATTCGGAGTTATGTTCACTGACCGAATAATCGCTGCAAATGCTAGGCATTAATTGCGATTACCACATGTCCGAACAAGAACAAGAGTGGACCAGCCACATAGAAACGTTGGACATACCAAGAAATAAGTAATGTGGAAAATTGACCCTGTGTTGATAAGGTTTGGGTCGTTCAGTGAATGGCATTCCATAAGTTGAGATCTAGTCCTTAGTACCCGGAAGAATAATTGTAGAAAACTCTATCAGAACATACTTCCTGACATACAAGACAAACCAAACTCTTTCTCTGTGATCTTTTCTATGTGCATCTCTTTGAGAGAAGGTGTAAGCCTAGGTCACGACCTCTATGAGATACAATGGCTCCAGCTTCGGAGCTGCCGTTGGTAAGTGTTTATTGAAATAATATTCCTTCTAAAGTCATGTCAAAGATGAAAGCTATGCTCAAAATGAGGAGATGTATGGGATACGGACCTTTATTACCTCCTACCTTAAATGAATACTTGGTCCTTTTACGACTACTGACCCCAAATATTGTAGTGTGTCTCCGTAGAGGGAGATGCTGGTTATGCCTCCTGTCCTTGCGCAGATGGAGATGAAAAATACAATGTCATGTCATTAGAGGCGGCTTCGTACAGAACTGGGGACGAGGAGCTTGTCACACTGCAGCAGTGTGACAGCGACAATGTGATTGTGCAGTGTGGCCTTAGCCACTCATATGCTCTCGGCTATTGCGGAATCAACCCGTACACTACATCTAAGGGATATCCGAGAAAGGATATCGCAACCGGAGTGCCGTTGGACAATCATCTGAATGGGGGAGCATCTACTGAGATATCCTCATTCTTAGGAGCAAACTCAACGGTTGATCATAAATATAATGATCTGTCCAAACGAAACACAACTCATCCACACAAGCATAAAAAGAAGCCCTTGCACCATCCACCCAAAAGTCTCTACGCAGAGATCATCGTGCCAGTTCTAGTCGTCACCTTCCTGATAGGGGTATTTTTCATCTTCTTCGCCAGAAGGAAAATCCGACAACAGAAGAAGTACCAGCAACAACAGCAGCAGCGAGGAAACAATCAGATATCATCAATGGAGATGGGTGCTCTCAGGCCACTCCACGATATCCAAGATGACACGAAATCAGCGCCGACAACTAGGACAACTACAACAACTACGGCGATGGGAATCCTGTCACGACAGGGCTCAGGGAGCAGCTCTACCTTCACCCGTCCTCGACCGGCGCCTTTCCCTCCACCTGCATCGCCGCCACCTAATCGGCCACTACCACCCATTCCGGTACGGAAAGTCAAGAGCCCGCCTGTGGTAGCGGAGGGGCATGGGGGCGAGGGTGATATCGAGATGCTTCCTCAGTGGCATCTTGTCTATGAGAACACGGAGTCTTCGTCCGGTTCTAAGGCGTGAAGGCTCAGACAAGGGAGGATTACGATGGGGCACTTTGTCTAAAGGCAATGTGACATAATATCAGTGGGATGGGTGAACAGTTATAGGTATTAGTTGCTTTGAGAGAAGATCGGTTCGAGGCTATCGCGAGATATTCTATTGGGCACTACATTAGCTCCTTCATACATGTTTTGATATGATATGCGATATGATTTAGCCATCATCAGTAAAGAGAATATATCTTAACGTCGCAGAGTTCTCACCATTGCGATATATTTCGCGTAATTGAGTATAATCATGTGTCCAGCAGCTTATCAATCAGTGCATTTGAATACTAGTCAGATAACCATGGCTCATTGTTAGTCTACGGTATACTTATGCGAGATAGTAGGGAAACTTAGGCGAGATCCCCGTATTACAGGAAAATCAAGTTTGTGGACCACAAACGGCAGAGAATCTAAAACCTTCTCCCATTCCAGTCTTTCTTCTCGCCTAAAATTAACCTAGTTTCGTATCTAGGCCATATATGTAGCGCGTTCAATCTAGATCGTAACACGCTGCAGTTCTTGTATGTAGCTGTGAAGTAACAAGTAACACCAGGTTTTTTGTTCAGCCTTAGTCAGGCATGGACTAAGTCTATTTGCGAGTACTCTTCGATTACTGCTGTATTGTCCTGTGCTAGCGATCTGCCCACGACTCCATTTGGGGGCTTTTCTATTCTATCGCAGTAACTTTTAACTACGACGACGCAAAACTGAGGCTACCTTCCATTTGGAACACCCGAGGATTGAACATTTTTGAACCTTGATGGGACTTTGTTCTATTACATTACTATGAAGACCGAGATTGGGTCTCGCTTGCTAACATTGACACGCTTGATATTATCCCTTCCTGACAGCAATGTATCGACTGAGAAGGTGTGAAAGCAGAATGGTATATACAGAGAGAGAGTGTATGTGTGAAATAAGGGGCACCCTCCTTGTTTCATCGACGTTGCAAACCTCATGTCAAGCTAATGTGATGGTTAGCCAGGCGTGTACCAAGCTGATCTCTCATATGGACAATGAAATTTGACTCACTAGATATCTTCTCGAGCTTGCCCTTGCGAGGGATACGTAAAGCCTTGGTTTCCGTTTCCCGTGTCATACCCGCCTGTGATGGAGTGACCATTACATCATCTCTCTACAGCACAGGGCATCTCGTGCTCGGTGTTGATGCGCTCACTACGAGTCTTGAACCACTTCCTCAGACTCTTCTTTTTGGAAAAATGTGAGTTATGCTTGTCGTCTTCGATATCAGAGTCCAACTTCCCGTACTCATGCCACGGACCCGGTTCGTCGTACAATATATCCGCAATTTCCCTACGCTGTTGTTCGTTCTCAAGGAATGTTGTCCCTTCGCGCGCGGGTGATAGATAGTTCAAGAAAGCCCCTCGCAGATTCTTTATCGCTCTAGACAGGAATACCACCATCGTTTTTCTTTTACTGCGAGGCTTCGCTGTATACATAGGCCGCGTCTCTTGTTTGAGCCGAGAATCATATGCAGTGGCTCCTGTATCGGTGGATTGTGGTAGCTTTCGGTTCCTTGGGGCGATTATTGGACGAGATTCGCCATCGAGTAGTGCATTGTGACATGAGTTGTCTGTATTGGTTCTCTTGTTTGCCCATCTGGGCACTTCGTGCGCCCCTGCTGGATACATTTCCTTGCATGCAATTCCTTCGACTTCTCCGTAAATCGGAAGTATAGGCGACGTGCGGCGGCAAGATTATCTAGGCGAAGATGGGTCACTCCATACGTGTGGAAGTCAAGAAGACTCATTAGAGTGATGCACACGCGAGGACTTTAGTGACGACCGGCCCAGAGACGAGACTGAAGAGCACCTATGTCATGAACCAACGCATCCGGAAATGAGCAACGGGAATCCAGGGTAGAATTAGGACTCAATAGTGCAGTCAAAAGCCAGAGCAACCAATGCTAGCTTTTAAGACACTTCAGCAGCTACCCGCGGCTGTGGTGAATTAGAACAGCTCTTCCAGCATTCGGCCTGTTTGCTAAATTCTGCTCATTTCCTCTGTTTTCGCCTATTTGCTTTTTGGGTATCACAACCCGAGGCCCCGTTTCGGCTAGCGGGTGTAAAATCGACATTTACAAACACACGATAAGAGGTGAACACATTCCAATGTACTGGGTTTGATTTGAGTGAGACTACTAGGAGATCCACCGTTCATACCACAAGTACAACATTTTCTGCATAATGATTATAACCGCGTAGTAATTGCTCTAGTAGTAAGAATGTCGCTGTCGTGATGGAGTGCATTGAGGTCGTCGATTTGGTGTATTTTTCTCCGGTAGTAGCGGTCGCTACAACGGTAATTACCCTGGAAATAGTATCATTCTATCATCAATCTCAGCCACAATGAAATAATTAAAGCCCTTATCTTTCAGTTTACACAGGTCTATAAGCAGATCGTTAATAAGTCGCTCTTTAGATCAAGGACTTCGAGCATTCGTTTTACCCTACGTTGGATGCAAGTTGTTTCTGGAACAGCATCACTAATTCGCCAGAGTAAGCCTTTTTCTGATCACTCACATTTTCCCCATGGAGTACTCGTTATGCTTCCATAGCTTGAAATCAACCTATTGTTCATCTGCATCTGAGGAGAAATTTCTCGTACAATACTCCGACCTGGTACATTGGAGTAGTATAGCATCTGCTACGAGCCTAGAGATTGCACTTCACGTACATGAAACAATGAGACTTTTGGGACGTCAAGTTAGTCCTTTTACTATACTCTGATATAAGTCCCATTCAGCGACCAGGTCTGTTCTATTGCACTCTGTAGCTTCGAAGCCGAAACACGCTCAGTTAAGTTTGTAAGTGGGATCTTACACCTCATCTGCCTGATGTCATTTGGTCTTTCTAAGTGTTTTATGGTGGTCTACACAGGATCAAGATGCTCGGAAATCTTGAGAATACGGCCCTCCTCTTAGACATTCTTACATTAAAACCACGACCGATTCATTTATTCCTCACCACCCCTTCCCTCCTAGAACAAAAAGCAGCAAAATGTGCAGATCTTCACAGTTGAATCCTGCCACTACCCCAACCTCGATGCTGCACAGAACGTTGCGGGTGTTGGTCTGTTTAATAGGTTTTTGGTGACCGAGACATCTTCTTATTTTCCCTACAATCGAATATAGTTCAGAGTTGGAATGAGGCGTTCCATAGATTTAACGAGCAAAATTCACGACTCAGCTCCTCCGTCCCAAGTTTATTATCGGAAGTTGGAGTTAAGGATTCAGTACTTTTTTGTACTTGGTTTCTCCATTGGTATCTATTTTTAGCATTGGCTTAGGCCTATTGGTGTTTAGTCGCGGCACTCCAGCTCACTATTGAACTCATCGACCAGGGATCGTTGGAAACCGGAGCGCGCTGGCCTCGACATTGTCACTACTTACACTAAATCCATGGTCTACAAAAATACGGGGTCACATGCCAAGGGCCTAGAGAAACATGACCGATACTCTACCCATTCTTGAAGATCATCAGGTGACGAAACTTGCCCTCATCGATATGTTATCAGGCAGCAGTGACCCCTCTCGTGAACCTGGGCTACAAACTCGCGCCTTTACAGAGTGAAGAGTGGACTTGATACACCCAACAGCCGGAACTTCTTAGTGGTTGCCAGTGCTACCGTCAGTGTCACGGACCGGCGACGTGGCCAATTTATAAAGCCATGAAGGAAGAACGAGTTCCAATAAACTCCTGTTTCGAGTTCCTCGAATACCGATCTCAGAAGAATACTTCACCTTCGACAGATTGTGACCTGCAAGTCACACACAATGCTTTCTGGAGCTACTGTGGCCCAATACTGAAGGAGAGCACAGATTTGCCGCCAAATTTCCAGGAATGGACACGTGCAGCGCTGTCAGGCTCCTTGCTTCCGCGACTGATGCCGTTTTTGCGGTTTGTCAACGAAGTCTTGAGGGACCATAAACTTGACCATTACTGGCTGACGATTCGCGCCACAAAAGCGACAAGTGAATTCGACCAGCCGCGATGGCACACAGACGATATGTTCTTTAGCGCTCGTGGAGGAGGCCTTAGAGCGGTACCACGCGAGGATGACGGCAAGAAGACCTTGGACTTGCAGACAGACTGGAAGCTTTGTACCACTTTGCTGGGACCTTCGACGATGTTTATTCCAGCTGAACACCAAGCTAAGGCGCGTAAGACGCAGCGATCTACGAGGAAAGCCTTAGCGACAGATCATGATTGTGCTTCAATCCGCTGTATAGCTTGCGCTGCTACATCTGATGCCGTCAGAGAGCAGCTTTCTATCGACCTCAGGAATATGGGTGTCATGCAGGCTGCATCAGGCGAATGCGGTAAGCACTGAAAGGGCGCTCGAGCCCCAGTAACACCTACAAATCATGATGACTAAATATGAAGTACTGCAGCATTTTTTCGCATTGGACAAGAAAATGGTGCCGTTCACTCGGAGCCTTGTATGAACGGTGGTGATCGAATATTCGTCAACGTTGTACCTGGAAAGAAAGACGAGCTGAAGAATTTGACGAGCAAATGGGGGATGAATTCTTTCCCACGGTCATGGTGGATATCACCGAGTGTGCCCAGAAGTCAGGAAGCCAGTCTATGGAAATACTGATTGTGTTCTATGTGCAACTATTGACTTGACGCCTTTGATTCCACGAAGATCGGAGAAATCTAATGTGTCTCCTATCCACGACCACTGCTATGCTCGTCAGAATCGTCGCAGTTCGCCCCTCGGCTCATATCTTCTTGTTACGCCCGGCGTGCTGCCTCTGTAATCTATCATAGGTAGGTTGCTACGTCTTAGTGCATAAATCTAGGCGTCATGGAACATGGGAAGTTCACATTCCTCTTGCATTGAACATGCCTAGCCACTCAGCTAAGGACAAGAGCTCTGTCCATGATTGGCCAATCAAGGCCGCAGAACACTTCGCGTCGGCACAGCGGTACCGACTCCTTCTCAACTAAATCTGACACGTCGTCACGACTTGTTACGGGGTGACACGTCTTGGCAGAATGGTGGCTGCATTGCGAAGTCTATCGTCACTGCTAGGTAGGTAATTTTCGGCTCTCCAGATTGGACAATCATACGGGAAAGATAGGGATGCCTTAGTTAGAGAAGTCGGCAACGCGTTACAATCCAATTTCAGTCTAATTCGCCATTATAGGTACCCCCCGGAGAACATTACGGTGAAAAATCGGTCAACTATTGTCATCAATTCAGCTAGCACGGCTGTGCGCCTGTCCTCCATTAAACTCGTTGCAATGTCCCGCCACGTCGAGCGTACATCAATGATCTGGGCCCATCTCGTTTCCAACCTTGTTCTAAGCGAGGTTTTAGATAATTGTGAATCTTTCTTTGAACATCTTCTAATTTACGAGTGAACACCCACGCATTTTGTCACCTCAACAGCATCCTGCTCGTGGTTAGTCAAAAGTTGAGAATCAAAGAGATGTCACTTACAGGTACGCCACTCGGCTCCCAACCCTCCACAAGCCGACTTTCGTATATCAGATTCGGGTTACCTTTCAAGTCCGACTCTGTTATTTTTGTGAGGTCTTCGTTCTTTTTCTCTACGGAACTCCTAACGTATTCGAGATAGGGAGGGTTTCCTGGCTTGATGACTACAGGGGTGCGGTGAGCGGATGAAGCAAGAAGGACTGTACACGACTCACCATTATCTGCCGCGAGCACAGTGCCGACCTTTACCAAGCCAAGCTCTTCGCATATCTTCAAGTCTTGTGTGTAGAGTGGCTTGTAATGATCAAGGAACAGAAGATCAATTTGTGTCAAAGACCCATCTGCATGCAAGCGTCTTAGCGAGTCGGAACTTGGGCCAACGACGACCCTGATCACTTCGCCTAATCCTGCGAGATCGGCGAGGTTCATGATAACTTTTCCGAATTCTGGGCTCTTTTCCAAGCTGTAATACACACTGCCTCCGCATTCCCGCAGTGCTGCAGCAAAGGCGATAGCAGAGTAGCCAACATACCCACCAAGCTCGACCATCACTTGGGGCTTTCGATCTTTGATGAGCTCAACTACAGTCTTGGACTTATACTCTCCAATATTCATCAAGTACTTTTTAGTACGACCGAACTCGTCAATCACATCTAAGACCTTTTGTGGGTTTCTCTTGAGTTGTTCCACTTTGGGATGGTTGAGTACGAACTGTAGGAGCTCATGCTCTCGCCCATCATCAAACTATGAGGCTTCGTTGTCAATGATACAATGAGTATTGGTGGTAGGTCTGGTTATACTGACATACACATCTTCTTGCGGCTGGTACGCCACGCCCTGAAACGACTGTGTCTGTCCACCCTCCATAGTAAAGAAGTCAATACAATGGGGCTAGGCGTTTGAGCTTGGGTTACTTGGTCGACCAGCGAAGATTGCCTTTGTGGATCGAAGAAACAAGAGTGATCGCCTGTTGCAGTGTGCTTGGGTGGCGTTTATGTCGTTCAGGTCTTGGTGCTCTCTATATCGCGAATGTGATCTGTGAGGAAGAATCACACTGTCATTACCAGTGTCATCGATCGCCTTAAATTGCTTACTAGCATCGATGTTCTTTGTTAGTGCGATGCAGGAAATGGAGAACTCGTTAGCCATCAGGTCTCAGCGAAGCCCTACGGGTCGGGCACCTTCACGTGCTAGAAAGGTCTATGATCACTTCATTGGCGCGGCTAGGCCCGTATCAGAAAGGTCTTTATCTCCAGATCGCGTCTGAAAATGTTAGAGATCGCGCTTGAACTTCATGTCAATTGGCCCGGAACAGCTTCCGATCAGATGCCTACCCGATCCCATGCATGAGAATTGAGTTTGAGACAAGCCACCATCGTCTTCCCGATGGACTTTTCACTTATCCCATCCCAAAAGCCTATGTGATGTTAATGAACTACCGGTAGTCATGACGGCATCATGCATCCCGTAGATTTGTTTCTTCCTATGATCGCCGACCAAGACGACATGCCTCTGGGCCGGCTTCGGAAGTTCAAAGTCATTTTCAATATGTCTTGACCACTCCTAAAGTACTTTATTTAATGCTCTCAGGCTGCTCTTTTGGTTGACTTGTGCTTCGTATAGACCCTCACGCCATAATCATGTCAGACCTCAAAGCAACCGTTCGTGAAACCGACGCCGGCTTCCATGTCGAGGGCTATGAGAAGATCGAGTATGATTTCACCTTCGTTGATGGCGTTTTTGACATCGCCAATCCTCAGCTGGCCAACTGCTATCGCAAATGGGGCAGAGTTCTTGCCGTGACAGACAAGAATGTCTACGCCCTCTACGGCCAAAAGATGGAAGAATACTTTAAACACTTCAATCTAGATTTTAAAGTCCATCAGACTTCCATTGGGGAGAAAGCGAAGACTATTGACACGTTCCTTAGTATTTGCGATTCGATGACGGATTTCGGCATCATTCGAAAGGCATGTGATTTATTCATAGCCTCATCTAGCATATCTACGTGCTTACATCAATAATAGGAACCAGTTTTGGTCGTCGGAGGGGGTCTCGTCACCGATGTTGCTGGGTAATCATTGCGGCTTTTCGAGTTTGTCATCCGAGCTAACCACAACTCCTAGATTCGCATGCGCCGCATACCGCCGTAACACGAACTTCATCAGGGTGCCTACGACGGTGATAGGTCTCATTGACGCGAGCGTGAGCATCAAGGTGGCCGTGAACTACGGTCGCTACAAGAATCGCTTAGGAGCTTATCACGCTCCCTTACACACCTTCCTCGACTTCGGCTTCTTGCAGACACTCCCTGTTTCCCAGGTTCGCAATGGTTTCGCAGAGCTGATCAAGATCTCGTCGTGCGCGCATTTAGAAGTCTTTGACCTGCTCGATAAATTCTGTGAGCAGTTGATTGGCACTCATTTCGGACGTATAGAAGGATCTCCGAGAGACGTTCGCATGGCTGCGGATATCGTATGCCGTTCCTCGATCTCAGTCATGAAAATTACTGTCGCTAACTCATAACAAGATCAACCGCGAAGGTATTTATGAGATGCTAAAGCTCGAATCTCCCAATCTCCACGAGATTGGATTAGATAGGGTGATTGCCTACGGCCACACGTAAGTATACATCGTAGGGCACCCACATCACTCACTTCATCTAACTCCCCCCTGCGCGTAGGTGGTCACCACTCCATGAGCTCATTCCTGAGACACCTCTGCGCCACGGTCACGCGATCTCAATCGATATGGCGTTCTCTGCCACTCTTGCGAATCAAAGAGGACTCCTACCAGATGGTGATCACCATCGCCTCCTAAAGCTTTTCTCAAGAGCTGGCCTATCTATCGATCACCCACAGTTTGATGAGCATGTTCTCGACAAAGGCACTGCAGCCATTCTAAAGACTCGAGATGGGTCGCTGCGTCTAGCTGTTCCGAGTCCTTTGGGCTCTTGTGCGTTTATCAATGACGTTGATCATCAAGAATTGCTAGACGCTCTGCGCAAACACAAGTCATTAGCTAAGACATTCTTACGTGAGGGTGCGGGAATTGAGGCGCATGTAGATAGCAGTGACACAGGCTATACAGACTTGGCAGCAGAGAATAACGGTGTCTGTGACACTGTGAAGACAGCGGGAAACAAGCCAATAATTGCTCAAGACGGAAGCATTAAGAGCAAGGCGCCTCGGAATGGTTTGGTAAATGGGCACGACGGAGATGCACCCCGAGCAGCTATTAGTAGCGTGGAGAATGAGATCACGGCCCAGGCATAATAATAGAGGATAGAAATATTGCTCGCCACAGTTAAGGCTTGAGCTAAATAATGATTAAGAGGAATGCAAAATCTTTTTTCCAATTAATTGAATCTAGCTCTCAGATGAAACAATGCGACATCGCATGCTTTCAAAATTCTCATTAAGAAGTCACAAAGCTTACAGACTTACGTATACGTATATGCATTTTCCTCAAACCGTAAAGCTCACTTACGAGCATCCGCATTTGCACGACTAGTTGGCTCATCTTCAATCTTCGTCCAATAGAATAATGAGATTCTGAAGCTTCAAAACTCATAGTTCAGCTCATTCCATAATGTTTAAGCTAAGAAAAGCTCTTTAAGCCTAGTGAAGGTGGTGACGTCTTTGATGCATAATCGTAGCACACACTATTCTAGGCAGGCTACCAATATGGATGAATAATGAATCATTAAGCTCGCTTTAGATCGTTGTTGTGTAGTTCGTTGGCGCCGATGTTTTGTTTCCGACCCTTAAACACTTGCCCAGACGTTGCACTAGTGCTATGTGAAGCTTAAGGCTCTCACCGCACCCATCGCGCTTTCACGATGTTGACTTTTTGCTTTCGTACCCTTTCACACCATTTGTATAGCGCTGGTGATAATCCACAATGGAAATCCAGAGCGAAACAGCCAGATGTTTCAGCTTAGTCTTTCTAAGCCTTGTAAATTTGCCAATATCCCTTGTTATCTTATGTATCTCGACGCTGAGGAATCTCATCTCATCGAGTTTCAAGATGCCTCACGATGGTACCCAAGATGGATGTTCACGGAGAACAGTTCTTGTTACGGGAGTGGGAATGGCAAAAGGGCTGACATTGGCTCGCGCATTCTACCTATCCAGACATCAAGTCATAGGCGCCGACTTCGAAGATCACTTCATCCCCTGTTCTGGCCGTTTCTCTAAAAGCTTATCGCGTTTCTACAAACTACCAAGACTAGACAGCCCAGGATATACAAGGAAATATATCGATCGCTTGATGCAGATCATCAAAGATAATGAGATTGATCTCTGGGTGTCGTGCTCGGGTGTTGCTAGTGCGATGGAGGATGCGCAAGCTAAGGAAGAAGTCGAATTCCGCACTTTATGCAAATGCATTCAATTCGACGTGGCTACTACATCAATGCTTCACGAAAAACATAATTTCATGCGTGCTTGTTCGGAAAGACGGCTACCGGTCCCGGAAACACACGAGGTCGCCTCGAAAGATGAGATCTTGAAAATACTCTCATATTCAGCGCTACAATATCCGGATAGAAAGTATATCCTGAAACCCGTTGGAATGGACGATGTCAATAGAGGGGATATGACTCTTCTGCCGCTCCCTTCCAAGGCCGCGACTGTCGAGCACGTGTCCCGGCTTTTCGTCTCCTCTTCGACACCGTGGATTTTACAGCAATTTATCCCGGGCGGCGAAGAGTACTGTACGCATGCACTTGTGGTGCACGGGAAATTGAGATGTTTTGTTGCGTGTCCAAGCGCTGAGCTTCTCATGCACTACACACCACTCCCCCAAGACGACATGCTTTGGCAGGACATGCGGGACTTCACTATGAAGTTTCTGGAACGCTCCTCCAATGCAGGAAATATGACGGGACATATGAGTTTTGACTTCATGGTTGATTCTGCAGTTGGAAAAGGAAATGAGATTGGATCCAAGACACTCTATCCCATCGAGTGCAACCCGCGTGCCCACACAGCTGTTGTCCTGTTTGCGCAGCAGGGCCCAGAGATGAGAGACATGGTTCGAGCGTATATCTCTGCGATCGAAGGGCCTGGAGACGCATCATCTGATGGAAAGATCCTCAATGGTCAAAATCCAGGCAGCGAGAAACTCTTAGTAATGCCTCCTAATAACACGGTGTCACGATATTGGATTGGGCATGACATTGTTTCTCTGTTAGTCCACCCAACTCTACGCCTCATCGCGGGCTCGGTGGACTTCATGGATATCTTCAATTCGAGTTTTATATTTTTAGAACATCTATTCGCATGGGAAGATGGGAGCTTTCAAGCTTGGGATCCTTTGCCAGCTTTCGTCCTCTATCATATTTATTGGCCTCTAACTATTTTGGCGGCGTGGTGGCAAGGACATCGTTGGAGTAGGATTAATGTGAGTACGACTAAGATTTTCGCTTGTTGAGCGAGTTACGCTCTTAATGGCTTGTAAGATATCTATCATAATTGTCATAAAGCTATTGAATTATCCTAATCCATACCATCTGCTTTAATAAGGAGTTTGAGGGGCGAATGGTCCTCACATCGTCGTATATCATTAAACAACTGAACGATCTCTCGAATAGCTCAAGTTAATGACCTCATAAATGCATCACCAACCATATCACAGACTAACGTACAGAATACTTAAGCAGGAATATCATAAACCTAACCTAGTTGCTTTAGTCCAGCGCTCCAGAACTTCATGTCATTACTACCGATATAATCATGTGTGAAGTTAAGCCTAACTATTTCACTTGTACCCTCGGAGAGGCTGTGTTCTTACGCAAACATGGAAATGCGTCTGCTCAACCGTTTCAAACTGTTCTGGACCTAATTAAATGCCGGGCGAGGGATAACCCCAACTCGGCGGCCCTAGGATTTGCCAATCCGCGAGAGAAGTTGCGCACGAAAGGTAAGCACACAGCGCGCTTTGCGACCAACAATAGCCGAGTTGCCTAGTAACATAGCACTAGGTTTCATCACCTTCGCTGAGTTGTATGAACTCTCACGCATTGCCGCATCGGTACTCAAGCAGACATTGTCTAAAAGCGATGATGATGGACACTCATCTACTGTAGGACTATTCTGCCACAGTAGTCTTGACCTTGTTCTCTCTTGGCTTGGGCTCTTGCAATTACGCCGAACAGCATTTTTCCTTGCGTAAGATTCATGTTTAATACTTCATATAATATTGAGCTATAGCACTGACTTCGGGCGCAGGCCGCAATTAGAAGCCTACGCTGTTGAGCACCTTTGCCAGGAAACTGGCATCCGTGAGGTACTAGTGGATGATGCCCACAGGAGTCAATTGTCGCAGATTGGGGGAGATATCAAGATCAATGCAATCCCATCCTATCATGGAGAACGAGCGCTAGCAACTGATATACCAGAAGAAAATGCTGGGCCAGCATCGGCGTCAAGCGTTGTATTTTTGCAGCATACTTCTGGCACCTCATCTGGTTTACCAAAGCCAATAGTTGAAACAGAATGGGGTGCTGTAGGTTGCTTACCAGTCTCTATTGACCGTAACCCGGTAGCTACTTTTACAACAACACCGTTCTATCATGGCGGCGTCGCGGACTCGCTCCGAGCCTGGACAAGCGGGGCTATGATATGGTTTTTCCCTGAAGGTGCAATGCCCATTACGGGTGATAACATCATCCTGGCAGTGAATGATGCCCGCAAGAGAAGCAAGGAGGCCTGTGTCAAATATTTCTCTTCTGTCCCATATGTCCTGCAGATGTTACTTGAGGTCGAAGGAGGCGCTGGGATCGAGCTGCTAAAGTCAATGAGCCTTGTTGGAGTAGGAGGTGCCCCCCTTCCGCCAGCGATAGGAGATAGCCTCGTACAGTCAGGGGTTAAGCTCCTGTCACGTATGGGCAGTGTCGAGTGTGGGTTTCTGATGTCCTCCCATCGCAAGTATAGTGAGGACAAACAGTGGGAATATCTAAGAGTAATGGACGACTCCAGCCTACTGGAATTCGAGCCTCGGGGGGGTGGGCTATCAGAGTTAGTAGTGAAGCCTAGCTGACCCCTTCGTCTGAAAATAAACCGCGAAGACGGCTCTTATGCTACAGCGGACCTCTTTGAGCCGCACCCCCAAACGCCTAACGCTTGGCGATACCATGGACGAGCAGACGCGCTGATTACCCTCGCCAATGGCAAGAAATTCGACCCGCAACCAATTGAGGACAGCCTGAAATCTTCGAATAAAATTATTCAAGATGTACTTGTATTTGGTGCAGGGCAGAACTATCCGGGTGCTTTACTGTTCACTAGTCTCAACGACTGCTCTGACGACGAATGCCTAGAAAGAATATGGCCAGACATAGAGAAAACAAACAGCGAGTCACCCTACCATGCTCGATTGTCACGAATATCATTAGCCATAGTCCGAGTCAATGAAGGGGAAGCTCCGATACCCAAGAGCACTAAGGGGACCGTTCTTCGAAGCCAAGCTAAGGGCCAGTGGGCTGAGATGATTCATCAGGTGTATACCAGCCCGAGAAATGCGAGCAATACAGCTTCTGTACCAGACGATGACCTCGTACAGTATCTCGCAGATCTATTCAGAGAAGTCTTAGGCCGACAAATTGACCCCGCAGAGGACATCTACTCGCAAGGTGTTGATTCGATCGCTTGTGTGCAAATCACGAAGCAGATACAAGCCGGGCTTGTACCAGCGAAGGGAGAATCGTTACCTCAGAATATTGTATACAACAACGGCACAATCCTGGCTCTGGCCAATACCTTGAAGCGAATTCGCCATGGCGACAGTTCTTCGGTGGACGGCGGTGAGGAAGAGCTGGCTTTGATGAGACGACTTGTTGAAAAGTACACGATATTTGGTGCTTCTGAGGTCAAGAGATCGTTAAGGAGAGATACCGTTGTAGTCTTGACAGGGGCCACAGGCGGCCTAGGCGCCCACATATTACATGAGCTCATCAACGACTCGCGAGTAACGAAGATATACTGTCTCCTGCGCGGACAGTCACAATTCGCAGCAAAACAACGTATCTCCAAAGCACTTATCAAGCGCAAACTACGAACAGAGGAAGAACTAGAGAGTTCAGGGGCATTTGTCAACAGGATCACATGTCTGCGCTGCGACTTGGGCGCCTCGGACCTGGGCCTATCGGACAACGATCGCTCTTGTATCATCAACGGAGCGACTCACATTATTCACGCGGCCTGGACTGTGAACTTCACTCTAGGACTCACGTCTTTCGAAACCCAAATTGCGAATACTCGGGATCTAGTCGGTATAGCACACGCCAGCGGCGCAGACTTCTTCTTCATCAGCTCGACTGCAGCCGTGTGCGCCGCGGCATCTAAGACGGTGCCGGAAAGAGTCTCATCGGAGCCCGGAGATGCATCCGCCCTGGGATATTCACGGTCCAAATGGGTTGCTGAGCAGATATGCGTCGCTGCACACGCGCGAGAGTGCAAAGACGGTTTGACGGGTTCGAGCACAGAACCCAAGGTTTCAATTATTCGTGTCGGGCAGCTTTGTGGGAACGAATTTGGCGTTTGGAATACTAGCGAAGCGTACCCGTTGTTGCTTTCGACGGCGAAGTTAACAGCTTGTCTCCCCGACCTACCGGGAGAGACCCTGGATTGGCTACCCGTTGATACAGCAGCAACGGCAGTTATCGAGATCGCCCTACCCCGTGAAGATAGTGTCGCTACGCCGCAGTCGAACTACACGGATACTCCCGTGTATCACGTCCTCAACCCCAACCAGTCGCCTTCATGGCGCCAGATGCTTGAGTGGTTACCGAGGGAGCCGGAGGGCCACTCGCTTGAGATTGTTTCGGCGTCGGAGTGGATGAAACGCCTTGAAGCAGCACTAACGGGTGACCCGGCATCGAAACATCCCAGTCAAGCGCTTGTTGGGATGTGGAAGCAGCGATATGGTCTCGAAGGCGACGTGGATAATACAGAGTCTTCGGTCAGGCAGCCAGCTTTTGAAGTAGAGTCTACGCAGCGTGTATCCCAGTCGATACGCGAATTACAGCCGTTGGATCGTCACCAAGTAGTTCGAATGTGGGAATGGATACGAGAGAATTGTTAGAGGTTGAATTGGTATGGGAATTAGGTAACTAATTGGAACCTATCAATTATTATATGATGTACTGCTCAGAAATGATGGGGTGTGTACATTTAGCAAAGATCGGATTTTATCTCATCCCTGATCACGTCTTGAATAGCTGTAATATTCCATTCAAGCCCATCTCATCGTTCTCTCTTGTTTGATGATGCCCCCTGATATCCTATCTTCAGAATTGGGCTGTCATTGAATAGGAAAATCATGCTATCATCAGCTATATTTCCGTTAGTAATACTATAATACCAAGATTTAGTACCCTTACTTACGGTCATTCACCTAGTATATGACGGAGACGATAGCAATGATTCGTATCAGCACTCAAGATACTGTTGAAGTCCAGCGGTTGCGTCCTTAGCGCGGCCTAGAGCATTTACAGTGTTGCTGGCATTATCATAACCACTCAGGGGTCGAACTCCAACACGGCAGACATGCCAGGGCCCAAATCGTAGTTTGGTATACAACATGTTTTGCTGCAATTCTTGACCGTCTTATTTGCACGTGAAAATGTCATAGTGATACTATTAGCAACCAATAGTTTTGGAACGACTCAATCAATCAGAGGCGTTGCTGAGCCTTCCAAACCCCGAGTTTTGATCAATGTTGACTATAATCTTCTAGGGCCTTCAATATAAGATGCTATTGAAGCCTCAGCAGCAAGAATGGCGTGATGTTTGCGAAAAGTCATGACAAGTGGCGTTGAAGACACTAGTTTTCCCAGTCCTTCGGAGTCGTTTGAGGCAATTAGCTCGCGACACTACTGTACGACGCGTTAGGTATAAGTAAGCAGCCAGCACCGCCTAGCGCCGCCAGCCCGATGGGAATGGTGAATTGGCTAAGATCTCAGGATGAATTCGGGGTGGCCGATTACAGGTCCAACACCTCCGGGTATCTTAGCTAGCTCCGAGATCGAGCCCACCTTTTCCTCCCCCCTCCCCCTCAACCCGTCGGCCCGCAATGTTGTAGGGTTCCATCTGAGTCTAGAGCTGCCGGTTCAGCTTTGACGTACTTATGCGTATAATAGGTCCTTGGGGGATCGGACATGCATTAGTTACATGTAAGTAACTCATCGCACCGCCAAGCACTACCTACGACCGATTGTCTACTATGTAATATGTATGGTGCTTACATCACCAGATTGAAGGGTGCAAAGATCAAGTGAGGTCATTATGTGGCATCACCATGTACCTATTCAGACAGGCGTTGAGAATTAGTGACTGATAGGCGACCCTGAGGTGCTGCGATGCTACGACATGTAGAGGTACTGTGCCCAAAGCGTGTCCTAGCTTACTGGAAAGAGTTCCTCGGCTTGAACCTGCGTTGCTGGAGCCACAAATGGAAAGGATTCTGGATCAACCGGCTTTCCAGTCCTGCACCGGGTCAGACCCGGGTTGTGCCTTGCATTGCCAACGCTTGATTTCCCAGGATAAGGGATGAAAAAAGCCCGATCATGCCTGGGTTAGTCCTGGTTCACGTGACGAGGGGTCAGAGTGATGCTTGCGAAGGGCCCGTGAGGCTTACAGATAAGAGCATGAATGAATGTAACGGTAACGGTATCGCCAAAAGCGAAGCACTGACCCGGTCTTAAGATAACATGCAAGGCCTGACAAAAAGTTAATAAAATTGAAAAAAGGGGTGGGAACGTACGATGGTTTTAGGCCTGTTCTTTATTGATGCATTGAAGCCACCGAGTCTCAGAATTGGCAAATATGGGAGAGGTAAATAATGCGATAATATGGTAGTGATACTTGGTAGGTGTTTGATCGCCATTTTTGAGTGACTGTGTTCACGGCATGTTCGTGGTTTTGTTGAAACTCGATCAGCGCGCGCCTCGGCCAATTAGTACTGAGGTAGGTTTCTTCTCCGACCGAGTGTCTCACCGAAGACGGCGTTTCTCAGATGAAGCAAAAACTTACACCTAGGTATCTCGATCGACTCATGGGTGAGTTGTTTCGGTATTCTCTTACTTGTTTTGCCTACTTCTTTTTCTCACTCCGCTGCTCTCCTGCTGCCCTCCATATTGCCTTTGTCGCTGTTACTCGGCCGAAAGAACCCCTGGCCTGTGACTGACTATCTCTCCCTATGATGTGACCTGGTCACAGAATAAGTAATTGACGCGACTTGACATTTGAAAGCGCTGAGACTGAGGTAAGTAGGTAGGTACACATGCTCAGTATCACTGAGAGTGTTAGCGAAACGGCCGAGAAAGAGGGGTCGCTCGTTACAAGCCAAGGATGACCGTTTCGATAATTCGCGACTTTAAAACACAGCTCCTTGGTCATTTTGGCGATCCTTGTTAGTTGCACACAGGCATCGGCTCCGCCTTGCCGGTCCAGAAACACTCGCGATTGGATGCTTGACCCTGTTCCTACATCATGACAACCCGGCAGTACGCAACACTCCGCTGCTGCTTCCCCGGGTTTGTTAAAATATGCTAGGAATTTTGTTTGTTCATTGCTAACAAATGAATGGATAATTTAACATCGACAATATGAAACATTCGTTCAATTCCCGCCGGGAAAGCAGGTAGGCGGCTTGGCTCCAAACATTTTCAGATGTCTATATGAGGTATGTAATGAGTGATTACAGACAAAGAAACAAGCTGTCTACAGAAGGGCATTTTGTCTACTATGGTAGCGATATCTCTCGGAGTACTTGGACTGGGACTACCTACATATCCGTTAAATGTATATCCCGATGCCTTCTAGCAGTGCTTAAGCTTGTCTTATTGAAAACGGGCATAACGGTGATAATATCAGATCATTTCAAGATAAAATCTAAACGAAGCATAAAGCTCCGTGAACCTGCTACGGTTTTGGTTCGATGATTAATCGCGAGTGATATAGGTACTTCCTACCTAAGCCCTATACCATACATATGTAAGCACTGGTACTATGCACGATATATGATTATTCCACTACCCAAACGGACGGCTTTACCATGCAGATCATCCATGGAGAATCAATTACAGATACACTACTGAGTAATTATTTCAGTTGATGGTATATTTACCTACCTAGTAGTGTATATCACAGGTACAGTTGGATGAGGTTACCTACTCGATGACCCTTTTTTTGTGCTGTCAGGGTACTGCAATAATACCCAGTATATAGCCAAACGGCCCCAGGATATTGGTCAGAAGCTTGGAGGACAAGGCATCGGGTGCGAACACTGACTGACAGGGACAAGGAACAGCTCATAATACAGTACACTGATACGGGAAACAAACAGCAATGACGGGGAAAAGAATGCATCATTTAAGCGATACGTATCCCATTTTTCAAAGCATCAAGAATAGTTGCGGCTGGTGGTAATGTAACGGCCCGCGATCTTCTGCTTTTACACCCGGTTTTGCGTGATATTACTGGGATGACTACCTACATACAGTATACCGGTATAATTACTCGACCTACCTAGGCATTCGATGATGATGATGATGTGAGGGATGGACGGGAGCATGTGAGCCTGAAATAAAGTATGATAGTGGCCACATTGGACCATATTGAACAGGCGAGTCTCGACCAGTCAGCAACCTTATCCAATGCTTGTCTTAGCCCATCAATCAGTTCAGGGTCTCTACATAGCAAGGTCTCTACTACTTATGTAGAGACATCAGCGCATAGAATAAACCAGGCCTTGATGATGGTGATGAATGAATGAATGCAGACCACCAAGATGGCCAACGCCCGATGATGGTCTCACCGGACGCCCGTGAAAGTGTAGGTATGGTTCTACGAGCAATATATAGGTACCTAGATAAGTAGATTCCAACCCCGCGGGTGGTTCCGTCGCTATCATACTTTTTGACAAGTAGAACACAAGCTGGACATAGCGAACGCCAAACTAAACATACACTAAATTGTACACTCCCTGTCATCTGTCAAGAGTCCGTTGCTTCAGATAGACGTTAGTGTAGTGATATCGTCGCCATCAAACCAGCGCAAAATCTGACTACATACAGTAGTATAATCGTAACGTTGGGCCGACCCCCTTTCCCTTTCCCATCGTGGAAAGCAGACAGCAGATGCAATCTAACAGGCAGCTGGCTGATTGGCCAGAGCCTGGACTCTTCCGAAATTTCTCGCGTGCAGGGATTTCCCAGCGCCCTGCATTAGCGTTTCCGGGCCCCAGCACTGGACCCTCCCCTCCACCCCTTGGTGATGCTCGAGCGTGCGTGTGTGTCCACATCTCGTACATCCTCCATCCAGTGGGCATAAGTAATAATGCAGGTCGTCCGTGGGTGCAGCGACTTGCAATCTGGTGGAGTCCATGGCTCGCGTCAGTGATATATGCGCTGCAACTCCTGCATTTATTCATTGTTTCCAAAGGGCCCAATGGCGGTACGAGACGACACGCTCTATCCATCGATTCCGCGGTGCCGGTACTGGCCTGGAGACCACTTGGACAGGTCTACCTTGGTTCGATGCTGCTTGGAGTGGGTGTGCAAGCCAATTCTCATCGGGGCTTGGCTCCATTACCAGGCGACGCTAGCGTAGCTCGAGCACAGAGCATGTTGCAACCCTCTTCCCCGGCGCAGGCCCCTGCGCGTATCATGAATCAGAAAGTTGAAGTTGAACTGTCCTGTGCCTGTTCTCTCTGCCCTCATCCCTGCTCGCAGTCGCCGCAACGGGCGAATTGCTTGTACCTAGTGTACCGGCTGGTATGTACATTACGTGTAGGCCCACGCTAGATATTGTGTAGTGTACCACCTCTTATCCCTTTCTGCCGTGGTGAAGCCTCCGTCGTTGTTCGTTGGAGTGGGCGATGTACTTATTTAGTGATCCGTACGATGGAGTGTACATTAGGTAGTAGATGACAGTACTTGGTGTATTTTGAAGCTGGTAGTGTCGCGGTCATACGAAGTACTCATTTCTCACGGTGCAGATCACCCGAGACCTAACGAGACCTAAGTAACGCTACCAGTACCTAGGCAGTACCTGTATCCTGCAATTCCCCCCCCAAGGCATTCGTCACCCGGCTGAGCAAGAGAGGTACCGACATCCTGCTGTTAGTAACATCGTGGGACCAGCAGCAGCTCCAGCTCCAGCACCAGGAAAGCTTCTTCTTCGCCCGCACTCGTTTCCCCATTTCCACCCTCGCAGCGAGAACTCAACCAACAACAAGTCGCGTTCACGGACACTAGGCACGCTGCGTTGGAGTCGACGTTGTCTTCTGATAATCCTTGCCTCCTTATCTTCGTCATTTCGACTCGGCGCACACTCCCTTATTGAACATCATTGCCGTAGTATAGCAGTCAGACCCCCGTCCCTTCACTCTTCCTGGCATCCACTATAGCCCGGGTATTCACACCTCTCTCCCTCTCCCTCACACACCATACCCTCTCCTTCTGTCACTGTTGATCCACCCCTTTCTCCCCTTCTAACCCTTCTCTCGGTTCCTCGAAAGAGCTGCAGCAAGTCTGAAGCTTCTTTCTTTGCCGGTTCTTGGAAACGACTGCCACTCGCTCAGCCAACCCCATCGTCATGTTCTGTGTCTTCCCGCGTGCGTGTTAGGCCTAGAGGTTCGAAGAAGGGCGGCCATAACCAACCATTGGCATAATTAATCGAATTCGAATTCACATATCACTAATTCACTGCCGACTCACGGCTTCATTTCATTACACGGCTGGTGCCGACTAAGCTCGCACAGATTCTGTGTGAAGTGACTTTTACCTCACCAAGGAGACTGGATCAGCAACAATCCCCAGCGACCATGGCACCCTCACTTAATGCCCATTCTTCGTTTACGCGGCCGGGCACCCGCGACCGCGAAGGTCGACCTGTGACTCGTGACCAAGGCGATAACAACCTCATTATTCCTAGCCGGACGTCGTCTCTTCACTCACGCATAACTCAACCCATTCCCGGCACTCTCAATGGCAAACCGCAGCAGCGGACTCCCAAGACCCTCACTCATGCCTACATGGTATGTGGTGTCGGCCGTGAACCCTCTCAGTGGGTAAAAGCGCCTGCTCCGACCCAAGGCAAGATCGGCCATATGAAGGGCGCTGTCGGTCAGTTTTGGTTGCCAGAAATTCTTGGTAGCAGTCCGAGACTGGAACAGGACAACGATATCGCTAGGGCCCTGCATGCTGCTATGCGCGTATGGTAACCCCAATACTACCCACGTACTTCATGATCGTACTAATGTTGGTGTAGGCTTGCTTCCCTCACGATGTCGAGATTTGCACCGGCCGTAGTCAGCCTCACTGCGTCCACCACGCTTTTGTGCTTCAACAGGACTCCTCTCACACGCTTTACGGAATATGCTTGCGTGTGTGGTCGCGCGCCGACGAAAAACGAGCTGAGACGATTCGCGACCTCCGCAAGCGCACCGAAACCGATTTCTACGACAACCCGGATGAGACCTACTGGATCCCCTACTGCTTGTCTTTCCTCTCCCGGTATCCTCTATACAACCTGCTTGGAGACTATTTGAGAGGGATGTGGATTCACTGGAATAAGGCAACTAATCTTTTCCACGCCGAAGAGGTTTCTCGAATTCTCAGCTTTCCGGCACCGCGATTGAACGACTTGGTACGGATTGATATGAAGGATTATGCTTTATGTTACCAATTTCCTTCATCGCCTACTGGCTTCCAGAATTTCGCTATGTGGCCGCTCTGGAGTTGCTTGTCAATTCCGAACATTGTAGGCGTGGTTGAAGCAGCCATGTCACCCACAAGACGGATAATTTTTGTCAGTCATTACCCTGCGATGCTGACTGCCGCGGCCGAAACCGTTCGTTTCTGTGTCCGAGTTTACGAGTGGAGCGGCTTGTACGTACCTGTTGTCCATGCTCGTCACGCGACGGATCTTGTCCAGGAACCTGGACCATATATCCTTGGTATTACAGCGGAATGCCGGACGCTTTTCACTGCGCCCACCGATGCGCTTGTTGTTGATCTTGATCGCAACTTTGTTCTCACATCAAGCCCACCTACTGCTTTGAGTCCCAGCCAGCGAAACAAGTTCGTCACTCGGTTGACCAATGCGTTGAATGGTGATGTCACTCCCTCTGGCGTCCCGCAGCACCTGCGATCTGCTTATGGAGGCGGGAAGCTTGTTCCTGCTGGGCAGATCATTGTTATGCGTGGCGAAGTTGAGTCAATTCAAGACCCTGAGTGGTGGAACCAAGACGCTGTTATGGCCGTGATGGATCACGTTTGTGAAAAGATGGTATGTTGTTTGTCGAGTAAAAGCTGTTGATGCCAAGTTTTGACAATATATCTTTAGGGACGCAACACCGGGTTGAAGGCTGTTTTCGGGGGCTCGGTGAAGAAGCCACTCATGACTAAGGTGTCAATGAGACATCTCAACGAAATTGTTAGGGAACGCAATCAGTACTCGCGAGATGCTATGGAAGCATGGCAAGACTTCATCAACCTAAAGGGTCGCATGGATACGGAACTCGCCAAGGTTACCAAGCGAAACAACTACCTGGTGGAAGAGCTTGAGAACTGGAAGCAACAGGTCAGTTCGGTCATCTTTGTGCTTTGTTCGCGTCTGCTGACACACATTTTAGTTCCTTAAGTTTGAGGCTTTTGCCGAGCAACTCACCAAGGAAACGCAAGATCTCAAGACAAAGATTGAGACCCATAAGCGAGAGAATCGCAGATTGGTCGGTCTTGTCGATCAGCAGAAGGATGATAATGCTCGCCTTGCTGTCCGTTTGACTGGCACCGAGAAGCAGCGCGATGACGCTCTTGAAGCGCTCGTGTTGCAGCAAGAAATTGCCGAGGAGCTTGAGCGTGAGCGCAAGAGGAACAAGAAGGAGCTGGCCGCGCTCCAACAGACAAATGCCACCATGGTCCGGCAGCGAGATGAAGCCCGACGCGTGGTTCTGCACCTACGCAGCCTGATTGGAGGTCAGTCGCATCATATGGAACACCTCGTTCGTTCTCTCACGACCCCTGATGAGATGATGAGCGAACTTGGAGAGAGCTTCGACGATGAGGAGGGCGAAGAGGTCGAGTCTAATGGTAAGCCATCTTATCCACGTCACAATAACAATAAATGCTCACTTTTTTTCCAGGTCGCCTTGGTACCCCAAGCCGGGCTCAGAAGCGCATATCCGCTGCCAGCTTCAAGGATGTAGCGGACCGTCATCTCAAGGATAAGACTGATGCTATTGCTCATATTATTAGAAATATTGCTGAGCAGTGTCAGGCTGCCGTGGAGGGCCTGCAGCTTGCTCACGATGCTGAAGGCGAGCGTCGCTCACCTAGGCTCTCCCGCCGTACCAGCAAGCTCTCAGGTACACATGATGAGGATAGCCACGATAACTCAGCTTCCGCCTCAGAGGCCGGAGAGGACAGCCTGCTCCATCCTTCTGGACGATACTCCAGCGTCCCCCCTACGCCGGATTTGATCCCCAACCGCAGCAGCACTTCCATGTCGTATGCCTCGACAATGACGACACCGGAACGAACAAGCCAGCAATGGAATGTCTCAGCTGAGATTCCCACAAAAATCGTAGAGGATGACGAAGATGACCTAGCTGATCGAAGTGAGGGTGAGGGAGTTCCTCAGGAGCCTACGGTCATGAGCAAGCACAGCTTGCTTCATCGGGCCTCAGGTGCTCGTATCAGTGCTTTTGGCGGTGCGAGGTAAATTCGGCACGCTTTCCGCTGTGCTGAAGGGGTTTTGCTTTTGGATGGAATATGAAATACCTTTCTTGTTTCCAGCAGCCATGAGACCTAGAGATGAGCCTTCGTGTTGTTTTTATCTTTCTCTGTGTATATTGGATGTATTGGCTCATTTGTGTGCTGATATGCAAAGTTGGCACCCGGCGTTGTCCCGACAGGACTGGCTTTTTTTTTCTATCTATTTTATCTGTTGCTCCATCTATCTATCTAGCTGACAACTCATATAATTTTTTTACGCATCCTCAATATTCTCAAGATAAGAGTATTTAGCGTGTCACCAAAAGATGTTGCTGAGCAAGGGTTGAGGATCTTTGACCGGATGGATCGAGTCCCCTTTATGTTATGCTGCGAGTGAGTGAGCACTGTGTCGTACCTAGTTAGCTAGCTAGCTAGTTTGGAATACCGGTTCGGTAGTCATTGGATAACTTCAGTTCGCGTCTCTCTCTCTCTCTCTCGCCCCGATTTAAATATATGGAAGATGAAGTTAATTTGTTCTGACTAGGATTGAGATTTGATTAGTGAGACTGGATGTAGATTGAGTGTTTCGGTCTTGGTGGTTGAAGCTTTTTATATGGTATGTTTATTACTTGCTACTTGTCGTGAGGAATGATGGATGATATCAGCGTGTATCGAGACCTTTTGCTGCTTCATATTGATGTTCGTTTCAGGTAGTAAACAGGTCCCCTTGATGCTTATTTTTGTCTTGTGTGTTTGTCGTCGTTGGTTGTGCGGCGCGTTAGATAATATGATTCGAAGAGGCTGGGTTCGTGATGATATACCACACATTACTGGCTAGGTTGCCAATGCCGTTTCTTAGATACCAGCTGAGCTCTCAGTGTGAAAACCTTGAAGGCTAATCCGCGTAAGGGGGCATATATGACGGGTTATATGAACGGCTGATGGCTCTTCATGAAGAAGTTTTGATAATGCTTCGCGATGGTGGTGGAGTGGGCGGTGAGGATGTCTCCTGTTTGAGACGCTAGGTTATATGATAAATCGCGATGACGGAAGCAGGGCTCTTTTAAGCTGAGATGGGTATTGTCCTATGATTTCGTAGACATCGTATCACGGGGACTGACATTGGGCTTGGGAGAGGTATGCTTCATTTACATGACGCGATGATCTTAGGTGGCTATAAGGCATAGAGTGTGTCTCATTTGCGGTTAGGTACTTCTATATAAGATTGTTGGTCGCAACTTCCTAGCCCTGTGCAAGGCTGGCAAACAAAACACTCGGGAATTCAATCCAATTCGCTCAGCGCTTGTAGGATTTGGTGAGCTTCTTGATAAACATATTTTGGACGTCTTATCTTTGCTGGCACTACAAAATATACATTCGAGAACACTTGACTCAATATTCCAATTATTGCTTCAAGCTCGAATAGGATACCTCCTACGCTGTGAATGAATTACATAAGCTTGTGATGTTTGGGCGATCACATTTCGGTGCATGAGAATACCCTGACAGATCGAGTCACTTCACTTAGATTGATTATTACGTGTACACATAAGTGAGAAACATTCTATTTCCTGTATTCATGGTGCAGGTGCTATCTTCTGTGATGCTAACACGCCTAGGCTTCTTTGCCTTCTTCGCAGACTACTACGATCAATCTATAGCAAACATCTTTTCCAGGATGATAGCCCTTTTTGCGCACTTCTCTTCTTAACCCTCACCCAATCCATTGCGAAATTCCTTCATTGAAATGTCCTGAATAGGTTCATTCGAAAACTGGGGTTCGTTCATGGGCCTGCGCGCTCCTGACCAGCGCAAGTTAGTTAAAGTTGGAGAGAGGGAAAAAAAAGAAAAAAAAAAAAAGTTGGAATATGTGATGCCTACCGGATCATAGCAACTCCCGAAGCTCTTCCAACGTCATATCCGGAAAAAACGACGCACTTAGTAAACGGGCCTTTGGAATTCGGGTCTAGACATGTTGTGCAAGGTACATTAGGTTCGCAACTGCATGAATTTGCTATAGGTAATAGAAGCAAATGTGTAGAGAGAGATGCAGAGAATAAACCAGGCTAGTATGTACCTGTAGATGTAAGGATACGCTGGTTGGAGATAGAATGTCGGTATCAAAGACATGCAAGATGTAGATAGATATTGAAACAAAGTGTATAGGAGTAGATGGATGTTGTACTTTCTAGGGAGATACACTTGGGTTTCTAAGTCACATCCTCGAGCAACAAGAATATACTGGACTAAAGTACTCGGTTTACCGCGCTTCTACTCCCAAGGACTCTATGAGGTACTCTGTTACTAGATATGCCACCTCACATGTGTGTACCAGGATGTGTACCTGCCTTAATATGCGCTTGAAAGGGCTACACTGAACCAGCCAGGCCAAGTCAGATGATAAAGGGCAACTATGTGGTATTTTAATACCTTCGTTTACATGACAACGCCGGAAGGAGGTATGGTAACTCCTTACAGGAGTTTTCCGAATACAAACAATGAATTTTACAATCATGCCCGTTTATCATGGAAACTGCCTTAGAGATAACTGCCTAGCTCTCTAAAGAAGCTAGTTTTCTAAGTAGATATTGGGAGATATGTCCCCATTAGATAGGTCAGTTGGGTCATGGTGTGTATAGACCACAATACTTTAAAAGTGAACACAGAAAACACAGTAGCTTCGAATTCGGCAAACCAACGACTTTTCACTTTCTCTATTCTTTAACTTGCCCCCTTCACTTAACACAAAATCGAGCAAGAGGCTTTAAGAGTGACATACAAATTCTCACGAGAACATCAGATTAGTTGATGTATTTCGTTGTCGGCGGCGAATACCACTCATCGGCGAATACCACTCCTCGGCAAATACCACTCCTCGGCGAATACCAGTCCCCGCCGTGTCGCTCCAAAGAGCGCACTATTTTAGCGTCACCAACGAGTCGAGATGAGTGATGTGGGAAATCTCGCAAGACAAACACAGCTGGGAGTGAATCTATGCGCCAATTGGGCGGAATGACACCCAGAAGCGCATCCCCCACTTGTATATTATCAGGCCCAAAGCCGAAAGCTGGGTTTCTGATGAAATCCGACCGATAGTAAAATACCGATCTTCCCTTGAAGACATTCCCCATCTCTGTCAAAGCAGAGACATGATCATCTATACCCAACAAGTCAAAATGGTTAGTCGACATGACCCAAGAGATCATACGAATGATCTCACAACGATGGAATCGTTGGCCGATGTCTTCAGCACACGTCTGAACGAAATCCGAATACGGCTCTAGCCCGTCTTTTGGATATTTGCTCAACCAGAGGGTCCCAGCAGCCCGAAGCCAACAAGTCACCTCCTGGGGGGATAATGCATGAGTTGGTAGTGATTCAAATACTTCAGAGACTCTGGCTGTTGCGTCTTGAGTCAGCGGACCACGTAACAATAGGCTGTTAGATTTATATTCTAAGTCCAACAACTTAGTGTCTTTGTATTGGAAGAATGGCTTTCTTATCGCAGATACTCGCCAATCCGGGACCCATGACGGCAGACTACTTTCATTTTGACTGTTTCGGCAACGAGCTAACCCGGACGCCAGCATTTGATGCTTCATCTCCTTGTCGGCGTGCTCTATTATGTCTGCGCAGAATCTCGTGTACAGAGACTCTGTACTAATAGTATAGTCTACGGGCAGCGGTAAAAGCTGCGACGGAGCGTTAGGCCCCATGTGAACATCATTTGCCAGTCCTCCAAGGGCGAACAGTCGATCTCTATCGTCACAGCACTGGAAGTGGTCGAAAGCCTCGAGGAGATCGAATATTCCAGTCTTCTCGACCGCATTTCTGTTGAACAACCCCCGCTTCCATAGCCTAGTCATAGCTAGCATACTTTCCAACGGCTTAAAGCCGGCCGGCGGGTCGCTTATCGATTCGAGGCGACTCGCCATTCGCACCCAGGAAAGTTCTTTATCACAACAGCACATCAGAACGTCTGGGTTGAGGACAACTTCCTGCACTATCCAGCGTCGACTGAACCATGGGAGCTGGAACAAGGACGAAAGAGACGTGAGTAGCTCGGTGTCTGCTTGGTGCCTTTCGCTGCTGCTTGGTTCGCGCTTTTTGCCCAGGAGACGCAGATAGGCTTCGATGCTCGCTAAACATGCCGCTTGCGCCGGGTAGTTTCCGAGCCAGACGAGTACAGCCGATGCACCGCGGTATATCACATCCATGAACGGGATCTGCCTCCCCTTTTCCTCTTCGTCTTGCTGGTTAATGCATACTGCGTCAACCCACAAACGGCGTGAGTTAAATGGAAGACGGAAGCGATGAAGAGCGTCTCGAAGGTTCGGCGTTATGCGCAGAAAATGGGTTCTGTTCACGATCAACGTCCCTGTAAAGTTGGGCTCGCCCCATGTATAGGAGAGCGCTTGGAAGCCTTTGTCCGACTCTATTCGGAGCTCTTCCAACATGCAGCTCAGAGGCGCAAAGACATCAGATGAGGGCTCAAGTACAAGAATACGGGTCTGAGCGGAGGAGGAGAGCGGGTGGTAGCGATAGGGTTGAAGTTGTAGCGCCATTATATTGCGATCTCGCCTGGTATTGAAAGGAGGGTGCTACACGCGTACAAGCGGAACATGCAGTTCCCCTTGCACTTCGGCCATACGAAAGGCCATTGCAGGCTGTTCATGATCTTCAAAGACATACAGGGAATATTAGACAATATTGGGCAATGTTGGGCAATGTTGGAAAGTGAGGTTATACAGACTTCGCTTCATGAAACAAGCCAATAAGACCTAGGCGATCAGGGCTGGCAGACCAGTTGTATATAGAGTCAAGTCAAGCCACCAACAGCCGAGAGGAGTTGGTTGGGCAAGGACTTATGCAGTCCTAGTTGTTCATTATATCTGAATTGCCTAACCTAGATTCCAAGCCCCGTAATCCTGCCCTTGTTATAAGGATATTGGCGGGCTGACGGTATACCTAAGTATTAACATTTGACTACCCCACCACCTTCTGGATCCATCATGGTCTCCTCAACCACAATCCCCAAATCTTATATTCTTGGTGTGATCAAGACGGCGGGAGTAACAATTCGGTATAAATCTTGAAAAGGAATACCTACCATGGCAGTCCTTCAAGATCTCCCAACCGAGACCTTAATCCTAATCCTCCGCTTTCTCGGCGCGATTGACCTACAAGCCACAATCCTCGCACAGCGCGTGAGCAAGAGATTTCGGGACATAATTCAAGATGCAGTTCTACGCAGCGCTTCACCAATTGCGACTCAGCTTTACCCCGGAAATCCTTGGTCTCAAGAGGAAATCAACCCATTACTCCAGGCTAAATTCAAAGGCCTCTTCGATTCCGTGTACTCCTCCACAGAAGTTGAACGCTACCGTTACCGGGTGCTGGCGCTCGACCGCGACGCGACATTGCTGTTCTGGCGTGTCTTATGGGCTGCGGGCGTATCTCGAGAGGCATATCTACGACCCGAGGCGTCGTGGCGTGGATTAAGCCCGACGTTTGGGGTAGCTCCGCGCATAAGACATCTGGACATAGTCAAGCACTTTCTAAGAGAAGAAGGGCCTCCGGTTTCTTACTTACAGGTTGAGCTTCCCGAGTCAGGGTTAAGCATGGGACTTTTACATGATATCTTGCTCTGCGAGGAGACGCTCTACGGACATGACATGAGGAGCTGGCAGTTGCTTGTTGGGCAGAGTCTGAAGAGTTTTGATGTCCTATATCGATGGGGTTGCTTCATTATTGAACTTTATGAGCCGGAGCTTGTGACCGAGACGGCCGATGGAGCACTATTGTTTGTGAGGGGTGGCTACCGATCTAAAGAAACTCAATTAGGCCGGAACGAGCGGGTGTCGCGGCGCTTGATGAACGCCAAGCCGAAGTTCTTGCCCTGGCAGGGTCCTTTCATAGATCCAGAGGAGACGGATTGGCTCTAGACTTGTAGAACCACTGAGGGACCCGGCACATAGTAAACAAGCGACAGCATCTAGTTGAAGTAACCGCATTGAATAAGCGCTTGCCCGCTGATATATAGCAGCGACGACGCTTCCCTCTATACTAAGATGCTATTTACATGCTATCTCCGTATTCACGGCACTTTAGTAGGGTCATGACACCCCGTAGGAATGCGTTGTCCTTGATAACTCTCATGTCCGAGGTTATAATAATTACATGATTTAAAAGCGATCTTGACCGTGTTACAGCTGCCGCTGAACTAATGTCCCCTTCGATTGAGGCATGGTTGATAATTGGCACTCTTCACCCCCTGAGTGAGCCACAGATCGGCTTGAAACAACCCTCCTTTCAGTATATGTGCAGCCGCATTCCTATCAAACGAAGAGGTTGACGCCCATTGCATCATAAAATAGCCAATACAGTCCTCGAAGAGACTTTAAGGATGGGAATCACGACGGTTTCCCCGACATCAACTCTCCACCTTTTTCTAACATATCCTGTGCGGTTGTGAAATTCCGCCAACCTTGCATTATACTCGGCATGGCAGTGCCTTAATGTAGAGATTTGACTTGTGAACTAATAAAAATACTCTTGTTCTTTTCCTCAGGAACAGCTTGTGCTTTCCCCTCAACCGTTCGTATACACCAGCAGCCTCAGTCAGAACGAACTACGTACAATCGTGTGCCGTTCTACCGTTCCCACAGCATCTTGATGAATGTTGTAGTGCTGTATGAAAACTAGTCTGTCTTAAGATGTTAAGATTGACATAGATCTGGATAATGGCGGGCCCTTTAGGTTTCGGCTATCTGTTAACTACTTATGGGATAATGAGCAACCTTGATAAAACTATAAATTAGTCGTTGATAGGGAGTATAGGGGTAACGGAGATTATTGAAATGCACGAAGGATAATGAAGATATAAGACGAACTTACTGTCTCAGTGAGATATTTGCGGGAACTTTGAGTTCTATTTTCTCTACTGACTACTGAGTTCGTGTTCAAGGCGCATCTTCTAGAAACCAATATTGATGGTACCCAGGCACATGAAGTGCACCTCGTTGGGGTTCTAGATGACTGTGGAATACCCGTTGAATGATGCCGGACTAGTTACCGCTGCGTCGAGGCCAGGCTCAATGGGCTATTGCGAACTAGCCACCAGAATATTTCATCATGTGATTGCTTCTGTATGATTTCCTAAGAATAGTGTTGTCATCTGATGGGTATCAGGAACTGACAGAGACGCAATGGCTTCCGCGGGACCCGCAGTATTTGCTCGAAATCCGAACTCTCGGGATGAGAGTCTTGGACACCTGGAATGCGAAGCAGTTGATTCACTTCTACAACCGTGGCGGGTGTTCGCGTAGATTGTCACTAAGACGCCGAGGTAGGGTTGGAACGCTATTGGTGTCTTGGGATCCAGTCAAAGCACCAGTCATAGTTGGTGAGGTTGTTCCAACCCTTCCCCTCTCCTGTAACCTGAAATTCATCAACCATCGCACATGCATTCCAAGGACCCCGAGTGTACTACGGATCTCTGTAAGTTGGTCCTTGATCGGCAAAGTTTCGTTGAAGAGCATCACAGAATGCCGGCCCTCGACTTCGCTGAGGGCAGAAGATAGACGTTCGACTTTGGCTTCCATCGTCTCGAATAATGATAGAAAATACTGGTCCCTAGATTCATAGGGGGCGGCGTCTGGAGATGCTGGGTTCTCCGGCAAGCTTAGATCTGTGATCCCATCTGACGCATTTGCAGTAGGCATGGAGAATCCTTTATTCTCGAGGAACTTGATGCGACGCTCCTTCAATTGGTCTTTTTCTTGAAGAGCCTTGAATCCCGCCCGAAGTTCAGCCAGCTGCTCTCCTACGGGCCCGACCACCCTGTATTCGCAGAGTCGAGCGTGTTCGTCAAGTTCTTTGCGTCTTACCCGAGATATGCAGCCAAACGGCGCAAACTTGCAAGGTGTTTCTACTTCTAGGCACTCTTTTAGATGTTCATCTTGTTTGTGGCGGACAAACTCGGCTGCACATAGCTCACAGTTCTTCTTTCTGTTTGCACATTGACTGTCTTGGTGCTCTTCCAAGTCGGCTTTCTCGTATACATGATCGCAATACTCGCATTTAACGTCATAGTGTAGGCAGCCTTTCCCAGAGTCTTTCCGAGCTACTGTCTTGTCGCAGGCGGGGTGTGGGCAAGGTACGGATGTCTTTTCACAATAGCGCGTGACATGATTTTCAACAAGAGCCCTAGTCACTACAAGATTGCAGCCGCGCGGCCGATTTGGACATCGGACGAGAAGATTATCGAGCTGATTATGAATGATTTTAGGAGCGGTTCGGGTCTCGGTAGCGAGCTTCAGTGGCAGGCGGTCGACTGGACAGACGGGGTTTAGGATGTGCGCCTGAACGATGCACGTTTGACAGAAGACATGGTCACAGTTTGTAATGGTAGGTGACACTAGTGGCAAGCGACATATCGGGCATATGAGATTCTCGTCGACGTCGCCCTCATACTCGAGTGCCTTGAGGTCGACGACGGGTAGTGAGAACGCGCCTCGGATCAAAGGCCGGATGGGTAGGCTCGTGGATGTCGAGACCAGGCCCTCCTCAGGGGTGTTCGGCGGCGGCATTGCTCGGACAAATGGAATCCGTGATGTACTACTACTGAGGATCCTTCTGTGAACCCATTGAAGGCTAGCTATGACTTGAATAGCATTGATTTATCTGCATTCTGCGAGTCTGGTGTTGAACTCGTTCTCTAGATTGAGGCAATCAGGCTGTTGTTGCTTTAGGTTGCGGTGCTGATGACCGGCCCGCCGCGGGACGACTTGTGCTTGATTATTTCTTATTGCCTTTAAATACATTGTTATCTATTATACACTGCGAATATATGCGCTAATGCATCATATCTCTATATCTTATCAACACCATAAAGTACCTGGGCAGACCTAACATTTATTTTATTTACTTACTCCTACCCCGTACACTACACCAACATTAAAGTATCGTCATAAAGAAGCTCCCTTGACATGTGCTTAATCAAGTGGACTAAACAAGAACATTGAGTTGACAGCCTGTATCCATATATGTATACCAATGAACCATTATTTTCCCTAAGAACTAGGAGCCTTCCTGCAGTATCATCTTAACTTTGGGGTCCTTGAACACGTCAATGGACCGTGAATTGAGCAGCTCGACCATGCTTGGTGAAGTTCACATCAGACAAATATCCTGAACTGGGACGACGACGTTTCTGTCTACAATGGGGGTGGAGCATCACAAGCCAATCCGGCCAATAATGTGAAATAGATCCCTACAGATCAACCCTACCTAGCCTTAGCTGCCGTGAATAGCGGGGAGTGTTGTGCTCAACAAATTTCTAGAAAAGAAAAGCGATGCCGTGGCCGCGGACCCCGGAAAGCTTAAGCTTGCAAGCCCGGTATACTTTCGAAAAATCTCCGGACAAGCTTTCTCTATCATCTATTCATCCCCTCTTAGTATCTCTCGCCATTGCCATTGTTGAGAGCGAATTCCATTATTTGTCATATTAATTGGGTGCCGTATTCGACCATTGAAAAGGCAAAAAGGGAAATCGAAAGATGGGATTCACCCTTAAACTCACCAACCGGTCCCCCAAAGGTCTGAAAAGACTCCCGGCCACCCTCGAGATCGCCGACGACGCGACAATCGAGGCCACCAAGAAGCAGATTGCCCAATTGACAGGCACCTCCGACTTCAACCGAATTGGCATCTTCGACCCGGTCACCAAGAAGACCATCAAGGATCGCAATGCCTTGCTACGGGACCAGGAGCCCGTCATCAAGAACGGGGAGATGATAGTCAAGGACCTCGGTACGTTTTTTTTTTCGCGGCACAGAATCCTACTAATGCAATGACGCACGAAAACTAACGACCGGATTTGGGTGAACTGTAGGTCCGCAGATCTCTTGGAAACTCGTATACCTATGCGAATACTTCGGACCCCTCATCTTCCACCCCTTCTTCGTCGCCGTCCGCAACCATCTGTATCCCGCCATTTACTCCGTCGTCAAGGACTACGTGCCCGCGCCCGCGCCGGCCGCGTTGACGGGCTCGCTCACGTCCGTGCAGCAGGCGACCTTCGTCATGATCATGGCGCACTTCGTCAAGCGGGAGCTCGAGGTCCTCTTCGTGCACAAGTTCAGCGCGAACACGATGCCCGCAAACTTCATCGTGCGAAACTCGTTCTTCTACTGGGTGTTCGCTGGCCTGCTCGGTGCGCTCGAGATCTACGCGCCCTTCTCCCCGACGGCGCAAGCAGGGCCTTTCCTCTCCTCGCCCCTCGACGTCATCGGTCTTGCGCTGTACGTCTTTGGCGAGCTGTGCAACGCCCACGTCCACTGGTATCTCTCGAGCCTTCGCAAACCCGGCGAGACGGCGCGTAAGATCCCCAATGGGTTGGGCTTCAGCCTCGTGACGTGCCCTAACTACATGTTCGAGATCATTGCGTGGATCGGTATCATCATGATCACGCGCTCGCCGACTCTCGTTGTTTTCATCACAATTGGCTCGTACTATATGTACATCTGGGGTTGGGGCAAGGAGAAGGCCTACCGCAAGCAGTTTGGCGACAAGTACAAGAAGAAGCGATCCGTCATGCTGCCTGGTCTTTTGTAAAGGGGATTTCACGTTTAATTCGGAGCTACATCCGCATAATTCAACTCCGTTCGCAAATCTAGAAGGTTTGAAATGGGAGTGTGGAGATATATTAAGAAACGAAGTAACAAAGCTGTCATTCTCAATCTTAGATAGGGAATAGATCCCCCAGATGACTTGCACCTAGAATATACATAGCACAAAGAAGCAAAACAAACAAATAAAATAATGTACCCCTGCCAGAAAAGTGCCATGCGCCGCGAAGCCTGTTAAGCCGTAAAGTCATCAAATCTGACCTGTTGCATCCTCTTCATAACGCCTTGCTCTCCCAAGCCCTACCTCGTTCTAGAGTTTCATGATGTACCCTGCTTTGTCACCGTGGATCCTACGCGCAGGTCGGTAGCCAAAGCCTCAGTCAGGCTTTCCAGGAAAGCTTCGTCGAGGGAAACGGTACCGTTCGCGGCGGGATCCCGTAAACTGGAGGTCAGACTAGCAGTGCTCCTCTCTTCCGCAGTAGAGCTAGCCCCTTCTTCATCCAGTCCTTTCCCCTTCTCCTTTTTGCTATTGGTGATAGAAGGACTTTTCTCCTCGCCGGCTCCCTTTCGCTCACCCAGGTCACTTACGCTGATCTTGCGACTGCCCGCTAGACTGCCAGATCTAGTGCGACTGCCACTTCTCCCCCCTTCGCTCTCGCTGCCCGACGAATAGCTTGCCGAGCGACTGCATTCGCTACAATTACTCTCGTCGTCCTCACTGTCCGCGCCACCGTTCCTCACCAGCCGCATAGTCTCCTCCAAGACTAAAAAGTCCCTCTCGAGCACCTCGGCCCAGTTCTGGACGTTGCCGAGCTCCTTGATCTTGCGCCCGGCATCCTTGGCCACCTTGGCAAGCTTGTCGTTCTCTTTGCGCAGCGCCTCCGTTGCCCTCGCGACGTCTTGCTCTTGACGCGTCAGTACGGTGGCGTTGGCGTGCAAGACCGACGCGCGCGACTGCAGCTCGCTGTCGAGCATATTGGACATGGACGCGATCAGCGCCGCGCGTGCCTCGGCGACGTGCAGCTGCGAGTCGCGGGAGGGCATCTCGGGGTTCAGAGACATGGTCGCAATGCTCGCGGCGCCGGGCGCTGGCCCCGCTCCATGGAGTAGAACTGGCCCTAGTCCGCCGCTCACCGTGGTCGGTGGTGAGGTAGCAGTGGTTCGCGACCCGGACACCGACGGTGGGGCCTTGGAGGTGGAAGAGGGTAGCGAGGGTGGGGGCGGACACGATGAGCTGCCGACTGGAGTCATAGCTGAAGAAGAAGATACATGGTCGTCTAGTGGCGATGTTGTCTTCGAAGAGCCCCGGCCTTCCTCGGAACTAGGCACCGGTGGAGGAGGTGAAGCGACCCCCGGGTTGACCGGTGCGGGGTCCGACATTTATATTCGACCGTAGCGATGAAATGGGTGTTTCACGTCAAGCGAACAATATCGTGGGGCGAAGGTGGGAACGAAACAAGCTTATGAGGAAGTTCAACAATGAAACGACTCGGTTAGATGGGGTGAAACAACCGTCAGAAATGGGAAGCTGCTAAAAAGTAGATGGTTGAAGCGATTGGAGTTGAAGCTCAGATTTGGAGCTCGTGGCACATTGCGGGGTCAATGCAAAGATGGCCGATTGGCAGACGGTTCATGTTAAAGCATTGTCTTGCATGTCAGGATCTTCAACGACTTGCCCAATTCGATTACATCCGTTCCACGTGCATGGCTAATAGCAGGAAGTGGTAGGCTCATAACTTGTCATGATTCAGACTTATCTTCACTTGCAGCAGACAGCGCAGTGTGATTTCATAGGCAAAAACATGGTGCCATAGGGGTATCGATCATTCATCCCAGTCTGCATCCAAGAGGCCTTCCTGCCGTTGTGTGCTGACCCACTCCTCACTCGCAAGGCCACGCATGAATCGGCGCTGAAGGTCTGCACTATCCTTGTGATAATCACATGCATAGTCACACACCGGGGTGTCGCTTTCTCCAAAGTAGTTGCAGATCAGCTTGTGACGGCAAGTCGTGATATTCTCACAGTACTCGGCCAATGCCCTCACACTTGAAGCTCTCGCTTCCCAGTTTGAGCTCTTAGACTCGCGGTCGCGCATAATCAGATTACAAACCCGATCTCTGTCTTCGCGACTGTAATATAGAAAGCAGTAGGACGCGTTGCCATCCCGCCCGGCCCTGCCTGCTTCCTGATAGTATCCCTCGAAGGACTTGGGAAGTCTCCAGTGCACGACGAAACGTACATTGTCCTTGTCAATTCCCATGCCGAATGCTGTTGTAGCTACGATTACGTCGAAGCCGGGCTCGTTCGATACCCATTTCGCTAGGGTTTGTTCTTTGACCTCCTTGGATAGTTTTGCGTGGAATGGCTGTGCACCGATGCCTTCCTGGCGGAGTTGAGCGGCAAGGTTCTGGCATTCATCGCGCGATATGGTGTAAATAATTCCAGGGACATTATCAGGTCTTTCTTCGAGTGCCGCTAGCTCCGTCTTTCGAGGTTCCTGCGCTCTTCGCTCATACACTCCCCGAATCCATTTCAGGAAATCTTCTAACCGATGGTCATCCTCATCACATGTATAGCGAATTTCGAAATGAAGGTTTGGTCGATATGCGGTCATGGTGAATGATTTTAGGCGCTCTGGTTCTGAATTTAGGCCTAGGGTTTGCAATACATCATTGCGGACCTGGTCGTTGGCTGTAGCCGTGAGACACATGATGGGCACCTCAGGGAATGATTCCCTGAACCAAGATAGCCGCTTAAAGTCTTTTCGAAAGTCATGGCCCCATTCGGAGATGCAGTGCGCCTCGTCAATGGCAATGCGGGCTAATTCTCGCTGTTCGTAGACGATATGAAGTCGATCTCGAAAGCGATCCGTTGCACATAGCTCAGGAGTAACATAAAGGAGCCGGGTGGTGGGGTGTCCGGTTTTTAGGTCACTGAGGATGCGATCCCTTTCCGCGAGAGGTGTATTACTGTTTAACGAGTTGGCGTTGATGCCGGCAGCTCGTAAAGCCTCTACTTGATTCATCATCAAACTCAGTAAAGGCGACACAACAACCGTGACTATTTAAGTCAGCTATCGGGCTATCGGAGTTCCATCTAGAGAAACTCACTTCCATGATCTACAACCGCAGGGAGTTGAAAGCAGAGACTCTTCCCAAACGAAGTTGCAGCCTGTACGAACCTGCATGGCTAACCGTCAGTCATTGTCGTTCTGAGCCCGATTTCATATAATACCAAGATCTGATTCAACCCGGCGAGGGTCATAATATCCATGACATAGCTGAAGGGAGAGAGGAAGAAAGAAGTAAATAGAACGTGATGATGACCTACACATCATGGCCATCCAGAGTAGCCTGAATAATCTCTCTTTGAAATGGGCGAAAGCTGGTCTTGTTGAATTGGCGACGTAAGGTAAAATCGAGATCTGGGATGATGAATGAGTTGGACCTCACTAGACTAGGCATCTTGAATACCACGCTGTGTCCTTTTCAAGAGTCTTTCTGCTCATATACATTAATAGCATGGGTGCTTGTGAGATAAGTCGGTCCTTAGCATTCGAGCGCGTGACTTCCAACCAGCCCATCGTTATTTCAAAGATTCCTTTATGTGGTGCTGGTGCTATCATGGTGAGTTTTTGCAGACAAGTCGTCGATGTGGACAAGGGTACATACTCTACTTCGTAAGATTAGGTACCTACCTAGTACCTATTGATTTCACCTGTGACTTGCAAGGCAGACCATCTCAACAACACCTAACTAATGAAAATACAGGTGAGGATGTGAGCTTCTATGGATTTGTACCTAGCCCTGGTAAGTCCCTAGTTTGAACGGGTAGTGAAGCGATCGCGTTGATTACCTGACTAGAACGCGCCAGAACGCGACTACTACTGGGCGCAAGCACCGGTGCAATGTTTAAACCCAATTGAGTTTTTTTTCTACATGTAGAAGCGTGCCTATCGGAAGCAACCCCAGCTTTTCTGCAGGTTTTGGCGTCGTTCGTAGCTTCTTTGGGTACGAAGTAGGCTTCAATGTTTCTTTGAGCCGGACAGAGACCAGTGTTGGTAGTCAAGTGTCGACAACAGCTTGCTGTTCAATATGAATCTCCCACTTCCTCATAAGTAAATTGATGCTAATCTGCCGCCTGTAAAATACCTGTTTTCTCCGCTGTCGCGTGGAAGAGAACGACCCTGCACCACTACAGTCCCTTAAGTAGGTAAATTTGCTTTAGTGGAGTTAATACCCTTTATAGCGCATATCCACAAAGGGTACCTAAGTAGAATAGGTAGGTTTCTTCTAGTACATGTCCCTACTAGGTATTGTGTACTTGTCAAAGTGCAGGTCAGATGCAGGTGGTAGGCGGTGGGAATAGTGCGGGCAAGTACGTAGTACAGCAGAAAAGAAAAAGATGGCGGCACGCATCTGACTTGGCGAGACTGGGGAGGTTCAATAGACTGCAGTTGTACTTTGCGTATCATACTTACGGCCCTCACTGATATATTCACGCCTCAAGACGGGTACCTGCCTGTCGTTCGCGTTTTCAAGCCGATCCATGGCCGACTTGTTTGCCACAGCCCTCTCAGCTCCCAGGCGCAGCTCAAGCAGCGTTGCCCATCCCATGGCATCATCCCCCAGCATAGAAGGGGGCTGAATTCCACATTTCTATTCTTTCTGTGGTAGACGGACGTGTCAGGGTGGAAGAGTTCCCGAGATCTCTTCATGTACGTAGTTATAATACCAGCTCAGATATATATATATATATATATTCTAAGACCTCACGCGTCACAACCAAGAAGTACCTACTGTAAGTACTTATGTAGGTGGGTAGTAGGTACCTAAATGTTCCTATGCTGCGACGGTAGTACAGGTAGGTGAGCGGCAGGTAGCACAATGGCCTCTGTAACGGTTAGCAGTAGCTACAATAGGTACCTACCTAGAGTAGCAACCCTTGCCCTGATTCGCTCAGTGCAAGGGTTGTTCCCCTATCCATCTTTTCAAGGTTCTTACCATAGCTCTGCTGTCACACACCGCACCCCCTCCCCCCTGATGAACCGCACTATATGGAGGTACATTTGAATGCAGTGGAAATACTACCAAGCTGAAAGTACCGAAGCACCCTGAATACCTACCTAGTCACACCCCAGTAGCGCACCTAGGTAGCTTCTGTGAAAGCGCCCGCGCTAGTGTGTGGTGTAGCACCTGTCCTGACAAAAGATCCCTTCAACAATCTACCCTTGGGTTGGTAGGTATGTACTATGTATGTAGGTCAAGTACCACCCGGGTCGAAAGAAAATAAGAAAAAGAGGAAAGAAAAGGCAAGAAAAGACAAGAGAAGGTCATGACAAACAGATTATTCCTTCAACACTGAGATTCCCTTGTCAGGAATCGCACGTTGCACCTCACATCATCCTACCCGTCTCACGGTTTGCCCCAGTCTGTCCCATCAGCTGCCAAGGAGATGCGATTTGATCAAGGCCATCCTACCCAAGCAACTGATTGACTGATTGACAAACACACTCCCGGCCCTGCCTGTCTGTCTGTGACCCATTGCATACCTACCTACTGTACTTATGTTCATTAATAATTAGTCCAATACCACATCGCCGCTCCCTGGAGCTCAACCCCAAGCGTCGTCGCTACGTTGTTTCGACCTCGCAGCTTGACAGTCGGAGACGACGCCAAGCCCTGGCGTTGAAACACTCTCTCGCTTCCCATTTCATCACATCCTGCCGCTACTGTGTCGTGTCGTGTCGTGGCGTGTCGAAGCCAGTCCTATCGGATCGCCCGCCGACTTCTGTTTCCCAACTGCTTCTTCTTAACCTGCGCCGCAATTCTGCACTTACTTTTCGCACCCAAAGGTGCGCTTCGTTTCTCCCTCAGGCAACGAGAATATCGAATGTCAAAACCACCCGTCTAATCCCGAATCTTCAATTAGCCTCCTGCTCCTCTCGCATAGACAGAAGAATTGGAGATCCGCAGATTCCGAACCGCACGCCAGCATAGCCCTGAAACGATCGGCCGTGTCTGTCCCGCCCTGTGCGTATCACTCAACACTCGACCACCTGAGTGGGCAATCACGCCATGAACACTGCTTCGGCCAGCATGGCCGCAGCTATCGTCCATCCTCACCCGTCCTCATCGAGAGGGCTCCCGATAAATCCAGCCCAAGGCGTACGACGAATTCCTCTTCCGACTTTCAACATGCCTCCCCCCCCTCCGCCGCCGCCCATTCCCGAGAAATACCATGTGTCTCATTCTAGTTCGGGCGCGACGTTGTCCGCATCCGCCCCCATGTCGGCACATCAAGTCATCAGCTATGCTCGGGAGAAAATGAAAGCCGCTCTTCAGGACAACGAAAGTCAGGCAGCTGAAGCGAGTGGCGTGAGCAACGAATTGAAGCCTGGCGTTACCATCGATCTTAGTCGGCTGAATATTCAGGTCTTGCCAGAGGAAGTGGTGGACGTAATTAAAAATGAGCTGGAGCGGTTAGTCACCCATCTACATGCTCATTTCGCATTTGGATTATGTTCTAATTGCGTACAGATTGGCTCTATCTCATAACAAGCTAACTACTTTCCCGGCGAGATTTTCGGAATGTACTTCTCTTCGGTATCTCAACGTAAGGAATAATCGTATCGAAGAGTTCCCACTTGCAGTAAGTGTCACCTTTCCCGCAGACAGACATGTAAATTAATACGTCCTTTTCCAGCTATGTGACCTCAAGTCGCTAGAAATATTGGATTTAGGCCGCAACAAGATCCAAGTTCTTCCAAGAGACATTGTAAGATTAACTTCGCTCAAAGTGCTTTCTGTGCAACAGAACTTAATAGAAGAGCTTCCACTCTGCCTGGCGGACATGTTGTCTCTACAAGCACTAAAGTTAGATGGCAACAACATTACATTCCCTCCTAAAGAAGTACTGCAGGTTCAAGCCAGCAGTCCACCAAACGATGGTTATTTGAAGGAACGGGAGGTGGCTGAGGTTACAGTCACTGCGCAAATCAAAAAGTTCCTGAGACTACATGCTCAGAGTTTAAGTGAAAGAGAAAATCATACCGAGAATGGTGGTGATGACTTCACGGAAAACATTGATACGCCACGGATGCCCATAAAACGGGTGACTAGCGGACGGTTTCCAATTCGAGTCAATGGAAGTGATGTTACTGACCTCCGGTCCCCTGCTGTGCCTCGACCACCTCCCATACCATCACGATCACATGCACGGGGTATGTCTCAGCAGAACACGGCTATCAGGCGGCCAACCGTCATGCCTCTTACAATTGGAAATCCCAACGAACGTGTGCGATCCAATAGCGAGACAGTATTACAGGGAGGTCGATCTGAGCGCCCGTCAGACCGAAATCGGCGGATGGGCATCATGTCGAGGAAGCCAAGTGAGCTTGGGACGTTAGACGAAGGTCAAGCGAACAACCGGTTCAGTCACTACCGTGGGCTCAGCCACGGCTCATCTATGACCGGAACTATAAACCCAAATCCCTCCACTGCTAGTCCAGGTAGTCCAGCTCCTCCTGAACCACTTCTTCAACGGCCCAATTATGTCCGGCGCCTCTCTGTATTACCGGAACAGCGACGCGAATCCAAAATATTTGATCCCATTCTCGAGTCTGCCAAGGGCATTCTCTATGCAATCTTTCAAATACACCCCCAAATCCAGCTCTTTACTCGATTGACAAGCGATGGCACGGCGAAACGCTCGAGTCTTGAGTTGGTCTTCTATAATACAAACGTTCACGTTGAAGAGTTAGAACAGGAGATCCAGAAGCACGAGATTGCTCTTGACAGTGGGGGTTACGCGTCGCGGGAGAATGTCCAACGGGCTGTCGTCACTTTAATTAATGCGTATAGCCATATTTGTGCCCTCCTAGTGGGGAACATGGACACTATAGTTGATAACGGCGACCCACGATATATCCGTACGATGATGTTATTACTGTATAATAGCATCATGGAGCTCCGTGTCTCTGCTTATGAAGCTTCGAGGGGGACTACGGGATACGTTCCCAGTTACAGTGCCCGGTGGCCAGGATTGGACGACACAATCAAACCACACTCTCGTGATAACTCCGCCACCCCAACTGCTGGGCGTCCCGGTTTCGGTGCTAGATCGCGGATGGGTACATTTGTGCACAACCCCAGCAATCTTAGAGTTGCAACTGGTGTTGCAATGCACTCCCTCCACAACAGTAATCGAACTGCTCAAATAATGGCGGCTACACCCAGGTCCGGCGAGTCCTTTGCTTCCTCGAGTACTGATCCGCGGTATCCAACAGATTTCCCAGCAGAAGAGCGTCAGTTTGAAAAGATTTTCCTATCTCTCCAAAAATCCACGGATTTAGTTATGCGCACATTACCTAGCTTGAACGTGCAGTTCAGCAATGGTAAGCGCGCTGCAGAAATTCAGCGATGCCCCGATAGTATAGTCCATGCCTGGAAGGCATTGATCACAAAGTGTACGATTGCTATCAGAGAGACTGAAATGCTCAAGAGGCGACTGTCTCTGATCAAACTGAAAGAGCCAGGAATTCGAACCGACGCCATTTTCTGGAGTCTTTGCAAGAGTTTTATTGACTCTTGGGCTGAGTTTGGAAATAAGCTGAAGCAAACCATGGACCAGGTTAACCTGTCGGTGGAAGTTAAGGGCCGGCTTCGACCTATCCAAATCAGTATCAAGGAAACTAGCAACTTGATAATGGCATCACCCTGGGGAAATCTTCTACGACGGGCTGGGCATTACTCCGAAACCTCGAATCACTACTCGCCGAGCCACTATTCATCAAGCTCTACAGGCACGCAGATGCAGTTGCCAATGACACCGCAAAGTGCCGCTCTAGGTCCTGCAGTTCAAGCAACAGTTCCATCAACACCACAGAGCGGCTCCTTTGCTAGTGTTTTTTCCGGGAACGTCTTTGAACGGGCTGACGCCCTGATCTCGATGGGAGGCTTAAATATGTCTCGAACCAACACAATGAACAGCACATCAACAGTCTCTCTCAATTCTCTTTCCTCAGTCACGTCTGCGGGCGATGAGCGGCAAGGACCATCGATGCTCAGCCCTAATATAAGTACGGGTGCTGCTACATACCGGCTTAATGGAGGAAACAAGCCTGCATTCTAGGCGAGTCTTGCTTTGTTTCTCCCACTCCGACGACGAATGCACAGCATCTAGCTGTGCGTAATTCCAAAGTCCCATTATCACCATTCTACTACACGCACTCTGGGAGTATCTCCCTTGTACTATACGCCGCTTCCCCGCGAAGCGACGATATTACCTCTGTAAGATCATGTCGCGATTGCCTAGCCACTACGCTTAGCACTCCCCGTCGCGAGTCATTATACATATTCTCAACAAATGGGCATGGAAAGTCCATTCTTCCTAATAGAGACATTGCATATACCCTTGGAATCCTGGACACGCAATATGAAGGTTGGTTTCCTGCCAGGTAGTAAGTAATAGCATCACGGACTGCGGGAAAGGACCAGCATTCCTCGTAAGGCGTTCAAAAGAAATAGAACTGGTTGGTTGTTTTCTTTCCGCTATAGGTGCTGGTGAGGCATTAGGTTTTGATTTTTGAGGGAAAGCAAAGACGGGCGTGGCGTTATTTGCATGAGAGCAAGAGGGAAGAGGAGACACAGGGAAGGAGGAGATAATGCGAATGTGCCAAATCATAATGTCTCAATAGTAAACGTCAACAATCATCAAACTACCTGTCATTTAGTCAGAGAACTAAGGTTTGATACTTCATCATCATGTGTTCCCTCTATTTTGTGAAAACTCGTTTATTTTGATTTATCTCTTGTCTATTGCCCCTTTCATTTCCATATCTAGGGTAGCGGTACGTGAATTTTGAAACGCTGCAAGACGTGCTCTAGGTAGTTGCTTGCTCGCTTTGTCTATTGGAAGGTACATGTATACAAAAATGCATGTATGTCTGATATGGCCCCTTTTTCAAGATTTCATGTATCCTTGGAGGTATAGTATGTTTTGACGCTCCTATTTTCTTGGGTCACATCAACCGTATTACGTCCTATATACTTTTCTTGTGAATTACTATTTTATTTATTCATATCTCTCGTGAAGGACCCCTCCTAACTAATGGGTTATTCTGTCCCCTCTTTTATTTGAGCGTGACTAGTTCCTCGGCGCTCGTGGGGTGGATGGCAACGCAGGAATCGAGGTCCTTCTTGGTGGCGCCCATCTTCATGGCGACGCCGAAGCCCTGCAGCATCTCGCCGGATCCGAGGCCCATGATGTGCATGCCGACGACCTTCTCCTCGGGCCCGACGCAGATGACCTTGTACTTGGTCGGGCCCTTCTCGGACGGGTCCATCATGGCGTAGTACATGGCCGTGAAGCTCGTCTTGTAGATCTTGAGGTTCTCGCGGCCGTACTTCTCGACGGCCTCGGGCTCCGTCAGCCCGATGGCGCCGACCTCCGGGTGCGAGAAGACGACGCTGGGGATGTTGGAGTAGTCGAGGTGCGCGTTGGCGAAGACTTCCGCCGGCCCGTAGAGGCGCTCTGCGAGACGCCGACCGGCGGCGATGGCGACGGGCGTCAGCTCGGCTTTGCCGCATACATCGCCTAGCGCGAAGATGTTGTCGACCGAGGTGTTTTGGAAATCGTCGGAGACGACGTGGCCGGTTTGGTTCGTCTTCACGCCTGCGTTCTCGAGACCCAGGTGGTCCGTCTCAGGCACGCGACCAATAGCCCAGATGAGATGGTCGGCGTCTGATACCTGGCCCTCGCCATTGCTGTCCTTGTAGTGTATCGTAAGCTTGCCGGTGGCGGAGTCCTTGTCCACACGCGTCTGCGTCGACTCCTTGTGTAGGTGCACTCCCAGGCGCTCGTACTCTGCGGTGACGCCTTCCTGGATCATAGGGTCGAAGTGGCGCAAAAAGGTCTTATGGCGGATGAAGAGATGTGTCTCAACGCCGAGGGCGTTGAACATGCCGGCGAATTCGACAGCGATGTACCCGGCGCCGACGAGGACAACCTTCTTTGGTAGAGTCGCAATGTCGAAAAAGCCGTCGCTGTTGATGCCGTAATCGGCGCCCGGAATGTCCGGGAAGCTGGCAGGACGACCGCCAACGGCGATTAGAATTCGGTTGGCGCGTACCTTGGTCTTCGTGCCGTCATCCAAAGTAATCTCGACGTCATTCTTGGACAGCAACTTTGCGCGGCCGTGAACGTACTCGATCTTGTCGTTGGCCAGGTTCCGCTCGTAGATACCGTTCAGCCGTTTTATATAGGCGTCTCGCTTCTCTTTGAAAGTAGGCCAGTCGAAGGGCGCCGCCTCTTTGACGTTGAATCCATAGGCTTTGCTGTCGTGTATGGCTTCTGAGAGGGCGGCAGCGTTGAATGTGACTTTTTTGGGTACACAGCTATTTTGGAGGGAGCACGTATGTTAGAACTTTACACGTCTTGGGTAGTTTCGATATCGGGTAGAACAATGCTTACCCGACATTTACACATGTGCCTCCCAATCTGCTGGACTCGACGATCATGGCCTTGGCGCCAAACTTCCCGCTGGCCATGCGAGCGGCACCGAGGCCACCGCTACCACCGCCAATGACGAGGAAATCAGTCTCCTTGGAAATAGGAGCCATGATGCGCGAAGACGAGGAGAATTGTCTTGACAGAGAGGTTATGCGGGATACGGCGGTCTTTGAGAACTGAATCTTGGCGATTGTAGGGACACAGAGAGTAGAAGATGCAGAGACAGGTGTTGATGCAGCGGTGAGCCTGCCGAGCAAGACCAAGGCGTGCATTTATATAGGATTTCGTGATGAGAGACGAAGCGGAGCGGAGCGGAGAGGCGGCCGAAGTATAAACAAAGAATTAAGGCAGGCGAGGGGCGTATGCACGAGATATGCAGTGCTTGGTCTTGGTGGGGGAGGGGAGCCGGCGCAGTAAGCGGGGTGACGTCTTTTTTTCAGGGTTGTCTCGGGATGTGGACGGTGAATGGCTCGAAATGGCTCAAATGGAAGGCATGGGAGCATTGATTGATAAGAAAGCGGCAGCTGGCTTAGTAAAGTGTTTTTTTCGGCGCTGCGCCGTGTGTGTGTCTCCGCCTCCGATCCCGATTCTACTATTGATTCCACCATCGATTCTACTATGAAAGCCAGCTAACCTAGATGGCTAGACAGAACTTTACCTTGCGCCCTGCGCCTTGCAATGCGCAGATCCAGTTGCAAGTGCAATTACAAGTCTAGAATGATCACGACATCGGATAGTGCAAGGTCTGCTTGGCTGGGACGTTGATTCCAAAGCGATTAGTCGGTTAACCTAGGCATATACTGAAGTTGACCTAGTATAAAAAAGGTATCGAGTATTAGACATGCGATCGGAACCTTATTAATCATATGCACGTCAGATCGAGGTAGGATTTACCAGAGCAGGATCTGGCAGTGCAACAGCAGCATGCAGTGGCATATAACAGTACAATTAGCATACAAGAGGCCAATCAATATTCATCTATGCCGGGCATAGATGACAAGATTGCAATTTATTAGTTTGAAATCTGGAGGTCGCGCGGAACTGCGGACTTCTCGTTTGTAAAGGTGGGAGAAAAAGCTGTACACATAGAGAGACTCGGTGTGGTGGACCCTGAAGATCAAATCCAAGAGATCTGGCAGGGGTGCATGTGGTTATGCTCTTAGGCGCCTCCACCACAAACCTCTCCGGCTGTTGATAGCGAGTCCCAATAGACCAAATAGGTCCTAAATAAATGTAACGCAATTGCGATTTCCACCCTGTCAACTAGAGCTACACCCTGAACAGCTGCCTCATAGCAGCTCACAAGTCGTGCTAGGTACGCTCGCGTAGGGGAGGGAGGCAAAGCTGAGACGCAAGACGCAAGACGCGAGACGTGACCCCGTCCAAGCTACCCGCTTCACGTCATAACGATGGCCACTTCTTCCGTCTCACAAGCCGCATCATGGTCGTCGCTAAAAGCGAAGAGCCTCCAGCGTCTCGCTCTCCTCTGTGGCCTGAATGTAGGAGGGAACAAGGCCGAAATTAGCGCACGTCTGGCCCGCGCCGCCGCCGCGCCGCCAACATCATCCGACGATGAGCCTGTGGTTCTCAGTATCGATCTTGGCATCCGCAACCTCGCCTTCAGCCTGATGACTCCCGCCTCAGCCTCTCCATTTACCAGATATTATTCCCGCAAGAAGGAGGTTACTATTGTTAGCCCATCTGGCCAGGTCCTAGGCCCGGCCGCTAGGCCGCCTTCCATCACGCTGCATCACTGGGAACGTCTCTCGCTTGTCGACGCCCAAACGTCTGCGGTAGATTCCGCCGCGGTCGAAGATGAGGAACCAAGAGAGGAAGACGTTTTCTCCCCAGCCAAAATGGCGAAGATAACCAACGACTTCCTACAGAACACAGTGTTGTGCATGTCCCCAGTGCCAACCCACATACTCATCGAGCGGCAGCGGTGGCGCACCCAGAGCTCAGCTTCCATCCTGGAATGGACGGTACGTGTAAACACGCTGGAAGCCATGCTTCATGCTTCGCTACAGGCCCTACGCGGTGTCGGCGTCTACGAGGGGGAAGTGACTTCCGTACGGCCCGAGGCCGTGGCAAAATTATTTCTTGCCGCGGACGAGGAGCCACCGTCACCTAAGGTGCTCAAAGCCAACATAAAGAAAATGAAGATTGAGACCTTGACGCACTGGCTTGGCGAAGGCGACGACGTGATAGAACCGGGTACCAAGCTGGCGCGTCAAATGATACGCGCGTATAAGAAAAGGGCGCCGTACAACCCTCAAGGTCGTGGAAGGCCCCCGAAATATGATAAAGAGGAGTACGGGGAGGAGCTAAAGGTCCTCGATGCAAAGTTGGACGATCTTACCGATAGCCTTATGCAGGGCATGGCGTGGTTGCGATGGCAGCAAAACCTCGCGATATTACGAGAAGAGTTCGGCGCGGAGGAACTTTTAAAAGCTGCTTCGCCATCCGTTCCCAAGAGTGGCAAGTCAAAATCATCATAGGAAATATAAAAAAATTATTACGCACTTAATTTCAATCGGCAGATACGTCGAGCTGTAAAAGTCGAAGCCGTTGCGCAACAACTAGAGACCTGGATATAGAGGGTGTTTGAGCTCAAGCTCCATCTTCTCCAATGCGAGAAATACCAACATCTCCTTTTACTCGTGATGCCTTCCCAAAACTACTTTTGTCTCGCATCTAACTTGGACATTTGATCACTCTAATGTCACTTATACTTGAGGATGCTTTTTATCACCAACACTAAGCTCATCAAACCAATTTACACAAAATCCACCCATCCCCAATCCCACACAAACCCTTACCAACACCTACTCCCGCACCGCGCAATCCCCATATATATCCCAAATGCGCTTCCCGCCCAACTCCAGTCCAAGCCGCTCCGCCTGTCTCTTGATCATCTCATGACACGCGAGGGCGGTGTATTTCTCCGGATCGACCTTATAATAGTACTCGTGGGCGACCCAGAAGAGGAAATGGCGGACGACTTCCGCGTCGTCCCTGTCTCCGTCTCCACCCTTCGAGGTATACTGACCGGCTTTATCCTTGTCGGCTTGGTTCTTCCGCTTGCACCGACACGAAGAGACGTCGTGCGCGACGACCGTGCGAAGCGGCCATCGACTGTACGGTTCGAGCGGGATTCGGCAGCCCCAGGGCAGCACGCCGATCGTGACGTCTGGGGACCCGGGGCGTTGCGGCGGGTGATGAGGCGCGGGCATTATGGTATGTGCCAATAGGTATTTTGTAATGGTGTATGTATGTGTATGTGTGTGTGGTTGTGTTTGCCTCGCTTGGTATTTGGTATGTTTGATAAGTGTAACTTCGGCCGTAGTAGAAAGGTTTCGAGATAAGGACAATATGAAAAAGGAACTAAGAGACGCGAGCGCAATAGTTGGACATGTCTATGAGTTCGTCTTGTTTGTAGAGTATTAAGAATGGCCCGGACCTTGAATTCGGTTCTAATAGGAGACTCGTTACTCAGACATCAAAGCCCTATCCCGTCGAACACGACCTAGACATGGCTTGAATCCCATTTACTGTTTTCAATGCGTTAACCACAGAACTGCCTCTCACAAACATGGCTGAAAATGATTGCTGTACCATGATTGGAGTGAAGGGTAGCCGCCCTCGTGCCTTACCTGCCAAACTCGATGGGCAGGCATCCCTTGATACATTTGACTTCATGTCAATAACCCTATACCTGGTAACTGTGGACATGGGTAGGGCAGGTCATAAGGTGTATGCATGTTTGTGACTATTCTGAGTTCATTGAGGGGGAAAAAATGATATTACATAACAGCATGCTACTAGGATATACGTGTCGTCCAGTTTTCAACTCTTACTACTTCCTCAAGCCTTTGAGGGCATTTTATCCTACCACTTCTATATATCCGTTAACGCCACCCCCTTATCAAACAATCCACAACCTATTTAATAGGGATACGGAGGATTTCCGTAACCACCTCCCCATTGCTGCTGCTGGTGACCGTATGGAGGGTAACCGCCTTGCTGAGGTGGTGGGGGCCCACTGTATCCCTGGTTTTGGTAACCATGAGCATGACCGTGACTGGGACCGTATCCAGGGCCAGGAGGATAGGGGGGTGGTTGATGAGAGGGGCCAGGAGCTTGGTCTACCCCAGTATAATAACTTGCGGCTTCGCCCTGAGGTCTAGGGTTTTGGTGTCCTGGATAGCCTGCTCCGGATTGGTAGTGAGACGGTGGTGCACCACCATATCCTGATCCGGGCCGTTCAGAATAGTTTGAAGTCGGACGACCACTTGATCCTGGACGAGCACTGGAGCTGGCACCCATCGCTTCCATATCTCGGGTTGTACATTGATCCCATAGTGACCCTTTGGGCCGTCCATGACCGAGCTGCTCGAGGATCCCGCCGTCGAAGATACCGCCACCATGTGAATGGCCGCGCGAGCCTCCTTTCTCTCCAGTTTGTTGAATGTGATTCTTTCCATTACGGACCGATTCCGACCCTAAAATACGGTCAAGATCATGGCGACGTGGATGCTCGTTCGCCCACTGCCGTACGGTGTCAAACATGGTTTTGTGAATCTCAATTCGTTCGTCTCGTGCAGCAGGATGGTGAAAAGCTCTGCAAACATCGTTGATAACTTCTTGTACAGGCACCCCAGGATTCTCCCAGGCATATAGAATTCGTCTAGAGATAGTCAGCAGGGAACATAATTCGGACTAGGAAACGACTTACGGAACAACGTATTGGAGGATAGTGGTGGCAATCCGTCCAGCACACGGGTTCAGTATATTGGTGAAATGGTCCTTGGAAAGCATAGAGTGGGTTGGGTCCGAGCAATGGGGGTTTGTCCAAGGCTCCAACTGCGAATGCGCGCTAGCACTAATGACACCCGATGAACCCTCTTTGAGTGCCTTCGTGACCGCAGCGATGATAGGCCTGATAAAGGGGGCTAAAAGGCCCAGAACAAACGCGGTAAGTGTCTCACCAATCTTTTCTAGAAGGCTCTCAAGTCCGGGGATTTTGGCAATTCCCCTATTGATCGATTTGACGATCTTGTCGCGGAAAGCTAGGATAGGATAGACCTGCTTGGAAACCTTGACCGGATCGAAGTCCTCGCTCATCCCAGGAACAACGTTGGCGTTCGATCGCGTGCCAGAGTAAGTACCGCTCCGTACGTTTCTTGACTCCTGTTCCTGAGCCATTCGCTTTAGATCCCTGGCTTCTGACGCCATTCCGCCCCCTATGCCGGGTAGAGAAGCAACAAGTGAAATAAAGTCAGAAGCGCCACTTCCTCCACCCCCGAAAAGACTGCTCCCTAGTCCCCGGGTACCACCCCCACCACTACTAGGTCCGCTGCTGTTTTCCACGTTCTTGAGGGCAATGTCTAGTTGATCGACCTCTGATTGAGTGAAGTGATCGTTGGCCTCGCCAAGGACAGAATGCAAGAAATCGACGCCGCCAAATGTTCCAGTCACGAGAGGAAAGACACGGCGACCGTGGAGGTTGATTTCAGTAGCAGACCCACAATGAGCAAATACATTGTGATAGCCAAGTTCACGCAAAGCTAACTCGCAATAGTTACTGTGAGCGCTGAAATCCTCCATACAGTGAAGGGCTTGCCCAAGACATCGCAATGCCTCGCAGAGGTCGTCCTCATTTCCTCTCCCATGGGAACCACTGGTATACAGCCTTCCAAAGTGGATACAGCGCTCAAAGCTAAACTTGAGATAGCCTGTGCTCGTGGCCCAGTTACCACGGTCGTTGGCGATGTAGTTCTTCATTCCCGTGTGTGGGTCAATTTGGGTTTCTTCGGGCATGACGAGCCCGCGGAGGCGGGGGTCAAACTCGCGGGCATCTTTGTTGTCCGCGTAACCAAGCGGGTTGTCAATGTGCTCCTCTGGGCGATAGACACCCAATCGCTCGGCAGTGACCTCGAATTCTTCGGTCGCATAGCCATTTGCCAGAAATGAGAGCACCCAGACGAGGATACGAATGGTCTCGGCATTTACGCCCTTGAGACTACCTACATCGACAGCCTGCGAGTAGTCTCGCAGCCAATTGCCAAAATAGGTCCTCTGGACGAGGAGAGTCGTCCACTTCTTGCCGTGCAAGAAGGCAATAGTTCTGCAGTCACATATCAGGGCGGGTTCACGACACGTGTTACACGTCCAAGGTCAGCGGTGCAGCTTACTTGAGCATATCCTCAATATCTCCATGCCGCCAGTTGTGGCCCTCAACCTGGGCGATAGAAGGAATGTTACCAGCACCAAAGGCGGCAACCTTGGTGGGCATCAAGACCAGAATCAGCCCCAGAATCAGCAGAGTGCTGCCAAAGCCGGGCCTAGGGAGACCCATGTTGATAGGATGGTCTAAGACTCGCGTGGTATTCCGGGCGGGCTACCAAGCTTAAGCCAGAGTTGCGGACGGAGTAAGGGTGAAGAGACGGCCCGTCGAGTACTGCTTTCGGGCGAGAGGGGCACTGACGTGAGCAGGATATGCAGAATTCGCAGAATAGAAAAAAATGAGCAGACAAGATGAGGCGGGCCGGCAGGTAAGGGAAGTAAGGTAAGGCAAGGCAAGGTAAGGTAAGGTAAGGTAAGAAACTTGACGTGTTAGGGCTCGGCACGAGGTTCTTGGTGAGATGATGTTTTTGGCGGGGTAGTTCTCTCGCGATCAGGCGGTTGCCATTGGCGGGGGAGGGGTGGACAACGCCATAACAGGCCAGAGACAGGCTAACAGGGCTAACAGTGGTTGCACTAGTGATGCAATGGGCGATGACGGGTGCCGTTGCAACCGAACCGCAGGTCATCAATACCTGGACAACATAGAGAACAAGCGTCTACTGCATCGGTACTAGATACTGATGATGGATGTATACTAGGACGAGGTCGATGAAAGGAATACGGTACCTACTGTACCTAGCCTCAAATCCTTACATAACCGGCTGATTAACGAATGCGATGGAAACAATGAAAACTGATTGCCCAGGTAGGTAGGTATAGATAGTGTGCCTTGAGGATTCAGCAAAGGAGGGCTGAGAGAGAGAGAGAGAGAGATACTTACAGAAATCCTTGCATGTCATGTTCCAGCAGCATGGTATGATGCCGTATCTTAACTTACTGTAGAATACTACCCTTACCTACCTACATATGTAAGAGATATAGGTATTTACACTTGAATGCTTGCCTGCAGTGAACAGGCAGAATAGATCTACCACATGATGGGTACAGCACGTATGCAGGTACTTTGTTAACTTTAGTTTAAGAGGTAACCTCCTCCAACCTAATTCAGGTCTCGCGGCTACCCAGCCACAACTCCCCAGCTGAACTGATATATGTACTTAATTCCTTAGACAGGATCTGGACAGGACTTACATATATATATCTATCTATCTATATATAGAGTAGCCGGTCTGTATAGGGCTTGGCAGTTGATTCTAGATCTGTTCGGATAAGACACACTGTGAATTAGCTACGTCTTGGACTTGGGAAAAAGCTGACTTCTCATACGTAAGTGGTGAATAGGTAGGAGGACTTGGTGGGCCAAGCTTTATTCACCAGCCACAAAGGAAACGCAATGATCAGTTATGCCGTATATTCTTGGCGGTGATGCTAGCATCTGTCCAGGTTGCCTAAGCACAAAGACCATCGTCTTTAGTTAATGTGCCATCAGCCCTACTGTTTCAAGCTCAGCTTCGTACTTACTATATCCTTGAAGCAGTTGAACTTGATTGCGGAGCCATAACTATGACGTAAATTTAACTGCAATTTTCCAAATTTTGAGCATACACAGTTCCAAAAGGGCAATTGAGCCTTTGTTTAGACCTTTTACCTAATGCACATGTAGTAAATACCTTTTCTGCCCCCGCTTCTCTACGAATGCTGTGTTCGATATGATCTTGTGATAACTACCCACCTAAGAAGCAGTACTGTATAGGTATGATGCACATACAGTGCTACTAATACTATTCACAGTAAATTCGTACTATGTCCATCGCCCCCCACAACTTCACTCTTATCTCATACCCATCCTTTTCAACCCGTAGTTGGCATAAAAAAAACAAAAAAAACTACAACACCAAATTGCCCCATTACGCACCTGCGTGCGTATGCTAGTTTGACACATCCTATATCCGACCGGAGATATAACGCATATAGTGTAAACAGGCTTAGAGCCCCAGACTCTGCTCAGACTTCAAGGTTAAATATATAGGTACCCAGCCAGTCCCATATAATCTAGGTATCCATGGCTTACATGATCAAGACTACCGACACCCATGTCCTAGTATCGTATTACTCAGCTCATTGGGCGTTGTGACTGACGCCACACGGGCGTCGTCGAGCTCGATCTTCGGGGGTTCGGTAACGTCAGTAGCTGACTTTACCCTACCGAATATTGCTGAAGCCCCATGCAGCTGTCAGATAAACGGTATGACAGACCGACTGACTAAACAAGCGACTATACTGAATGCACACACTCATACATATAGGTGTATATATTTAGTACCTTGTGTCTATCTACTAAGTAGGTAGATACGTAGTCAGCATTGCAGCGGTGAGGCCGGAAGGAGGACGAGAGACGTCAAAAACACATCATTGATTACTTACCTAGGTAGATAGAATACGGTGAACCGGAGATGAGGATGGGGATATACCAGGACAGGGCAGGGCAAGGGAACGTGAGAAGGGATGAGGTTGTAGTCAAGCTAAGTGCCCAGATAGCTGGGGGAAAACTAGGTAAGTCATAGGATATGGTTACGTCTGCATGTTTGTCAGGCGCAGCTGAGGCCGTAACTCGTGAATGCGAGCGGTTATCGTGGCTTGCGTATGTTCTAAAGCCTAAGGCCGAAATCCATCTAACAAGGGATGAGAGGGATGGGGAGGAGGATGAGATATCACAATTTCACAAAAGAACAAGGCTGTCAATAATCACCAATAGATGTACTCTTCTACATTGGACGGTATAGGTACTTACACCTTGTGATGTAACATGCGCTTTGGCATTATCGCCGTTTCCCCTGCTCGCGGAGCAAGCGTATTGTTTGCCGGCGGCACAGGTTATGACATTCACAAGTATAGGGTGAAGGATTAACAACAAAGGCTTGGTTTGGAGCGGCACAAATTATAACATTTACAAGTATAAAGTGAAGGATCAACAATAAAAGCTTGGTTTGGAGCGGCACAGGGTATGACATTCATAAGTATAGAGTGAAGGATTAACAACAAAGGCTTGGTTTGGAGCAGGTCTATTATTCATGAACAAAGAGCGGCTTCAATTGTATTATAAAGTAGATTTATTCTCTCTGTTGAGGATTCCGTCGGTCTTGCAGATAACGATACGCTTCGGTGCGTTACAACGCATTCAACAATGGCTTCCATGGTAAACAAGCTCGTAGGTTTCTTTGAAGATAAGGCCAAAGAGGGCGATGCAGCAGCTTCCTCTAGAAAACCAATTGAGGCGTATGGGCTCCGCAGGGATGGTCCGGGTCCGGCCCCCAAAAGGGACACGGCATTCATGGAGCCATACACTGGTAATGTCCCCGAAAACGCAGAGTACATTAATTATCGAATCATGCTTAGAGACAACGTGCTTTGCCAGTATCTAGCATCTCCCCAGCTACGTTCGTATGTTACTATGTACGTCGAGTTACTTATGGGCGGACACAGACCCTTTGACCGATATACGAAGATGCTTTATCGCGACATGATGGTAGACAACTACCTCGATGCCGGCGGAGACCTTAAGACCTGGAAATACATAGGCGCTAATCATATTATCAACGATACCACAAGGACGTTGATACAGCGTGTAATGCAAGAGCGTGGCTTAAATATTGAGCAACCCTGCAGTATTGACATCCTCCCTAGTGACAAGGAATTTGCCGAAGTTATGGACGGTAACCCGTTCACTCGAGGGATTCAGGGCCTTCTGCGCAAATATGAGAAAGATATGGGGGGAGCACAGGTGAAAAGAATAGCTTTCATCATACAGAAGCAGAAGGCGTTTGTCATGATCCCGATGACTCTCCACCATCTCGTGGTTGAGTTATGTCGTCCAGGGGAAGATGGCTACCCTAATGAAACGAGCTCTTGAGAATGACGCAAAGTGAGGAACGACTTAATGATACTTATCCCGGTAGGTTAATAATGTAATAATCTTACCCCTAAAAATCATATAACAAGGCAAGTCAATAGTAGCCTAGACATGATGATATTCCTGATATATCCTTGTGACTTTTAAAATCTAATGAAGCTGAAAATACTTGCTTGATCTGCCTCGTAGGAATAGCATCCCGTGTCGTTAAATGAGGTGAGAAGGATTGTATCAATACTTAGCAGCATCTAGAAAAAGGACATTGCAGAATACCGATCTTCTCGGCGCCTCATTCGCCGCCACTAGGAAGCGATACACCGAAGTAGTATGTTCAAGGAGCTTTCACCGAACATAATCATCCCATCAGATACCTAGCTAGCGCGGTTGTCCCGAAGGACCTGATAGAGCCCCCCCTCCCCCGCAGGGCAGAGAGCTATTACTCTCGCAAGCCTAGCAGTTACGTAGTTTTTATACCAGACTCGGTCCTATTAAGTATTAGTAACTACGTTACTACAAACTCTCGTTAGGCTTTTGGGGGCCAGCGGTTTCATGATTTGTTTGCGAGTCTCACGCGAACCTGGACGAATGATTGGCTCGTTGTTATCGCCTAGCAAACCGAAGTATAAGGGGCTGAGCTAGACCTTCGGCTTGGACCCCTAGCCGAAGCTACAGTACATCTGATACTGCAGAGATGCCACGTGTATCACCTTTCTGAGTCGGACCCAGGAATTGGGTTACGGAAATGCCAAGGCCATGTCGTCGAGATGCAAGGCATATGTGGTGCGATCTCACACCGATATTTTTGGCAGCAGAGTGACAGTTTCGTGGAGAAGTTCTGCGGTATAGGACTTCGAGATGGTATTTCTGTCAAACACACAGTGCAGTAAGATATTATGGGAAGTATCAGAGGAGCTAAGTAGGTGGGCAGTTTTGACAGGCAGCCTCAGTGACTGACCCAAAGGGTCATCATCACCGGAGCCCGGCGAATAATCATAGAGCCCTGTCCTATGATCAGCCCGGGTTCATTCTAATAATAATATATGAAAATTCGCGTACCCGATCTTACGAATTGCCAAGAGGGGAAGTCAGACTAACCTAGGTTGCATTACGCTAGAATCCATGAGGAAATCGAGCTGAAGGTACGAGGTGGTATTGATGTATAATGAGTGGGATGCCAGATTGCTTGCCGTTTGTCTGGGTCGGAAACGTGGGTAAGGGCGGAAGGGCGGAGAGACAGGGCCGAATTGGGCGGAGGAGGCTGACAATGAGCGGTCAGAACGATGGGCCTTATGCAAGAGTGATAGGCAACTGTGGGTAATCTACGAGATTGCTCAGAATGCATTCGCCTTATGTTACCGGTCTTGGCTGTCCGGTTCGGTCCCGGATCCACAACTCCCGGCCGTGTAACTTATCAAGATGGCCCCTATTGCACCATGTTGCACCGACGCGAGACAGTGTCACACTGATTGCTACCAGGTGAATCTTGTGTTGCGAGGACGTAGCGAAGTTGGACCTCTTTGTCTTAACCAGTTATGAGTAAACGAGCACCTAGGAATCATTAAGCTAATACTTGATGGTGAGTAGCAAAGGACGAGTTATCAAGATGTTGTCGTTCCCCCTGGATTACGTGTAGTTAGGGCTGCTAAAGGGTCAAAGCAAAGGGAGAACCGCGGGTGCTGTATGTTGGTGGCACTATAATAAACGCAAGTTTGTCCAATGATAGATAAGGGGCTGTTGGCATATAGCCGATTGTGACTATATATGTAAAGTGACCGTTTCTTACAGGGGCCATTGTGGTTTCTTGAGTATCAAGAAGGTAGTTGAGAACGTCTGTGTACACTGAGGCCGTTCTAGGCTATGTTTGCTGTCTAACAGTGTAATGTGATTTCCTACAGGGTATGAGAACCCTGGTATGAGGTTGTTGTATGCGACCCAAGACAGATTCTGGAAGCGAGCCGTTGGAAGCAAATATCCGGACAGGATTATGAAAGTCGGATTGCTTGACCCGTCTTGCTACATTTCGTTTTATACAAGATGAAATAACATTGATAGATCAATGTGTGGCCCATGGCCACACTAACCAATTGGGTTCATAATCAGTAAGAGAAAGTGATACCTGGGAATCATGGTGTCGAACAAAGTACACTGCGCTGGTTGTTTGTTTTGGGCTGGAGTTTAGTAAAGGCCGTAACGCCGGTCTAGAGTGCCGCTGTTGGTTGCCAACACCGAACAAGGTACAAGAGGCAGAGACAAGATCAGAGACAAAATATTGATTCGGGGCTATCCTTAATTAGACGTAGGATGAGTCAAGACGTTTGTTGCAATCAACGGTACTCTCCCGAACATGGAGAGCTGGGTAGATGATGTTTTGACGGAGACCTTGGAGGTCGAGGATATCAAGCTGGTGCCCATCAACCTGTCAGCGGTTCCGCTATAATCGTGGCGCTTACCCATGGCGGCTTAGATTACCGAATCGGATTGACCGCTGCTGAGTCACAGAGAATAATAGGAAATATGTGTAGGTAGAGAAACTTCTTCGTGAGAAGAGGTACCCGCGTCAGAACCGGGTTCAACGTAAGTAGAATGACAAAGCATCGGTTGGCTCCCATGCCTGCAAGGGGGTCGAAATAAGAAACGTACCTAGATAAGTACGTAGCTCCATTTGCTATTGTGATAATTTATGTTCTCTCGTGTATATAACAGGCATTGAACCCTGCCTGAGAATTTCCTCGCATTCTTGTGAACACTACAACACTCTTGTTTAACAAGCACATCATCGAAATCATAAACTTACTTTGCACCTTATATATCCATTCGCCATTCATCTTCTTGATTCAATAACTCAGCAAGCAACATGCCTCTTACATTCGGAAGAGACATCTCGCCCCTCAGGGAACCCCTGAGAAAGCCATCAGGCAATTCGCCGCATATTCTTGTTATAGGAGGAGGTGTCGTTGGCCTTGTATCGTAAGTTCAAAACATAAGCTTCAGATATTCGAAAAGGGTGGATTATGGGACAGAACAGACGAACGACAATCATAGATGCTAACTAATTTCTTGGATAGGGCATGGGTTATGCTAGATCGTGGTTACCGTGTCACGATATTGAGCAAAGCATGGGCGAGTGATGAGCAACGCCTGACCTCACAGATAGCAGGCGCGCTTTGGGAATACCCACCGGCAGTCTGCGGCCAACACACAGATGCCATATCCTTGGCACACTCAAAACGGTGGTGCATGACGGCTTACCACATATGGGATGCGATTGCTTCCATCCCGTCTGTGAGCCGAGAATCGGGTGTGCGCATGATGCCGTCTGATTTCTTTTTCCCCTGCAAGATTGAAGAGGATCCTAGACAGGCTTCAAAGATGGCCGAGATAATGGCGAGCGGCGTCAGAGGATTCTATAGAGGATCTGACATCATCGACGATAGAGGAGTCGACCCATCGTATGGTGCTGTTGATGCTTACGAACTGATGGCCCCGGTCATCGATACTGATCAGGCCATGCACTGGCTGACGTCGCTTGTTGAGAGCAAAGGGGCTCGCTTTGTCACCGAGACAATTCGAGAGGATCTCATCAACATCGAAGACTCGCTGCGAGCCAGGTTCAACGCCGACGTTATTGTCAACTGTACTGGGCTACAAAGCTTGACACTTGCAGGTGACTCAACCGTCTACCCTATCAGGGGCGGCCTTATCCGAGTCATCAATGACGGCACAGTCTTTCCCAAATTGAATGCCGCATTAACAATTACCGCAGACGCGGCTCATTCGTCAAACGAAATCGTCTTCTTAGTGCCCCGGAATGACAACATTCTCCTCATAGGCGGTATTACTGAGCCCCGCGAGTGGGACCTGAATCTGACGTTAGAGACCCCTATCATTCGCAGAATGCGGGAACGATGTGAAAAGTTCTTGCCCGGGCTCAAGGATGCGCAGCTCGACCCCGACTACCCATTGGCACAGGGCCTACGACCATTCCGCGGGTCCAACGTCAGGGTAGAACGGGAGCTTCGGAGAGCAGGGAGCAGGATTGTTCATTCGTACGGTCACGGAGGGGCTGGCTGGAGTTTGTCATTCGGGTGCGCACAAGATGTGGTAGCGTTGGTCGACGAAACACTGAGTGGTGTTCCCGCCAGACCAATGGCGGGCAGACTTGGCAAACGCGGCAGGATGGAGATTACCGCTTCTTTGTGAGCACGACAAGTACGGATACGGTAATATACGGGGGGTGTCCTCACGGACCAAACTGGCGGCGGCGGCGTTGGTGAGACAAACAGATTACGGCAACAGACTAATACCGGGGTCTTTGATTTTCTTTCCTTCTTTCCCTTTTTTCCGCCTCTTCTTTTCCCTTTACTTTTCTTCCTTCAAGGTGTCTCACGGTAGATTTATTATTTTTTTGGGATAGCAAACTTCAATGGGTTAACGGAATAAATTACGTGCTTGAAGTGAGGTGTGGTGTCGATGTTCTGCGGCACGCTTTTGTCACGTGTGTGTGTTCTAGAACAAACTGGACGGGTAGTGGAAGGACGTGGGTTGCCGATACTCAATTACCAGCAGCGGAATGAGGCAGGCTAACAAGGAGCCTCGATCGAGGAGGCGGTCGGGATTTAGAGATCTGACCACCCTCTTCCCATGCGAGCCCACGTAAATGTGCCACGCAGCCGCCAATTTCAGCCTATATCAGCAGTACTATACATTCACTCCATACTGACGTAGCAAGCAATTTCAAGGTTGCCAATGACACCTCGAGCGCTGACACCACCACCCAACAACAAAACAGAGGGTGTATAGAGCTTTTTTTTTTTTTTTTTTCAACTCCGGCTCTCCTTTCTGACTAGGATGTCGTGAGATTATTAGTATGTCGACCGCCTTTGTATATGTTGTTACATGTCGGCTACTAAATACCCAACAAGAGACTTGGAGCGGATGGGTGCAGTATATATATATATATATAGAATGATCGAGAGAGTAGATGCTGAGTTGATTGGTTTTCCGGAAGGAAATCTCTGGAACCTTTCGTAGTAGTTCTTGAAGGGCGGACTTGATAGCGCGTGGTTGATCGTCATACGATGATTTTGAATTGCGGCAGTGTTGTAGCTTACCTAAGTATTCATCGCTGACCAACATGCCTCCCCACACAACCTCGCTATATCATGGATGCGAGATAAGTGCATGTAAATATTTAGATAGATAGGTAGGCAGTTATCGCATGGCTCTTTTGCTGTTGGTCTGTGATTTAGAAACCTGACCTTGTTTTCAATAGGCGGAACAGATATTTGACGACCCTAAATAGAGGTAATAGGTCCTTCTGGTCCTCTCTCTAACATTGTTGTCAAGATTGACCATGGACTTCATGGGCTGATGTATTTTCCCAAACCAGACAGAATTTGATCGCCAAGATTCATTTATTCGCATTTTGATTGGTCGTGCGCAGCGAGATCTCTCTGATCCAGATTCTTGTGCTTGTAGATGCAAGAAATTGAGCGTAAGTATGCGCACGTGCGGTGCTTTTTAAAGTAAAGTCTACATATACATTGAGGTTGCTTTGCCACAACCTGCCTACTCGAGCACTGTAGGGAATAGGTACGTGTACTTGCTGTAGGTCCCTTTCATAGCCGGTGTGCATGATGTAGATCCTACCTAGGTGGAGGTTGGCCATCACGGGTAGTGGCTCCGATGCGTCGTGTCGATGGCTGTGTCGATGGCTGTCCGCTACTGTAATTCTGTATAATGTTGTACATGTAGATATAAGATGCCCCAGCTATACACCAAGATAGGTTAGAGAGGAGTTGAACTGAGTCTAGGCAATACGTGTTTAGTCTTCCAAACTTGCTAATTGTCCAAGCAGAGATTATGTAGGATGTTGACTTTCATCTACAGTAGGTAGGCTACGTCACTGTCTACAGTATTATCCCGTCTCATAAATGTAAGTAAGCACTGTACACTAGCAACGGACAACAAAGCGGATTGCTCGGGTTGATCGGTCAAACCTATTCGGAGCCGGCTCGGTTTCGTTTCCTAGTATACACTACGGTACCTACACTCAATGTTGTTTTCATACTGGATGTCCCCCAACATGTAAATATTACAGAGGTTCTACGCAACATAGGTAGTACTCACTCCCATGATGCCTATACTTGAAACTTCCCTCTCTTTCTTTTGCAGTCTGTGTAGAAGATCTGCGAGGCTGCACCACCTCCCTAACGTACAAGCAAGTACAGGGGATGAAATACGTGTATGGCAGTAGATCACTTGCCCGGGGAAAGGGAGGGCTCCGAAGGTACAGCTCAGCGACATGCTTCTACATACAATCTCTGCATACCTGGAGGTACCGGTACCTAAATCCCTTCCATGTTGTTACTACCTAATGTACAACATGTACGTAGTCCAGCCTTGTTAAGCCCTTACAGTACATGCACTATGTAGGTCTGTAGCGAGTACTACTTATGTAGGTAGGTGACCCCGGCTTTACTTACTTACACCTTTGCCCAGGCACGCTGCACAAGGCACGCTACCACCTAGGTAACCCTTCCAAGTTTAGTGCACCACCGGACAGCCGCTAGCTTCAACGCTTACCTGGGCGGGCGCGCAAACACCGGAAGTGCGACAACTACATTTTGCCCATTTCAAGTTCATTTTCATCTCGCACCTGTTATACTTCAACCTCATCCTTTTCCCACAAACCTTCTATCCACGCTGTCCGTTTCTTCCCCAAGCCAAGCCAATCCAACGTAAACAAACATGATACCCAGGAATCTCACAAAAATGGGCTTGTCCCTGATCGACTCGCTGTAACCCGCAGCTTTGCACCACATCATCAACCTCGGTCCTCCATTGCCCATCACCCTTCTCCCACTCACCAAAGTTGACATTGTGCATTCTACTTTTTACCCAACCTTGAACAAGGCTACTCAACGTGTTCTGCTTCTGGGCTCATTGTCCTGACGCCTCTGGCCCTTGGAAGACGGTCCGTAACAGAGCAGACTCCAGCAGCCGCCGGGATACACTCTATACTACCTACTCTGCACCTCAATTGACCGCAGTCACAAACCGCCGCCATAATCACTAATCATTCTCGGAATATCGGAGAATGGGTAATTCCAGTCTCGCCCATAGCCAGCATAGAGAGGCTGACATGCCTTACCAAGGCAAGCCCAACCCCGGTATATCCGGGCTACACAACAAGGCAGCCTCCCAAGGACACGACACAGACGCCAGACAAGACCTGCTCGCAGTGCACGTTCCACAGCAACTGCAGACTTGGGGGGAGCATATTGCTTCTGGAAACCCCATACAAACAATTCATCAAACTCCCATCAATTTTTCCAGAGTATCTGAGGGCCTGTACAGGAGCGGTTACCCCCAGACACCAGATTATCCATTCATACAAGGTCTGAATCTGAAGACTATTGTAACACTGGTCAACAAGGAAATCCCAGATGGATATCAGGCATTCATTCAAGAGAACAGAATCACGCACAAGATCTTCGACATGGCTGGCACCAAGAAAGAGGATATCCCCATCGAGCTGATGCGTTCCATACATGCAGTGGTCTCCGACCGTGCTAATTACCCACTGCTCATTCACTGCAACCAAGGTCGACATAGGACTGGATGTGTGGTTGGCGTGCTTCGCAAGTCCAGCCAATGGAACATGAAACACATCCTCAATGAATACGCAACCTTCGCGGAACCCAAAGTACGAGAGGTGGATATAAAGTATTTGGCTGAATTCGAACTCACGAATCTGTTGTGTCCATCACAATCAGCAGCGGCGCCTACTACCGTGGGTCGATTTTATGGGTTTATTATTGTGACACTCTTGACTCTTTTTGCCTTCTATCCTTTGAGCAAATTCAAGGTCCAAGAACCACGCCCCAAAAACGACCTAAACCATGAAGGAGTTGTACATACTAGCTACAACGGATGGTCACGTTGACCACATTTTTTCGACAATCATCAAAACCGGCACTTCTACCATGACTACTCGTCCAATCAGGCTGAGCAAGTTGTCATAGAAGCACGTTCAGAGATATACGGAACAGGTCTGGAAAAAATCGCCCCAGGAACACCGAGTACAACATAGATGGTATAGAGGGTACAGACGGCGGTCTTTTTCTTTTCTTTTGTCAGGAATGGCAAGCTTTGGGTTTCAAACTTGCAGACGGCGTATGGATAGGAACAGAGACTATCAAGAGCTGAAGTGTCTCGTGGCGTTAAAGAGAGGGGCTGTTTTAGCATTGAAACAGATGTGTTGCTGGTTTCCATCTTGTCAAGACTGAAAACCTGCCTGCATGTATCAATTGGGAGCAAGACATGAAGATTAACAAGGTCTGTTTGTCTCCTTTTTCGCTTTACAGTGAGTAATGTAAAGCTGTATCAATATGATTTTAGATGCGATCCTGCCTTATGATCGTGCATCATCTTGCAGACTCTATTCAAGTCTAGTTTCGATTTGCAATACCAGACATCGCAGCTTTGCCAGTTGTTGTACAAAGTGATTATTACAAATGCCCCTTACCACGGGATTCAGGTCCCCAATGCTAATGATTAATATTGTACATCTCCCTACACTTCTGTATTCCTACACTACTATGTCCACCTGGGGTTATCTTCTCTATACTGTTTCTCCGTTTGACGGTTCCCTGTAGCATATACCCAACCAGCCGCCAGCGCATTAACAAGGCCAATGCCAACGGCGGAGCCTCGCACGGCCCCCCTCACGGAGAACTTGCCACGGAGGCCACCGACGGGCTTGCGCCGCAGCGCCAGCAGCGCATATGTCCCGCTCGCCGCCATGGTCACGCCCGCGCTGTCGATCTTGAACCCTTGCAGGTTGGCGTAGCTGGAGAACAGCAGGACGGGGACGAAGAGGAGAGGGAGAGGCTGTGCGGGACGTAGATGGAGGGCGGATATCAGGGTTGCGAGGCCTGTTGGTGCCAGAGAGGAATCTGGGGAGAGGTGGGAGGTGGTTAGCGGGCTGTAGGTGATGTTATATTTGAGGGTGTTGTTTGTGGTGGGGAGGTTATTCATTCTACTTACTACCCCAGGCCTCGAGCTGGGCTGTGACGGACTTAGGCGGTTCCGGAGCCGCCATTGTGAGAAAGAGCTGGAGTAGGCTTTGCGAGGACGAAATGAGGTGTAGTTGGAGATGGTGTACTTGATTGGTTCGCAAGGATGTCCTGGTCTACCGGTACTGGTATGTGCAATTGAGAACCGAATCTGGTATATTCTTGGGTCTAAGTATTTTGTGCTTTATTTATGGTATGGGACAGCTCAGGCAGGTACTGTTGGTGTCTTGGAGGGGTAAAAAGAAAAAGAAAAGGCGTTTCATGAATTGAAGCTGCTGCATGTGAAAGATCTGATCTACCCAAGCTGCTATCTACATACCTACGCACACTACGGTAGGTACTACATACATAGTACCTATATATATCTCTATCTCAGATAAGTGTGGAATGGTTCAATCGTCATTATCTTTATGTGGTGGAGCTCATCAGAAGGTAAGGCGGGCTTCCCCCACCAGAGACCTACACTAGATACAGATACAGCACTTACGCAATAGGGTACTTAGGTAGTGAGCGAGACGTGCTGTAGCGGGGTGTACCTGGCAGGCAGCTTGAAAGGCCAGCCAAAGCCAGACAAGACCAGGCCCTGCACAGGCAGAGCCACAGCCGACGCTTTGGGCCTTTGGCATGGCAATGGGACCAAGCCACAGCCGAAGGAGCCACGTTTTGGAGAACAGCAGCAAGCAAAGTCCATGGCTCGAAAACAATTGATAATGGCATTGTGGAGTGGCAGACCGAGACCTCAGCAATAAGTAAGGGAATAACAACACAACACCACACCACACTAGGTATTCCACCACCGACATTCAAACCATCGCTGCCAGCTTTGCCGCCTCTGTGACTCGTTTTGACTTTGATTGCCAAACAAAAACCAGTTCTCCTCTTCTGCATGATAACTTTCAGCCAGCCATTCTACCTTATTTTGTATCTACCCTTCCCACTGTCGATATTGATTTGATGTACGCTCTGTGTCAACGATAAGGAGAAGAAGCCCAAGTATCCCCATTGCACCACGCCGACCTCGCTTCCAATTCTAGCCAGAAGTGCAGTCCCTCAGAACCCCGTACGAACCGCGCGCCCACCAGCCTGCTTGATTAGACGGAAACAGCGACCGAGCGCAACGATCGATCCCACCAATGTCGAGCGCTAAAGCCTCCGGCAACGACGCCGGCAATGGCAGCGCACGCTCGCGGGAGCACAACCAGGGGAACCAGGGGCGCGGGTGCACGCCTGAGCAGAAGGCCGCCGTGCTGCGGATCCGGCGGTGCAAGGTGACGGCCTTTTACGAGATCCTGGACCTCGAGGCGGTGCGCAAGACGTGTTCGGACGGCGACATCAAGAAGGCCTACCGCAAGCAGAGCTTGCTGACGCACCCGGACAAGAACGGCCACGAGAATGCCGACGAGGCCTTCAAGATGGTCTCCAAGGCCTTCTCCGTCCTCGGCGACAAGGAGAAACGCGAACGCTACGACCGCTTCGGCACCGACCCCGAGTCCAGGTTTGAGAGCGCCCGCGCGCAGGCCCAGAACCCGTTCGCGGGGTTTGGTGGACGCCCGGCTGGCCAAAGAGGTGGTGGCATGTTCGACGAAGAGATCAGTCCTGAGGAGATGTTTGCGAGGTTCTTTGGGGGAGGCTTCGGCGGACCTTTCGGGGGCGGTAAGTTAACCTCGCCTTAATAACATCATACATAAAACCCCTTGAACAAAGAACTAATGCGTCGGATCCGGTAGGCTTTGACACAGGACCACAATTCGTCTTTAATGTAGGCGGTGCTAGGGGTTTCCGCGTACATCAGTTTGGCGGCGCAGGTCCAAGGACAAGGCCGCGCGCCGACGGGCAGCCAGGACAACCACAACAGCCGGCGTCGGGCTGGGACACCTTCGTCAGCTTATTACCCATCCTATTCCTGTTCGTCTTCCCCCTCCTGACCTCCCTATTCTCCGGCTTCGGCGACTCCCAACCAGCCGTGCCGAACATGGTCTTCGACAGCCCGCTTCCTCCACAGACATACCACAGGCAGACGCCGAAACTGCGCGTCGACTACTTCGTGGACCCGAACGACATCGCCGGGTGGGAGACGGGGAGGCTGCGGCAGTTAGACAAGGAGGCGGAGCTGGGGTTCGTGCGCGTCCTGCGGCGCCGCTGCGAGACGGAAATACGCACGAAGCAGGACCTCGTCGATAAAGCGCAGGGCTGGTTCTTCCCGGACCCGGATAAGATGAAGATCGCGAGGGATTTCGAAATGCCCTCCTGTAAGCGTCTAGATTCCATCGGCATGTCACGGTAGTTTCTCACATTGCGTTTTATTTTATTTTTTCTCCCACAATGGAAACCCTTGTTCTCCCGTATTATCTATTTATGTCCATCTCCCACATCCCATAGAAAAGACCACCACCTACCTGTGATGTGAACGCCGGAAAATTTTCTTTTTTCCTCCCTCTATTATTAGTCTTTTCTTACATCCGGCAGAATGACAGCATGTGTAGAGGAATTTGTCACAAGAGCAAAATTGTCAAGGCGTCCGGGGATAACTATATTTATTTTTATACCTTATAACTAAGGCATGGCGGGCGGAAAGGCGGGGGAAGAAGGGAAATGGGGAAATGGGGGATTTGCTCATGGGTTTTTGAACAGCGGATTCTGCACTCTCATTCACAAATCAACAATTCATGAAATAATGTCTGTTTTTCTTGTCACCTTACCTCGTATAGCGATCACCATCATATATATCATGTAGGTATTCACATCATATACATATATAATTCCGACTTCTCGTCATTTGTAATGTTTACTCCCGAAGGGTTTCAGTTGCGTTTATATAATTAATCCCCCCTTTTCTGCTCTCGCTGTGGTATACTTACAAATGTAGCTAAGTGTTCATCTCGTTTTCTGAGAAGCTTATGAGCATGCGCATACACCCTGGCGCGACAATAAATCCTTGCTTTTTTTTTATCTGCGGTAATGTCGGACACCCTAAATACGTATTATAATATTCCATAACGCACTATTAAATAGGAGCTCGAGAGATGTCGTGTTTGTTTAGGCAGCAAACATCTTCAAGTATCACGACTCTCAAAAGATGCTTGCGACGGTAATTACGCAGCGCCCGAGGTTTATATATACATATCTGGATAATAGCTAGAAAATATTTTTTTCAGGCGAGCTCGGACTCGGTCAAGTATGTCGGCCCGAAATTCTGTGATGGACTGGGCAATATAGCCAGTTTGCAGAAGGCGGTGATGTAGCAGTTCTACCGTCTGCCCCGCCGGGGATCGAGAGCCTCATCCCGCCTGTAATCCCGCATCTCCTTAGTTCCGAGGCTGCCAAGGCCGCCCTCGCTACGGCGCTCCCACCCACCAAGCCTCACAACAAGACACGTCGCATTATCGCCATTATTGCTAACCTCTGTGGCGAATGCCACGACGTCCTTGGATCCTTGCTCTGGCGTCTTGGCTTCCTTCACAACATCGACTATTTCTTGATCGCTCAACGTGCCTGACACACCATCCGACATAAGGACCAAGAAACTGTACTGCGCCGGGCCTAGATCTATGCGCGTTATTTCAGGCTCAGCAGACACGCCCAGGCGTTTTGACGCGATATCTCCGAAGGCGCGAGAGTTAGCAAGCCCTTGGATGCGCTCCTCGCCGAAAGAGTCTGTTATGAACGACGCCGCAAAACGTCGAAGACGATAGGACTCGCCCGGCGAGCTGGGGTGGTGATCCGAAGTCAGAGGCTTGGCGAGACCAGTAGCCGTCTCACAAAGCAGGATTCGTGTATCGCCTACATGTCCTACGAGGAGGGTAGACGATGCGGCGGGGTGCCAAAAAGGCGCCGGAGTCGGCGTAGATATCAATGCCACGGACGCAGTCGAGCCACCCTTGAATCTCATACGCCCCCCAATTCCGTGTCCGGAAGGTGGCATATGATGTGGCTTTCCTAAGATTTCGTCGGTGTTAACGGCCGCATCGGAAACATAAGGGTCATCGGGGTCCTGCTTCTGGGCCTGAGCCGTTACGAAATCTAAATCCGCACGAAGGAACGCGTAGGTAAGGACAGCCTCAACACTAATGGACGCGTCGGGCGTAGTGTTTGAATATTGGGAAACATTAAAGTGCGGTGGGCTGAAGCGGCGGAAATACCCGCCTATAGTGCTCTTGTACTCGTGTAAAAGATCCCTCTGTAATGTCAATGCTCGGTCTAGAGATACTTTGGCAGGGGCTGGGGGGTGTCCGCTTATGGCCTCCGAATGCCGTACTTCATTGATTGCACCATGCTCGTTTACTTGAGGGATATTGGCGTGCGGCTCGACTTCCGTTGGCCCTTTGAACTCCAGGCTGTCCAATTCGCCTCGGTCGTTATGCTCAACCTCTGTTATGGACGGGATTGCTTTACCCGGCTTCGAACTAGAAGTGGGTTTGCTACCAGCTTTCCTACGCAAACTACTTTTCAGGCCAAACTCAGCAGCAGCCTCCTCGATATAACCATGGAGTTCTTCACGTAGGAAGTCGCTACACTGTGTGCCGCCGTGGCCGTCAAAAACTCCAAAGTAGAAAATCTGGGGATCACCATATGGACTATCAGCCGAAGTACCCTCTCCCCTTTTTTTCATTGCGCTCTGGACCAGACTGATAGGAGTGCGCTTGGCAAAGGCCGGCATGTCAATAGTTCCGGCTTGGTTGGTATCTTCATTATATGGACGCGAGCCTCGAGACTCTGTAGCACCAAAGTGATGTTTTGCGCTGCGAAGAGGAATGCGAACAACGGTAAGATCACGCGTCGAGGGCAGATGCGGTGGGGTAACCGGCGCCGCACCCGTGTCACCGCTGTGAGGGGCTGCGGCGGACCTGGGCAGGTGATGATGAGGGCCCGGCGGAGCACGCGAATCTGGGTGTAGGGAAGAGGAGGGGAGATGTGTTACAAAATACGTGTGGAATCCACGCCGTATAACTCGGGGAGATGGCTGGGTTTTGTTCGGAACGACGGGCGCCGCGTTCGGCGCATCCTCGTCGTGGTCTTTTGATCTGCATCTTACGGGTGACTGTTGGTGAAAACGCCGGGTTGAGGACGGCAAGCCGTGACTTGCTCTGTAGTTGATAGATGCGCGGGCTTGGGCCTGGGTTTCACAGAAGGACGCAATGAAGCCTTAGAGGGAGAAACATGTCTCGTTAGCAGCGATACACAGACGCAGACATGCAGTTGAGCGACAAAAGAGCGGCCGCAGACTAACCATATGTATCATTGAGGGACCACCTCTTGGGAGCGCCACGGGGGAGACTCATTATCCGAGGAGCACAGCTCACTTAGCAAGCTACCCATACCCCGTTACCACGGGTTACGAAGAGAATTATGAGAACGGAAGATGGTAATAACGGCAGCAGAAAACAGCCATGGACGACGCTAATGGTGGTAGACTGGTGGCGCCGGATAAGTCGAGGGTTGCAAGCTTCTCGTGATTCGACCACGGAGCAATTCGAGGAGACCCAAAGGAAAAGAGTCGGCTGATGGATGCCGGACAGTAGAGAAGTATGTAGTGACGATGGTGATGCAAGACAAGCCCGACAGTTGGACGGTCGCACTTCGGCGTAGGTATTATGTTCACTCGGCGGGTCCTGGGTTAGGCTCTTTCGGGAGTTTTGGGGCCGCTAGCTTGGTGACGATCCGTATCGGAGCTACGATTCGAACAACGGCGAACAAAGGTCGGCAGGCGCAGACTTGAGATGCTGTGTGCTAAGTATCAGGGAGATGGTTTAACGCATGTAGTCTCGGTAGTAAGAACACCCGTCCACAATCTGCGATGACAACCCAGGCCTAGCGAGCGGCGACCAAGGTGCAGTGACACTTTGAGCACGGTACCGCGCGTTGGGTTGTCCGAAGAATATCGGCGGATCGGGGAATCGGACCGGCAGTGTGTCGCAACCCAATTTGGCTTAGCTTGAGCACGACTTCTAAATACGTTCGTAGTATAACTTATGTACTGATGTACACCTGGGCAGTGTGACGTATGCCTGTGAATTTGGCCCTCGCCATTTACCTACTATGTAGCTAGGTAGACAGACCCTGTGGGAGTAGGCTTGGAATTCCTCGGTATTGAAATCTCTTATATAATAAAAAGGAGCTCAAATGAAAGCACGTTTAGTTGCCTTATATTTCGGGACTTTCTTCAAGACTGGTTGTGGGGTTGCGCCCTGCAAGTATGCTGCAAGCACTCTCGAAGGTAATATGATTTTCACTTATGGAAGGGTAAGGGTTCATGTACATAGTCCTTTCGCGCAGATGTATATGTATAATTTAGATTTGGACCACGCATCATATATTGTATCTCACTTACCCATTCCTGCATCCTAAGGTATCTCTCGAAATTTTTCTCTTCAGATTATCACCAGCGCCTTTAAGGTATGCGCTCTTGATCAAGACCATGAAGCGGACCATTTTAAAAGGGACATCCCTCTTTACGCCAAACGTTTCCATGCCTTTCTCGCACCTGCCTTCTGGGTATTGACTTGGAATTGTGATCTTATGGCTACGGAACTCGGCCCTCGCCGAGCTATCCGTCTGCTACATCAGGAGCAAGACGGAGAATTCTTTGAGTCAGCTTCAGACCCGCGACTTTTGCCCTATTTAATGATATCATTCCAAAAACAAATCCCTCCAAGCAGAACTCAAGTAGAACATGAATGAATCTCTAACCTCGGTCTGATACTATTTTCATAAGAAACAATCCCCTGGATCCGAGAACGAATGCGTGCAATGGTCACCTTAGCGTACGAAACTCCAAAAGAAGAGAAGCTCTACCTCAAGGCAGTATCCATTCAATATGGATACGGTAGCTTGATAGATCAACCTAACATGAATATACTGCTCATAGTATCTAAACGCATATCATGTACCGGCCGTGTTATAAGCGAGCGACACAGCTAGCTAACATCACAGAAATCAGATCTGAGGTTCATATGATGAACACTACCGATGGAATCTGTCAAAAAATGGCTCAAAGGGCTTGCACGTCACGCTCTTTTACAAAGACCAGATCCCGAAGACCTCACCTATCGAACCTATCGTTGGAGCAAAAGAAACACTCTACAGTAGACGTCCTCTAACTCTCTATATAACCTTTAAATAAAAATATGAAAATGCACTTTCGAGATGATGTCGACGGACAAAGGGGCGTTAGATACTATTTTCTTTAGGTTACCTTTAGATTGGGACCATTCCTAGAGAATGTCTATCTACGTCCCGACTCGTTCCTACCCCCGCACCAACAATGCTTAGCATCGGTAACATCAGCACTACCTAACCTGCTTGAGACTCCCCAGTTGACCAGTTTCTCTAGCCGACGTAGAATTTGAAGGAGCTAGGGACAAAAGCGGGTTGGGATCTACAATGGAGATACCCTCCCGGCCTGCTCTTGTAATACTTGAAATTGGGCACCACGTAAGAACCGCAAGAATCAGGTTGGCTCAATACTCTACACCCATATAATGCCGCCCTCGCTTGATCTCTCTATTCGCTGTAAAAGTGCTTCGCTTAGACCGTACTTAGCAGTGACACCGGAATAAGAAATAACGAGACTGATAACAGCAGAGCAAGAGGTTGAGGTATGCCCGACGACTCAGGTCGTCCAGCTGGGCTGGAAACCGTCGAAGATGGCTACGGCACGGCACCTTTAGATGGCAACCGCTCTCGACGACCGCCGTTAAGATCGCAGAATAGGCCTGGAGGTCTAGCGAGAAACTACTCTCACAACCCGTTCCAGCATGCGCAACGGTATAACGGCGAAACAATGGCGCAGATGATATCTTTAGCGAGAATCGAGTCACGGAGGCGCGGCAAGATAGGTATCCGGGACCGGATCTGCTGTTATCAATGGACCTGGTTCACGATGGTACGGATATTCTCATTGTAAATTAAGCTATTGTATTTGGGCAAACAGTGCTAACAACGTATCGCGATCTAGACCATGGTAAGCACATTCTAGTATGAGCAGTCGCGATAAGATGCTTAAACCAAATTGTAGGCAACGGGCGGCGTAGCCAATGTATTGTATTCCAGTAAGCCAGCACGAGAATACCATCATGTCATTATAGAAGAGCGACTCTAACAACATGATCTGCAGTATCGAATACCTACAAACTGAAATGGCTGGAAGACATAGGTGTCGCGTTCTTCCTTCTGAACCTGGTGCTGTTTATCATGAACTGCGTCCTCATAACAATGAGATTCGTAATGGTGCCCGGGAGTTTCATGCACTCTTTCCTCGACGACGTTGAGTCCCTGTTTATCCCTTCAGTGGTGAGTTTTCGAAGCCAGAACAACCGCATCCTTGGCGCAAACAACTAACAAATTCAACAGGTTGTATCGTAAGTTCTATGCGTGCCCCGCCAAGGAAAGTTCACAAATAATGTATCTTCTGACATGAATGGATCAGGATCGCGATAATCATGACCAACATCACTCAATACGGATGTCCCCATACAGGGCCATGGTTGCAGAAAGTCATGGAGGTTCTGTTCTGGGTGTACCTCGCCATCAGCGTAATCGCAAGTACCGGCATGTATCTGGTCTTGTGGTCGACCCAGTGAGCATTGTTCCTACACGACAGCTAAAGGACATGCCCTAATCGCAGGATCTATCTATACAGGACCTTTCCTATTCAAACAATGACGCCTTCATGGGTCTTTCCCGCGTATCCCTTGCTGTTGAACGCTACTTTCGCCACCAACCTGATCTCCACCGATCGAGTAGGCCCAGGCGACCCCAGGAGCAACAGACTGGCAGTAGCCACCACCGCCCTCACGACCCAAGGCACCGGCTTTCTCATCAGCTTCATGATATGCGCTGCCTTCATCTATAGGCTGATGACTCAGAAATTGCCTCGAGACACGCAACGCCCCGGTGTGGTATGATGCGCCTACGTCTCCCCAAGGCTCGAATATCACTAACAGGAATAGTTCATTTCCATCGGACCGCCGGCGTTCACCGTTGCGGGTTTAGGTATGATGTTTTCTCGTCCATGTTCATTCGACATGCTCGCCATACCCTCTTTTGCGTCCGCAACTCACTGTCCACTAACCAGAGTACGCACACAGTGCTTCTAGGACAGCAGGCGAACGACATTCTCCCGCCCGACTACCCCGACAAATCACAAGCAGTCTTCGTCCTGGAACTCCTTTCCACCCTCATCGGGCTTTGGCTTTGGGGGCTCAGCGTATGGTTCTTCGTTGTTTCAGTGGGCTCGTTGTGGAAATACACGCGAAACGGTCATTCGATGCCCTTTCAGATGACGTGGTGGAGCTTCGGTGAGTAACCTACCATCAGAACTCATATTTTTACCATACTTCCGCAACACCACGTATCTTGTCGAAACCATTTTCGAAGTCTCGTCGAAACACTCGTCCGAACAGGCACGCTCTAAACGGTAATTGCTAACTCCGGCTGCTGCAGTATTCCCCAACACCGCCCTCGTGAACGCCACGCTGGCCTTAGCGAAGGCGCTGGGAAGTAACGGACTCCAGATTTATGGGTGTGTGATGGCGGCGGCTCTAGTCCTGGTATGGATCATCGTTTTCGTGATGATGCTGTGGAGTCTTTGGAGTAGGCAATTGCTGTGGCCCAAAGAACTCGACAAGGAGGGTTAAATATGAAGCTTACCAAGCCATAGATTATAATAAGATAGATGCAAGGGAGATAACAAGAAGCTTGGACATATACATTTTAATAACATATTAGATGGCAGCTTTAGTATTTAGATAGGTAGATTGATCGAATAAGAGATTGAGTTGTTTAAGCAACTAAGCGCACCTTAGATTACCGGTAGAAGATAGTAGCTACATGCTCATCACGCCTCTGTAGGATCACTCTATCTCTTCGATTATCGGCTTTACGCGTCTTCCGCTGTCAGCATTTAAAACCGGGAGACTCGGCCGGGTCATGTCTAAGCCTGCAACCTGCACAGCTGGTGGCGGGGCATTTTGACCCTGTTGGTTCGGCACAAGTTGTATGAGACGGAGGCTTTCGAGACTCTCGAGTGCATCTTGGGCATGTTGGCGGACAAGCCCATCTTCATCTGTCTGCTCAACATACCCCAAGACTCGCACAATATCCTCTTCTTTTGTTGTGAAACCCGCACCAAAGCTTGAACCGCCTGTGCCTAAACTGGAGCTAAAGCGGCTTCCACGTTCTCGAGCTTTTCCCAAGGCATTGATAAACGTTAATACCACGGTAACGGCTGCACGCCGCAAGATTCCCGCTTCTAGGGCCCCCGCCTCGAACATGAGAACGTCAAGACTTAGGGCTAGAGCAGCGTCTACCAATTGCGGGGTGAACGAGCGAATGTTTGTTTCGAGGCCGGCAGCGAACAGGGAGAGTGCGGAAGCTCGGATCCGCATGTCTTCACTACCTCGCTTGCTCTCCCAACCAGATACGATGCGTACGAGGACCGCATTGCGGGCTCGTTCTTCGGGCGTTTGCTCTTCGAGTTCCAGATCTATATCATCATCTTCATCGCTCATAGGGAGTGCATCACCTGTGCCGTTTCCCAGTCTAGCTTTGGCTTTCAGTTTCCGCGCGGCGGTTCGCTCAGCACGTTCCTGACGTTCTTTTGTCTTGGGCCGGTGTGCGCGGCGCCCAGCAAGAGCGAGAAGTGCCTCACCAACAGACGCAGCGACATCGCCGGCGAAAGTCTGACCGAGTCTCTGTATGAGTTGTAGCAATGCCTCGCCAAATCGCAAGCGAGTGTCTGTATTTTGCTTCTCTAAGGCATCGACGTACTGGTCTAGTGCCTCTCGAGTAGTTGACCGCGGATGCCTTTCAGACAATTGAACAAATACCTTTATCACTCGCAAGCTGATGTATTCATCGTCGTCGCTAAGCAAGGAGGAAAGCAGTACCAGCGTAGCTGGGATGTCCACAATAGCACTATTGGACTTTATAAGAGTACCGAGGAGATTCAAACCCTCAGAGCGCACAGGTGGTGGCGAATCGGCTTGTGTGATATACTGGAGCGCCAGGTTGTACGTCTTTTTATCTTCGATTTGTCGTTCTGTGGGTGCGGTCGGCCTGTCGGCAGGGTCTTCTAACTCATCTCGGTATTTTAGGAGCTGCGATAAGTTACGAGCAGTATGTGAGACATCGGATTGTCTTGAGAGGCTAATCTTCATCAAAGACTTTTCGATAGAAGCTAGCGTGCTTTCGCGTACATCTTTTCGTTGGAAACTGGGCACAGTAACAACCATATTGAGCAAACTTAGTGCCACAGAGATCGCATCATCATCATCTGAAGACCCGGCGTTGAATTTGCTGAGGACTTTGGTGACGAGCTCGAGCAGTTGCTTAGAATTCGAGATTAGCCTTTCTGGAACTTGCTCCATCATTTCTTGAAGCACTCTAGCTTCAATCAGCTGGGCTATTGGATCCGCCTGGTCATTACTAGCTGCTAATTGTATAGATTTCACGCCTTCATGGGTTCCAAGTGAAGTTTCGAAGAGTTTCAAGAAAAGTGTTGATATATCTGTATCGGATGCGACTTGTTTGAGGAGCCCGATGAACGCTGACACTTTAGAATCCATGGTTTCCAGATTCAGTTGCGTGAGTGATGTGCCTTCATCTCCATGTAATCGTCTAACTTGGATGCGACAATCTTCGGTTTGCTTATAAGCCCACGGCAGTTCGGGCGTGCTAGGTGCGCCACAAAATAGAAGATCATGTATAATATCTAGATATTTGTCTGCGGATCCAGCAAGTTTAAGGTATATCTCAATGAGGGCTTGTGCCGGTTGGCAATACTGCTCGTCCACAAGGGTGGGTGGGAGCGGCCACGACGAGAGAGCCCACAAAGGCATGACTAAAGGGTTAAGTAGCCTCTTGGTCAAGCCAGGGTTAGGATGCGAGTTTAATAATGAAGATAAGCGTCTCAACGCAACGTGCAGCGCATCAGCCTCAACTAAAACTCTGCGTTTCTGAAGGTCAACAACATCATCGGGTCCCGCGCTGAAAACCACAGGTTCCCGTGGGTTCTTGTTGGAAGATAACGATGGATTTATACAAGATAGCATCGGCTCCGCGAACTCTTTCCATCCAGGGGTGCCTTTAGCAAAAGTCCATCATTAGCCATTCGATCATTCATACAATCGTGCATTTGACATACCAGGAGCACCAAGCTGCTTCCTACCCAGAACACCAAAGCCTATAACATAGGCAGCAGTTTTAGCAAGATCAGGGCCGCCACTACCGTCCAATAGAGTAAAAAGCTGAGGGGCAATGCCAGAAAACCATGTGGCGGGCGTTATGGATGCAGGTGGGACGGATAGAAGGTTCGATGCCATCTTCAAGGCTTCCATAGTAATATTAGCACCCTGCTTCTGGGGTGTGGCAGCCTCTGATATCCTGACTGTACTTGATGGATGCACGGAAAAGACAAACTCCAAGGTCGCACGGACGCCATCAGGTCTCTGAGGCAACAGCGTAAGAATATCCATCAAATGAATACGGAACCATTCCGGAACACGGCCGGGCTTTACCAATGTGTTTACCGAAGACAACAGAGCGAAAGTACCTGCCCTTCGAAAGGTTCAGAAAGGTGATAAAAGGAGACGATGAACTAGTCGCGTCTACCCACCTCGATACGAGAGCCATGAATATTCTCTGACCCTCAGAGCGAGACCGTTCGTCAGCCGCAGGATTGAATGCTTTCATGCCATTTTTCTCCAGAGCAGAGACCAACGTCCCCTTCTGCTCGCCGGGCTGTTTGTCATCCATGGCGGAAGCGGGCTGCTATGTCCAAATTACGAGATTGATACAGTTCTCTAAGTAGGAACTGTACCTTTTCTAGAAGCTCGGATCGAGCCGGAGGAGTTGTTAACCTGATTCGATATTAGAGTACATGTCCGCCCGTCGCGAACTCGATGATAGGTCGAAATTGTAAAAGAAAATCGAGTGACGCCACGTGAATCCCGGTGCTTCCATAGGCGACTTCCCGGGTACCTAACCTAAGTACCTGGTAGGTACTTTCTCAGCTAGCTCGCCGCATAAGTAGATTAGGTACCATTTCAGTACGCTAGATACCTTCTGGCTCCCCCCGCAAGGGGTGTGTGGAAATATCTACAGACTAGGTACAGTGAGGTTAACACACTGTGCTGTACCTACCGCTACAGGCAGGTACAGGGGTTCCACGAGACGCGGTCGAGCAGCCACAAATGCAACTCTATATGGCGATCTCACGACTACACCTTTCAACTTACAACCATCTTTCTCTTGTCGTGAGCAAGTATTGCTCTCTGGTTAGAGGGGATAACCTCTCGTATGTTAGGCGGTAGTAAGTAGCGTGTTTTCTAGTTACCTAAGTACCTAATCAATCAAAGGTACCCCCTTGTAGGTAATGCAAACGGGCCAGCAACAATGTCTGCTGAGGGAGTGTACATCGACAAGGTTCTTGATGCTTGACTAATAGCTTGGGACATATCGAACATCTACTTTATCCTGTGAAATCGAAATGTACCAAGTAAGTATGTCCTCTTGGTGTTGAGAGGACACAGGGGCTTCTGGTGTAGACTGCAAACGGGCAATCCTTCAAACAAGGATACCTTTGCTTTTGCTCCTTTCTTTTCCCATGAGGTAACCATACCTAGGTATCTAATTTCTACCCATCTGTACTATAAGACGAACGACAGTCATGTCATAGAGGAACAGCACTGAGATGGTGTCTCAGATGTGATCCGGACCCCTTTACGCTACCTGGCTACCTAGGTAAGTAATCGACTAGTAGGGGTTACTTACTCGGGCACGGTACTGCTGGGTTACAGAGCAAATACAGAGGTGGTCCCAGCAACCAAAGTGCCTGCCACTTGAACGCGTGCACCCATACCTACTCTATTTACGCGCTTCACTGTTGGTTGTCCATTTTCTTCCTTTCTTTCTTCTATTCTTCATACCCATACTACTACCACGTTCGACGTCTGTCTGCTCAATTTTCCAATGTGCTACTCGAGGGGATTTTGGCCGCTGATGTCATACCGAGATACGAGCATCCTCACGATCTTGTCTCTCCAGACTACCGCTCAAGTTGAACCTCTTTCGCCTGTCCTCCTTCTAGCAAGGAACGACTCGCATTCACATACCTCGCACGGCGCCTTCCTCACAGTTCTCCGATTCCCGTTTTCCGAAAGGAATGTCTTTGTACCCCTCGGTCTATCCTTGTCAATCCACTCGACACGTCGCTGCTCAGCGTCATTGCGACATCCTGTGCATGCCGCGTGGGGATCGTCGTGTGAGATGGGCCAGCTGGTTCTGGCTGGGGATTCGGCTGTAGGGAACGGTTTCGGAACTTAACCCTAATAGTTTCCTTGGTTTCCAGTCTTGCGTTTATAGTCGTCTAGATCCACCTTCTAAACTGCTGGTTGTCTCGGTGACTTTGTCCCCCGCTGAAAAGCAGGATCAGATGAACTGCCATCTGGCGGTGGAAGGGTGGTGGTTGGACACTCCAGTCGCTTTATGCGCGTGAGGAACTCTGCTATGAGTCTATTTGGGAAGAACCCCTGGTCCGGGGTCGCTCGTCAGCATTGTCTCGCTGGAACTCGTACTCCGGTCATGAGGGATCGTACTTGTGATGCTCAGCCTGCTTGTCTGTCGGGAGTTGAGTCGGGTTCAGCTTGCTGTCGTCGATTAGACATAATGCTGGCTTTCTACGCCGCGTCGCGCCTCCGAGAGTACATGGGAAGGGCGTAATCTTTGGCCACATACAGTCAGAGGATTGGGCATTTCACGATCCTATTCGCCGTTAATCTTCTCGCCGGAATCGTCTGTCTACAATCCCTAAGTGGGATCAGGCGAGCGAGGATTACTACGGCTTCAACAGAAATGCTCAACCTTTGACCAAGACATGCCTCTTTACTGGTCCTGGGTACCCAAGTCTCTCTTGTCGCATCTAGTCACCGCAGCTGTCGGCATCAAACCCGGCTCCCGTAGAAGCGTTCACCGACCCAGCCAACCCGTCAGTCAAGCTTGCCAGCTCCTGGTTCTGCATTACGGCAACAGCCACCATTGTATCCTTTGAGAGATCCGACTGGGCGCATTAACTTTCTCTTGTGGGCTTGTCCCACAATGACGGAGGACGCCATGTGCTTCAAATTGCCACCCGGTGATTGAAGCTTCCTCGCCTTGTCCCAACAGGGCCAGGTTGAGACGATAGTGCGGATTTTATGGATGTTTTTGACCGTACGCAAACGCCTTCCTAGCTGCTCACATAAGCTCGACGGAAGCGAATCAAAAACTTGTCCCTGTTGGTAGTGCGTTCATACAGAAAGAGGTTCTCTTGGGCGGATCTGAAGACATAACTCGCGTTGAAGCCCGCCGGTATCATGCCAGCCCTCAAAGAGGGTGCTACATTCAGTTGGAAATTGACAACAGTGGGAAGTATGGATACGAGCAAACTTGAAGGTGTAGTTCCCTGCATTGGTTCTTGTATCGGGACCCATCTCGAGTTGGAGTCAAAGTTTCGTGCTTGTCCGGTCCTGAACCAACGCAGGTTGACAACGCTGCACAAGCAAGCTCTAATAAGTAATTTTTTGTTCTGCAAAACTTGGGACACTTTTTGAAGCCAGTCCAAGGCTGCTCTGATCTAACAAGTCTGGGTTAATCTGACCGGCTGGATTAGAACAGCCCCCTTTTCAAGGGATAAGTTTTATTGAGCTATACTCTTTGGGCTGCGTACTAATAGTTTGCTAGTGACTTCACTACACAAACCACTCGATATACGACGTTTTCGATAATCGTATTATAACCTTTTAAGATCCTAGTTCGAGCGAATCAGTCTTTGCTCGCACACAACGCGATGATCATTCTACCAGCTCATGAACTGCAAACGCCCTTAGAGAGCAAAGTTATGTATTCGCTCTATACAAGGAACTCGGCAAGGAAACTGTCCTATCCCACGAGCCACACGATCTGTATGAGCTAAAGCTATATCTTTTTGGTATGCTTCATGCACAGAAAGGAGGTCATATACCGGAAATGAAGGAGGGCGGCCTATTGAAGTACTCGGCTGACCTAGCAAAGGAAGTATTATATAGGTACAAGACTGGAGTGCTGTGTTCTTCTTAAGTATTGATCATTTATTTTCTCCAAACGCGTGTGTATTGATAAAGAAGCTTCTCACTACCGGACTCATGTTCATCAAGGGACGTCCGACTAGAAACTCACAGAGCAAATGTTGCGCTGTACCTTTTCTCGAAATCCTATATATATCGTCCAATGGGGAGTAGCTACATGCCACATTGCGTTATGCTAGGAAGGGAGTTACTAGTTTTTATCAAAGGGCCATATCGGAAGATTTACGTTATATACCAGCTGAATAAAGGCAGCCTATAATTATATTACTATATAGAAACGCGACTGTTTGGTGTTTATCCTTACATAAGTGTGGTGTTGAGTTCTCTAAGATCTGATGATTTTCACCAATGATCGTCCCAGCTGGGGATACTACTGCAGTACTACTGTATGCACCCCAGGTTAGTTCGAGTTGCCCCTGTCTCAGGTTGCCTACAAGGACCATTGGCGCTTGCAACGAAGCTCGCCATGGGAAGAAAACCTTGTCTTTAAAAATTGCATGATATCCCAGTCACGAAGAAAAAGTGCAGCCAACTGTGCCAGCACATTTATTTCAACATATCAACCCGACTAATTGACGCCATCACCGCCATCACCGCCGTTGCCTTCAATGCTTTTATTTCATTTGGGGACTCTAGAATAGTTGAATAATACATGCTGCACGTCTCAACTCGGTTTGAGCAAGGGGTTCCTAGTAGATAGCGCACCTCATGGCCAGGGTTCTCCGCCAAGTCGAAACCTGTGCGGTTTTACCAATAACACTCAAGCGACCTCCAAACGGCCCTACCAATTCTAGGTGATCTGCATAGCACATACACGCCCCATTATGGAGTTTATATATGTAAGCTATCGTCTTAAAACGCTTTTTGATAATTCATATTCTCTTCAACTTCTTGGTCTTCATATTATTGTGTCGACTGTATAATTAATATCTTTTTCTATCTACTCATCCCTTTTCTATTCTCGGCAGCCGGTCCTGCGTGTGTAGATCACTATGGATTCACAGAAGATTGAATATAATGGCTTTCATGAGAGCACTCAGTCAGATTCAAGGTCTAGCACCGAGGTCGAGTCTTTGATGGGCGACAAGAATATGTGGCATGATGTGGACCTCGGCAGTCCGATACGGCAGACGAAGCGGGATAAACTATTTTCGACACTCAAATCCTGGAGGTGGACCTTTGATACTGTGCTATTACTCGTCATCGTCACATTGCTTGTTCGCGACCAATGGAGACAATCTGCAGTACTACAAGATGCGAACATTTGGCAGTTTGGACAGGATTTTACTGGCGTAGGCCCAAAGTGTAGGAGACAACGTCATGAGAAACAGAGAGAGAATTCAATGCTGACGCGCGTTAGTCTCCTCGAAAATCACAAAGTTTGCGCCAGATGAATCATATGCGCCGAATGATACCGCCGAGTTCTTCACTGACGAAGTACTCGATAAGTGGAATCAACTCATGCCACGTAAGTCCTGATCCGAAAGCCATTCCAAGCCTTGTCTCGTACGCTAATACGCTCGCAGTTGGTATGGGTTTTGTTTGGGTGAACGACACCGAGCAATACCACGATCTCCCGACCCCAATAATGTGGCCGGAGAAGACTGTCTTCACCACATCTGCTACGCATCAACTTCATTGCCTTGTATGTACTGCTTTCTGCACGGGAGATGTCTGTGAGCTGGGGGCTAATTTAGGATCAGTTCGCCATCGTCCAGACCTATTCGGGCCTGACCTCTGGCCATGAAATCCCCGATGATCATCATTGGCATATGATTCATTGTTTTGATTATTTACGACAGTACGTGTTCCCGGATTTATACATTCTGTTGTGGTGGTTAATGTACTGTTATCTCATTCTCTTAAATCCTTCTGGGTGGAAACCTCTAACATATCAAACCTTATAGGGCCATTATGTGTAGCGCAGATATGGCATTGGAGGGTTTAGAGTAAGTAACAACCTGGGCAGATCACTCTCCCCCAAGACCACGTTCGATTCCATCGCAGGCTGTAGTTGCTAACGAGAAATTACAGAACGACATTCCCAGACCACAATGGAGGCTCAGATGGGTGGGACTCGAAGCATGGTAAGCTCACTCCCAATCACATACATAGAACGGCCATTCTTGCTAACGCGGTCATATAGTCTGTCGGGATTGGGATCAAGTCAAATCTTACCTGGAGTCTGTACGGGCTTACGATGATCAGCTAATCTACTAAATCTAAATCTCATATAGAGATCCCTGAACACAAATCACATTATTGCATACGTCGAAAGGTGTTATTAAAATAAAATTAGTTAATTCAAGTTCAATTGAGGGGATACTTATCTATTGATAAATTGGGATTTGTTGTGTTAGTTAAAAACCTAAGTACGGGACGGACGAACAGTTATTGGTGATCGCGAAAGACACGTCATCTCGAGTTCTCTTTTGGATCTCCTCATTATCTTCGTCTCTCTCTTTCGCCGCTGCCTCCTTCTCGGCTTTCTTCTTTGCAATCGCCTCTTCATTCTCCTTTTTCTTCAGCTCTTCTTGCTCTAACTTTGCTTCTCGGGGGTGGCATACGTCGCAGATGCCATCGCAAAACGGAAAATCGCGAACCACGTCGGGATTACCGTTTATAATGCGCTCTCGGCATTTTTCTCGTATTCCGAGACGAGCGCTCAGGCAAGTGTCTACAGAGATGAACTTGCAATGCCCCCAGTAGCAAGAACGATATATGTAAGCTTTGCAAGTGCACATTGTGTTAGCGTAGATTAAAGATACGAATAGGAAGGGTATTGATAGGCGAATACGGTAGAGAGGTTGTTAACACTACCGAGGAGAGATTGGCTGAGTACGGAATCTGACTGAAGAATTCATTGGTGTTATTTATATTCTCCGCCTTCTATGCCATTGTATATTTGTTCTTTCATATATTTACAAGATCGCCTTTATTTGAAGACAAGCGCAACGGCTTTGTAGAATCGTCTTTCACAAGGTTATTGTTATCGGCGCTTATTGCACCCGGGACAATGTAGACATGATGACAAAGTACCTATGGAGGACAAGTGCTCGTCTTACATACCGACTATTAGAGTTCATCACATTTTCCCATTGCAAGATGATCATAGCTTCATATTATCAGTCAGGTTGTTTACCTAATACCTAATTAGGTAATTCACCTGCAGGGTATTAGTCATCTGGGTATAAGTTATAAGTTTGAACCTTATAATGGGTTCGATAGGGAACCCTTTAGGGCACCCTATAGGGCACCCTATAGGGCAGCGGCTAGGTCTATATATAACAGGTTATCCCCACGGTTAGGAAAACCATATTCTATATTCCTATTTATATAACTCTCCTTCTATATTGGATAATTGAATAACTTATCCATTTATCCTACTTATTAATCATCTTCTGAACTGTTTATTAAGATATATGCAATTACCTAAGCTAACCTACCTAGCTTTCGAAAGGTTATAAGCCCGGTATAATTACATATATATTTACCGGAAACGAAAACCCCTTTTAACCCTTTCGAACTACCCTTTTAAGACCCCTAAGCTACCTTTTACAACCCCTATTAAATCAATTAAGCTATAATTAAGTTAATTAAGCTATACTTGAGCTATAACCGAAACATTTTTAATCGAAATTGTAAAACCTTTACTTTCTTTATAAAAAAGCTACACTTTCCCACCCCCTTACCCCTATAACCCTATATATCCAAACGTACTATATATTATATAAGGATAAATATATTTTAATTAAATACTTATAAAATAGTAAAGTTTATAAGCTTTATTAATTATCCTATTTGGAGAATAAAAGTAAAGGTAATCTTAAAAAAGGATAACTATTACTTTATTATTATAAATAGAAATATTAATTTATATAAAAAAGAAAAAGCACTTAATATTATTTAATTATTATATAAGAATACCCCTTTTATATATCTATATAATATTAATAACCTAATTAAAGTATAAAATAAACTAAAAAATCTATATAATTTAAAAGGCTTTATAATTAAATTCCTTACCCTTAAAAAACTATTTAATACTTCTTTATTTTACTTTACTTTTATAAAAGTATATTTAAATAAAGTTAAAGAATTAAATAATAACTTAAACTAAAAAGATATTAAATTACTTAAAAAGGTAATAATATCCTAGGTATTATATTATTTAAATAATAATTATAAAGGATTAATTAATAACGCATCTCCCACTTGACCTAGCCACCCAATTGACCTGGCCACCCCCCTAGCCCATACAAATAACGTCGGTGCGTTAATCACGTGATAATTTAATAACTCTGCGAATACTAATTGTATAAAATAATAAAATATACCATTAGATTCGTAATAAAAAGAGCTATTTAACGGTACCCTTTACTAACTTTTACGACTTTTATTCGCGGAGTTATTAAGCAATACGCTAAAGTAAGCGCTAAAATAATCCTTGCTTAGCGCTACTTTAGCGTATTGCTTAATATCTCGCTTAATAAATTTTATAAAAAATAGTAAAAAACACCGTTGGATTCCCCTTCAACTAATGGATTTAACAGTATTAATTATTAAATCATACGATCAGTATTCGTAAAGTTATTATAGATTGAAATAATAGGATTTTATATAGGTTAAGGGGGTGGCCAGCTCAATTGGGTGGCCAGGTTAAGTGGGAGATGCGTTAATATTATTTAAAATTTATAAAAGGACCTTAACGCCTATACCTTTAATATACTCTTTTTAATATTAATTAATATATTTAAATTAAAGAATTATAATAATAAGGCTATAAATGTAATAAATAAAGCTAAAAACGTTAAAAAAGTAAATAAAAATAAGTAATATTTATATTATAAGCTTAAAGGTTATATTAAAAAGGAATACTATTTTCTATACCTAAATAAGGCGTTAAAAAATTAGAAAAATAAGTAAAAGATAAAAAAGAAGAAGGATAATATTAAGCTTAAATAGGAAGAACGTGAATAAAAGCAGAATAAACAATTAAAGAAATCAGAGAATTTTAAAAAAGTTAACCAAACTAAAGACCTTATGGACTTAAATAATATATTTAATAATAAAAATATAACTATTAAAGATATTAACTTTAACCCTTAAGTTAAAACCCTAATAAATAAACCGGATTATAAAAATAAAAAAGAAAAGGATATAAAAGTAAATAACCCCCTTATACCCTTTATAAATTCTATAACTAATAACCTTAAAATAGATAGTTTAAATAAAGGAACTAATAAATATATTTACTTTAATAATTAATCTATTAATATAATTAAAAAAAAACTAATAAAAAATTAAATAAAAACTTAAAAACTTATAAAAAATTAAATTTTTATAATAAAATAATTCTATTTAAAATAAATAATATTATTATAATTTATATAACTTATAATAAAGATATTCTTTATAATTATAAATTAATTAATAGGTTTATTAAATAGGGAAAAGTTAAAACTATATATATAATTAAAATAGGTAAATTAAAAGGTTGTTTTTAAAATATTAAAAAATCTTTTAAATTTTATAAGGTTTATTATATTTTCCAATTAAAAATAAATCTAATAAGTATAAAAAAATTTAATTATATTATTATTATTATTAATAATTTAATAATTAAAATAATAAATAATGCATCTTCCACTTAACCTGGCCACCCAATTAACCTAGCCACATTTTTAACCTTTATACACACATTTGAAAATATCTTAACAATTATTCGTACAATTAATTTAAACTAATCTAAATCTGAATTGCTAAACGTTTTTATAATATTTTTGTAAGTTTACGTATTATAGCTGGGTTTGCCATAAGCTCTATAATGCCAGGTATAAGTCTCCTTCCTCCTTATATAATAACTACTTTAACGTATAACGCGATTTTCTACTTTAAAAATACCCCGTACCTTTATTTAATCCCTAATATCTTTAACAATAAAAAATCCTCTACTTTATAATTTAATTTTCTTTATATAATAACATTTATTAAGCTTATAATTTATTTTATAAAAGCTTTTAACCTCTCCTTTTAATAATATAAAATAATATATAATATTAATTATATTATATATAATTTAGCCTAACTTTTTAATAATAAATATAAAAAAGCTATTTTAATATTATATAATCCTTTATTTAATATATTTAAAAAAGGAATTAGCTTTAATTAAATTATTTAAAGTTATAATTATATAAAAATTAAATAGTATTAAAAATAAAAGATTAATTTAAAGTATAATTAAATAATTTAATTAATTAATAATATAATTTAAATTATATAATATTAAACCTATTCTTTTAAATCCCCTTTATATATTATTTAAAATAATTACTTTATTAAATATATAAAAAAATATAATTATAAAATCTTCCTTTTAAATATAGGTAATATATATTTATATAAAGCTTTTAATTTACTTTTTATATAACTATTTTAAAAGGTTAAATATTTTAATATTAAATAGTTAAAAGTAATAAAAGGAATAAAAAAATATATAAAAAGTAATAATATTATTTTCTTTATAATATAATTTAAATTTATATAAATAATAACTTTTATAGCTATTAAAAAGAAAAAGGTAATAATATCCTTTTATATAAAGTTTTATATATTTATTAAAATGTTTAATTTAATTTATAACTTATTTATTTATTATTTAATATATTATTATTTTTATATTAAAATATAAAGTAATTTTTCCTTATTAAAATAATATATAATAAAATAATTTAACTATATAATAAAATTACTTAAATAATTATAAATTATTTTAAATTATTTAATTAAATAACTTATAATTTTTATTTATATTTAATTAAAGTTATAATTATTTTAAATATAATTTTATTTATTATAAACCTAATTTTATTAAAGTTATAAATATTTTTTTTAAACATTATTTTCATTTATTATCTTTTATATAAGGATAAATTAAATGTAATATTTAATTAGATTTTTATTTAATACCTATTAATAATTAATTTTTTAATTATAATACGTTTAAATGTTTAAAGTTTATTATATAAAGTTTAATGTTTAATTCTTTCTAATTAGCTTTTAACCCTATAATACTATTAATTGGTTAGCTATATTTCTTATATAACTATATAAAGGTAGAAATAATTTTACTATAAAATTAAAAATATATTGTATAACGCATCTCCCACTTAACCTGGCCACCCAATTGACCTGGCCACCCCAATAACCTATATAAAACCCTATTATTTCAATCTTTAATAACTTTACGAATACCAATTGTACAATTTAATAATTAGTACCGTTAAATCCGTTATTCAAAGGGAAATCCAGCTGTATTTTTTACTATTTTTTTTAAAATTTATTAAGCGAAATATTAAACAATACGCTAAAGGGGCGTTAAGCAAGGATTATTTTAGCGCTTACTTTAGCGTATTGCTTAATAACTCCGCGAATATAGATCGTAAAAATTAGTGAGGCATACCGTTAAATAGCTCTCTTTATTACGAATCTAACGGTATATTTTACTATTTTATACGACTAATATTCGTGAAGTTATTAAATTATCACATGATTAGCGCACCGACGTTTTTTGTATGCGCTGGTGGGGTGGCCAGGTTAATTGGGTGGCTAGGTCAAATGGGAGATGCATTAATCGATTTTTCTTCGTCCAAAATTAATTGGGCTTTTAAAGGTAGTATTTTACTTATTAGTTTAAAACCTTTTATTCGAAGAGCAAGTATTATATAAGGAATATTATAAA